TGATCGTCATCAGCAAGGACTAGGATTTTTTTTAGGATACAAATAAACAGAATAGAGATAAGCACAGGCTAAATCCTAGAGGAAAACCTGGTTCAGTCTGCTTTCAAACATGGCTGTTTAGCAATGATCAACAACCAACTTGACAGAGCTTGAAGAATTTAAAAAATAATAATGTGCAAATATTGTACAATCCAGGTGTGCAAAGCTCTTAGAGACGTACCTAGAAGACTCACCACTGTAATCGCTGCCAAAGGTGATTCTAACAAGTATTGACTCAGGGGTGTGAATATTGTACTTACGTAAATTAGATATTTCTGTATTTAATTTTCAATACATTTGTTAACATTTCAAAAAATATGTTTTCACTTTGTTATTATGGGGTATTGTGTGTAGATGGGTGAGATTTATTTAATTTTTCATCAATTTTGAATTCAAGCTGTAACTAAATGTGGAATAAGTCAACGGGTATGAATACTTTCTGAAGTCACTGTACTTACAGTACACTGTAAAAAAAGGCTGCCAGTAAGTTACTGTCAAAATTTTACAAATACAGTGTGTTACCGTAAATTCCAGAAAAACTTTGGTTTAACAGTACATTACTGATTGTCCTTCCTGACCACCTTCGGAGGTAGTCAGGCACTCCTTGTGTCTGGATATCAATCAATTGTAAATAGATCTGGATGGTCAAACCATTTAAATTAATATACCAGCCTCTAAAATCATTGACAGGTAGGTAGCACCATTGATTTATGGCATCAGTAATTGTCTTTAAAATAAATAAATATTATTTTTAATTTGCATACAGAGAGGCACAAGCTAATCTGGTCAAAATGCATACACAGTGGATGGATAAGAGACACATGTGACACAATGTGTAGACGGCACAAACCTTGATCAGATAGTGATTGGATGACGAAACTCACATGTTAGCGCATAGTGTAAACAAGGCTTCTGTTTGCATCCTGATCCTGGAACTCATTGCAAGCTGAGAACGCCAATGTCTGTTATTTGCCTGCATTGGCAGCAAGCGTCAACTGACAGAAAGTCACTTCTACCCAGTGGCACTCATGGGAAAGAGAGGAGAGACATTGTGTGACTTTTCCCAGCAAGTAGCTTCCTGCCATTGAAGTGAAAGGGAAAATATGATGAGTTTCCCAAGCAAAAGCATTTAGCCTAAGTATTTGGCATTACTGAAGGGTAGAACTTCTGTCGAATTGTTCTTAGAAAAGGGAAAGAGTAGGAGTATGTGCTTGTCCAGAGATAGACATAAGATGGTTGAAGTTGACATAGTTAATTGCCTTATGATGAGTTTATGTTAGAGAGGGTGAGTTATCAGCCAGGGCTTTGGTCTGATGGTAGCTGAGGGTTGTTCTCCCAGTGTGTCTGATGTATAAGTAAACTATAGGGAGGCCCTGTTGCAGTAGACTGTATCAATATACCTAGTCTTTTTGGTACTCCATCAAATTGCGAAGGAGACCCTTGGAAGAGAAGTGGCTTCACAGCACATACTGATGATAAACACAGAGAAAGGTAGGGCTTTCTCAAATCTGCAGATTTATCTCTGGGTCCAAAGGAAAATAGGGGTGAGAGGAGAGAGACTTGTAAAAACAAAAACATAGATATAATATGTATAAATTGTCGGTTCAAAACAAAAGGTTGTGTTCAACCCAAAATATAGACTGCCTTTTGACATGGGCAGCCAGGGGTAGTCCACACTGCAGAGCGACACTTTAAAACTGAATCAATGCTGCATTCTAGTGGCCATATAATAAGGTGGTAACCCATGATTATAATGACGATGACTTGTACAAGTGGTAGAACTCTCTTCTCACATATGGGGTCAGTTTAGAGCTGAAATGGCATTGAGTGAACCTACTCATTTTTGGAAAGAATTGGTCGTACTTAACTTTATCCAAATTCAGATGTGTCCCTTTGGCACTGGAGAGATCATCAATAGATTAAACTAACTTTTTCCAAAAGTATCATCTACATTTCAGTTTATATGTGGCAGTGCTTCTTAACTCTCCAATTTGGTGCTGGCCAGCCACTGCACAAAGTCTTCAGCCTGGATGTTATCCAGGTCACAGAGTGAAATCTCTAGTGAATGGCTTCGGAAGTTGTTGATGACATTTTGTCCTTTTTACAGCTCATGTACGCCACCTGGGAAAGACAAGGAGTGAGTAATGTTAACCACACAACAAATAGAGTCAAGGAGAAAAGTAGTACATCATAGAATCAAAACAGGAGTTTGTGTTTTATTTTTTTAATGTATATTTTAATTGACTTTTTGTTGTTGTATAAAACATTTTTGTCCACTTTAGGCAACAGTTAGCATAAGAGTAATTATCACAGCTTTGAGATGAAGTCCAACCAAACCTCAGTCCATCTTTTCAGTCACACACACACCTCTGCTCTCACACACAGACACATACAAACATAATAATCATATAATCACATAGTGGGTTGGAGCTCATTTAGTGCAGTGGTCCCAAACCTAAATCTATTCATAGGAAGCCAAAGACGAAGACTCAACAATAGGCAGCTATTCAGTTTCACTCACCAATTACTTAGAGGCTGGAACTGTGTCAAGGTAAGCAATGGTGGAAAATACATCTATTTGAATGAGAAGATCACCACAAGTCTTCAGAATGAATCAGAGCTGGGGTCTCCTATAAAATCTTCTAGAAACTGGTGGATGAAGACAGCAACGAATCAGGTTTGAAACCACTGCTTTGGTGCAACTCTTAAGCATTATTATATTGTTAATACAACAAATGAAGGCAAAAAGACATATCAGAAACCTCATGCACAGCATCTCATCCTGTGCTAGTTAGGCCCATATACAGTACATGATACACTGGGCAAGATGTCTACAAGCTTTAAAATAGATCAGTCAAGCGAAGATGAAGACTGTGCATGATGAGTCAGCACACTCACATACATAGGCCAGCACAAACACACAGCACAAAAATACATTTAAAAGACCAAAATATGTTATAGGATTGCATTTACATATACTGACAACCTATACAGTATGTCATTCAAAGCAATTATCATAATTCGCAGACAGTGCAATAGTCATTGCATCCCTGTGTCAGAGGGTTTAATGTAATGCTTCCCTCGCCACAGAAATGGTTGGTTACAATGCCATTTCTGTGGATTTCAGATCAAACTTTCAATCAGAAACGTTCATGATTCAACGTCCATCAAGATACATGTAGTTCTTGAAATTATATATTTCTCATAATGTCAGGAAAAAGTAAAAAATGTTTTAACCTATAACAGCACCTTTTAGGAAATATGACTAATTGTATGCACACCCCCCCCCCCCCCCCCCCCCCCCCCCCAACACACTAAAACACACACAAAGACACAATCGAACAACGTGCACACACATTCATACACACCCAACAAAACGAATGCAATTCAGGTTTTGTCATATCCTCTTTACATAATTTAGCAACATCATATAATTATTCTGTATTTCTGTATTACTACTTCAAACAGCTTTAGGCTTTCAGTTTCTTTTAACTCGTTAAATAAAAAATAACGTCGTATAACGTAAAATAGCTGTGTTTCATAGAGAATCCTGGAACTCTCCCCCTATAGACTCATTATATGAGGTGAAGATGTGACGGCTAAGGGAGGTCTATTTTGTCCCTTCAGCATTACATGGTCACAGCTTCACATGGACTCTGACCACCTGTAGAATGATCTGACATGCTAACTAAAAAACAAAGACAGGTTTCTTTCATTCATTGATTAAACAGAGATCACAGAGACTTCTGTTGTTGCTCAATATCAACAGCATCCCAATTTTACAAAGACACATTGTTAAAAGAAGTGTAATAACGTCATAACATTGTAATGGTCACTATTATAGGTAAACTTGTCTTTTAATAAATAAACTGTGTTTGCATGAGAGGTCTAAGGTAGGTAGATCTGGAGAGACGCTATTTAGAAAGAGGAGCCGGTGCAAACCTTCTGATCTTTACAAATGTTTTACCATTTTGCCCCAATGCAGCGAGGGGCACATACCCACCCTGTCCTTAGACAGACCACAACATACACATAGATCAAACAAGCAGCTCTTTCAGCTCTGCCATGCCCATTTCAAACACTTATACAGTACACCAAAAACAAGTATTTCCAGGATTGTTTGTTAGGTCTATTCTCAGTCGGGGGGGGGGGGGGGGGGATGATTAGTACTGCCAGTGGCCCTAATTTGGCTTCAAAGTTTACAGCTAAACAGCTGGAAAATGTGTACCAGACCAGTGTGACATTTACAATGCTAGCCAATTAGTCAAACTTATTCAACTGGTGTTTATTATATCGCTCTACGGTATACAACAGGGCACATATTCTTCTTAACCCCACCGTCCTGTTTTAATCAAGCCATTGGAATCCACTGAATGATTCTGAAATGCTCCCTTGACCAATGTCTCCAAGAGCAAATGTTAACACTCACACCACCACATCGTCTCTTTGTGGTGCCGGGAACTAAAAACAATAATACTTAGTTCTCAATTACTGAGTTACACCTCCCACAGAAATATGCGTGCTTCTGGAGTCATTTCTTTCGTTAAGGCCAACAAGGCTTCGTCCCAAATGGCACCGTATTCCCTACATAGTGCACTACTTTTGACCAGAGTCCTATGGGCCTTGGACAAAAGTAGTGCACTATATAGGGAATAGGGTGCCATTTGGGGCAGGTCCCATTATCTCCACCCCCGTTAGAATAAGAGCATTTCATTGACTTACAACTGAACTGACAGTTCTACTGCAGGGGAAAGATCTGTGTGTGCTTTCAGGATGATTTCCCCTCCTTCACTTTATTTTAATGGACATGCTCATTTCTTCCAAATAGATTTTTGTAGTAATGACAGTTACTAATATGAATTCTAACCTGTAACATCATAGTCATTGTCTATCCATGTAGTGTAGGCTTTATTCAGCGCAAAATGAAGCTATTGTGCAAAACATCTGCAGAGGTGCTAGTACTAAACCTCAGGGGGCAGTGGTGGGTACAACTCTCCTTCTGTGGCCAGACAGGCCTCCTCCTGACACTGCCCTTCTAAGGAGCTTTGCTGGGGGCTGAATGGTAACTCCTTAGCCCCCATGCCATTCTCTGAGCACAGAGCCACCGGTGGCGAAAACTCGGCCTCATCCTGCCCGCAGGTATTACCTCTATCCTCATCCCTCCCTCGCTGCTCTCCTCCCCCTGGTTCTCTCTCTACACACGCCTCCTCCTGCCCAGGCAGAGACTTGTGAAATGTCTCGTTCTCCATGGGACCTATCTGGTAGTAGAGCAGGGAGGAGGCCGGGTCTTTGAGGCCACCACAGGGGTTGTCCCCTTCCCCCTCCCCATCTCCCTCCTGGTTCTCTGTGATGCAGAGCAGGGTAGCCCCAGTGGGGAACGGGCCCTGGAGGAGGGAGATCGGGACCCCCTCCACCCCAACCCCCACCCCTGTGTCCCCACACATCTCCCCCTGCAGGGCCCCAGGCAGGAGGCACAAAGCCTGCTCCCCCAGGCCCCCTCCTCCCCCCCTGCCCCGCTTTGCCTCCTCCTCCTCCTCTTCCTCCCTCATCCTCTCCTGCTCCTCTGCACTTTGCAGGTGGAGCACAGCGGTCTCGTTCTCCCGCTCCAGGCAGGCCTGGTCAGTCAGGAGGTCCTGGGCCTCTAAGACCATCTGGACCTCTCTCTCCTCTGTCTCTAACTCAGAGTCCAGGCCATGGGCCCCTGTGGACAGGTGAAGGTCTGGGGAGGGAGGCCTGGTGGAGGAGGGGGAGGAGAGCAGGTCAGACTCTGCATACTGTTCCCCCCCGACCCCCGCCTTCTGCCCCATCAGCCTCCTCTTCTCCAGGTCCAGCTTCATGATGGTATGCATGTAGTGTGTTCGCACGCGGAGAGGATTGAACTCGATGCGGCCTGCCGAGTTCCCACAGCCATCCCGAGAGCAGCCACAGGGAAAAGACATCCTGTCCACCTAGAAAGAGAACAACATTTGAGAGAATATACACAGTCATAAAATATTCAGCAAAGGCAATTTGTCTGTAAGACATTGATTTGCTGTTTATCTTTATACTAATTCTGCCAAATGTTTTAGGGAAGGGACGCAATACTCGTTAGTATCGTGGTTAAGGAAACAAAACACGAAGCGGATGTAACCTCTTTAGGAAAACAGCCCTAATGTTGGAAACATCCAGAGTCACAGTTATTTATTTTCCAAGCTATAGCACACAATATTTTACATACAGCAGGTTTTTAAAGGACCAAAGAGTTTGGTCTTCTTCGTGTTTTCATTTTTGCCATGGAAAAAAATATTGTGATACTGGTATCATTACAGCCCTAATATGTACTGAGTGCTGCACGGATACAGTACCTCTCAACTCTATAGCCTTCTGTTATAATCTCCTTATTACGCACAAACACACACTACATTGACACTCCCACACAAAACCCACACACATTCACATACACTATATATGCACACAAACACACACATATACAGTACCAGTCAAAGGTTTGGACACATCTACTCATTCCAGGGTTTTTCTTTATTTTTACTATTTTCTACATTGTAGAATAATAGTGAAGACATCAAAACTATGAAATAACACATATGGAATCATGTAGTAACCAAAAAAAGTGTTAAACAAATCAAAATATATTTTATATTTGAGATTCTTCAAATAGCCACCCTTTGCCTTGATTACAGCTTTGCACACTCTTGGCATTCTCTCAACCAGCTTCACCTGGAATGCTTTTCCAACAGTCTTGAAGGAGTTCCCACATATGCTGAGCACTTGTTGGCTGCTTTTCCTTCACTCTGCAGTCCAACTCATCCCAAACCATCTCAATTGGGTTGAGGTCGTGGGGTTGTGGAGGCCAGGTCATCTGATGCAGCATTCCAATCACTCTCCTTATTGGTAAAATAACCCTTACACAGCCTGGAGGTGTGTTGGGTCATTGTCCTGTTGAAAAACAAATGATAGTTCCACTAAGCCCAAACCAGATGGGATGGCATATCGCTGCAGAATGCTGTGGTAGCCATGCAGGTTAAGTGTGCCTTGAATTCTAAATGAATCACAGACAGTGTAAACAGCAAAGCACCCCCACACCATAACACCTCCTCCTCCATGATTTACGGTGGGAACCACACATGCAGAGATCCTCCGTTCACCCACACCGCATCTCGCAAAAAACACGGCGGTTGGAACCAAAAATCTCCAATTTGGACTCCAGACCAAAGGACACATTTCCACCAGTCTAATGTCCATTGCTCGTGTTTCTTGGCCCGAGCAAGTCTCTTCTTCTTGATGTTCTTTAGTAGTGTTTTCTTTGCAGCAATTCGACCATGAAGTCCTGATTCACACAGTCTCCTATGAACAGTTGATGTTGAGATGTGTCTGTTACTTGAACTCTGTGAAGCATTTATTTGGGCTGCAATTTCTGAGGCTGGTAAGTCTAATGAACTTATCCTCTGCAGAGGTAACTCTGGGTCTTCCATTCCTGTGGCGGTCCTCATGAGAGCCAGTTTCATCATAGCGCTTGATGGTTTTTGCGACTGCACCTGAAGAAACTTTCAAAGTTCTTTACATTTTCCGTATTGACTGATCTTCATGTCTTAAAGTAATGATGGACTGTCATTTCACTTTGCTTATTTGCGCTGTTCTTGCCATAATATGGACTTGGTCTTTTATCAAATAGGGCTGTCTTCTGTATACCCCACCTACCTTGTCACAACACAACTGATTGGCTCAAACGCATTAAGAAGGAAAGAAATTCCACAAATTAACTTTTAACAAGGCACACCTGTTAATTGAAATGCATTCCAGGTGACTACCTCGTGAAGCTGGTTGAGAGAATGCCAAGAGTGTGCAAAGCTGTCATCAAGGCAAAGGGTGGCTACTTTGAAGAATCTCAAATATAAAATATATTTGGATTTGTATAACACTTTTTTAGTTACTACATGATTCCATATGTGTTATTTCATAGGTTTTATGTCTTCACTATTATTCTACAATGTAGAAAATAGTAAAAATAAAGAAAAACCCTTGAATGAGTAGGTGTGTCCAAACTTTTGACTGGTAGTGTACATATTACACACACACGCACACTCACACACATACACTTTTACACTCATAATTTGCTGCTGCTACTCTGTTCTTTATTTTACTCTTATTATTATCTATCCTGATGCCTAGTCACTTTACCCTGCCTTCTTGTACATATCTACCTCAAATACCTCATACCTCTGCACATTGATCTGGTATTGATACTCCCTGTATATAGCTCCATTCTTGTGTATTTTATTTTGTGTGTTACTATTTATTTATTTGTTTACTCTGCATCGTTGGGAAGGGCTCATTTGCAAGCATTTCATTTGATTTAACACACCTGGCACTTGATGCCAGCCTGGCTGCAGCCACAGTGGCGGGGGTCACAGTAGAAGCGGCAGTCGCAGCCACACTCCTCCCTGGAAAGCCTGATGGTCCGTAACTCAGCCTTCTCCCGGGCATCTATACGGGCGATGCCAGAGGCCCTGAGCAGTGCCCGACGCCGTTTGGTGGGCAGCGGCTGCAGGAAGAAGCAGTCGTCCACCTCCACCCCCTCTATGTCCAGGTCGTCGTCTGACACGTCCTCCAGGGTCAGCAGGTCGGCCTGGGCACACTCCACCGTACCGTTACGCGTCAGCTAGAGAGGAGGGGTGGAAGTTAGACGTATATGTTCCTCACTAAAACCTGAATATTAACTTAAGATATGCTTGTGTAACTAGTGCAGAACATGGATTCCCCTATTTAAACCTCAGGAGGTCCTTAAATTAAAACCATAACTTTCAGGTCTCTCTGAATGACCAATGCTTGACCTCACCTTTATTTTGCGAGCGTTGAGCTTCTCCTGGCGGAGGTGTTGGCGCAGGGTGTGGCGGTGACTGGTCTCCTGCTCGAGGACGAACTCTCCCAGTGTGTATCGACGGATGGAGCAGTGGTGGCGTGCCATGCCTAGGGAGCTGCCCCCCTGGCTGGGCACGCTGGTAAAGCCCTGCCGCCTGGGGAAGTAGTACACCGTCACCACATCGAACCGCACCTGCTTCCGGCCTGGAGAGGGCTTGTGCCGTCTTAGGATGGAGGTCGCTGGAGAGGGAGGTGGAGGAAAGAGCGGGGAAGAGAAAGGGGTAAGAATGGGTGAACAGTTTCCATAGACTGGTTATTACCACAGATAATATAAGGGTTATTATAGAGTAATAATCCATCATACACTTTAAAACCAAGCCTATTTTTTGACGGACTTGAAATGGTCCTTTTATTTCACTAACGATCTGCCTAGAGTAGTCATGCATCAGTCTAATTGGTGAGAACCTTAGCCAACAAGTAATGCCGGTTGTACCGTACACTCTTAAAAATAAAGGTGCAAATTGGAACCAAATAAGGTTCTTGAGAGCGATCTTAAGAACCAAAAATGGTATGGTTCTTTGAAGAACCATACAAAAATGCCAAACCAGAAATGTTTCGGGCCTCCAGAACAGGAATTGAAAAGCCCTGCTGTAAGGTTTTAAGCATTCATTCACCGCCAGCCTCAACAGCATTTTACCGCCGTGCTCTCATTGAAAACAATGACACCCGGTTTGCCGTCTACCGTCTACCTCGTACCATCTAAACACAGCATAAGATACAGTATGAGACTACCTTAAACATCTAAACTGGAACAACCATTTCAGTAACGGTGGTAATAAGTCCAAGTAACAGATTGGAATAGTTTAGAAAATGTATGTTATTTATATTTGAGTAGCATAAGCTTTATTAATCAATTAAACATTGATATTGAAACAAACAATTCTAAAAAACTACTTGCATTAGAGCATGCTGAGAAATATGGCACTGATGGGCGTGGTTTTGGTTCAACTCTGGTTATTAACACCAACACTGGAGTTATTTTACAACACTGAGTGTTAATTTAACTCTTTACAGTGTTAATTTAACTCATGAATCAACAATATAAATTTTACATTGAAATATCAACACTAGTTAACACTGGGCAATTTGCTGTGTGCTATGAAAGGGACACATCTGCAGGCTTCCAAACATTTCAAGAACCTTTTAGAATTCTGAAGAACTTTAGATGCCACGTCAAGAACCCTCCACTCAAAGGTTCTTTATCAGGCAAGAGTTCTCCAAGGAACCTTAAGAGCTGAGGAAGAACCATTTAAAAACTTTCAATTTTTTCAGTGTAGCTAAGCCCTTACGTGTTAGTGCAGTGCTGGAGGGGGGGTTGAGGCTATCACAGCTGTCAGCACTGTCACTGCTGGAGATTTCATCGTCCGAGTCCTTTGGTGTAGAGTATGGAGAGCCACTGTCCACCTCCTCAAATCTTCGCTTGAGGCTGAGAGACGAAACTGCCTCCATGGAAACTTGGTGTCTGAAGGTGGAGAATCAGACAAATTATGTTCAGAGACAGACAGATGGTCGGCAGTCGTCACAGACAGAGATAGAGTATCAGTCTGGCACAAATGCGTAGGTACACAATTGGAATTAATTAATTAATACAGAAGGCCAGGGAAGCATATCTAGACATTTTACATAAAAATGAACTTTCATCAAGCCAAGGTATGAGAATAAAACACAGTAGGCATAGTAATAATAAATATATCTTATGCTCCCATCTGAATAACAAAACATTATATTATTCCACTGTAACTGTTTATAAACATCTCTTCATTAAATCAAATCTGGACCGATTCCTGATACCACAATGAGTTGACATCACCTTTTTGCTATAGCCTTACTCTCCTTTCATCAGTATTCCTAACCCATCACTCCCTCTCCTTCTGTCTCGCATGAAAATCCTGCTCCAAAATCATCGAGTCTGGGAAACGTCACCATGGCAACTAGGAAAGCAGCCAGGGGTTTATATGAATGGCTTAGGAAAAACAAACTGTTCTGTAGATAGATAGCCTTATGTCCCTTTAGCTTTTCCTTTCAAAACAAAGAGCAGGACCCTTCAATAACAGGGGATTTGGATGCCAGAGACAGGTCAAATAAGGGCCAAGCTGAGACATTTGAATAGACTCCCTCTCCATACCCCTGTGTAGGCCTACTGTAGGCCATATGTGTGCCCCTTCATGGTTTCAATGATCTTCACATCCATATAAATAGCATCCCATCCCACGATGTGAAACCAACCTTCAGAATTCAAATGTGATCCTATAGCCCTATGGAAAATAAGGGACTGCAACTTATTGCTTCTCTGTTGAAGTTTCACTAGAATCTAGCCTATTTATTATTACTATAGAGATTGCATAGCAAGTAAATATGTCTCCATTTGTTTTTTACAGTGGAAAAGTATGATATGCATGATGCACATTACGTATGACACTTGTTACAGAATGACCTTTCATGAGGCAGCACCAATCTCTTACACAAAACATAGTGGAGTTATTGCAGAAAGTTCCTAAACATCACTAAAAGATTTGACTGACACGATTACAAGCATGCAGGTTCATCATGTGATACTGTCCACAACCAACAGGCCCAGACAGCCAAAATCAGTTAATGACTAGCCTATTACATACAAATGACAATGTATCAGACCTTGATTCTCATACTGTGAGCTGGTAGGCTTTGTAGAATACAAAATCTGTTACATTTCTATATTCTTCAGCAAGGCATTAGACATTACAAATGGCTATCAGAAGAACCCAATGAAACACATCCCATGATGATGACCTAATTCAGTTGAAACAAATGAGAGTAGCCAGTATCCTATACTATGTTATTAGAATGGCAATACTGTACATAGGCTGGACTCTATATTATACATTTACAATAGAGTAAAGGAGGACAATACTGTATGGCAATCAGAGGAGCAGTCCTAAAACTACGCAGAGTGTAGGCTTCTTGCTTATAATAAACCTTTCAACGACGGAGTGACTCAAACCGCCGCAAACGACAACAAACTAGATTTCGTGAAAGGATCGAATGACTGGGTGCAGTAGGAAATGATGTAAATCTAACTGCCAGACACAGGAGCCTCGACCGGCCCCGTCTCTCAAGCGTACCATGTCACCCCCCTTGACAATGGCAAACTGCCATGTTAAACGTTAATAAACCCCCAAGGGCCCCTTACCTTCGGCAGAAAAAGGACCCTCTTCTCACGATCAAATCGCTGAACGTTCCTTTTATTCACCGAGGATTGTTCATGGATCTTGTAACGCCCTATTTAGATTTTTGCCGATTATTTTTTTTTACAGTAAAACTGATTGTTCATTTGTTCAGTATGAATACCTATTTCTGTAATAGTCAGCCTACTAATGCAGAAATAGTGTAAGGAACTAACTGTTACACCGACTTCAAGCAGATCTGCTTGGACTACATGAAGTAAATGTATTTTATGGTCGCTTCCAGGAGTGCATGTTCCATTTAACTTTGACGTAGCAATCCTAAAGCCGGGGCAGGCGGTGGGAAAGAAGGACGTCAAACAGTTTAGTTGAAATTTATTAGGCTACTGACATTATCCGTTTCGGCTAAGATGTTAAAATTTGAGATAACTGCTGGATGACTTATCTTCCTGGTTTGAGCGTTTAAATGCTTGTATTGGAAGAGCAATCCGCTGACGTCTGTTTCGTTTATCCTTTCTTTGCAATGGTGGTTTCAATCGGCTCAATGTCGTTTTTCTTCAAGTATAATGACCGTTATGTTCTTCGCCTTGTTTGGTACAGTAATATCAAAATGTTACGGAATTGTAGGCAGATTGACGTCCTCCTTTTCCTAGCCTCTGCCCCGGTTTGTTACAAAGTAACAATAGAGTAAGGAATGCTACAGTGTAACCGTATACTCATTGTGACATCACAAACGTACCATGCGTATGCTGGGAAGTGTAGTCATTATGAGCTCTTTGTCCATTCTCTGCGATCATGCATTCCATAAATCCAATTCACATTTTGTAATGATAAGCAATACACAATATTACGGATAACGCGAATGACTAGATTTTTTAGATCATAGTTTAAGAGTTTGAAATATATGCCTTATATTTCACACCTTCCTCTCAAGGTGTTTCTAATATAAAGAGGCATTCAAGGGAATCTGCCTTTGAATCTTGCCATCATCCATTTTTAGACTTTTAATTTAATATATACCCATTGATTCTTGAAGAATATAGGCTACTGGTAACTTCTAGATGCCTCATGAGCGTAGTTTAACTGTCTTACCCCATCAGAACCCAAAATATAAGCTTATTTTACACATTTGTAAACAAAGTAAATGTAAAACAATGTATATCATGATATCATGGATGGTCAGTCCCTGTATGCACAGCTCTGTCCATGAGTTTGAGAGTGGTCACATTTCTCCAGCCCCATCCCTCAACTGTTTAACAACTCCGTAATATCTCGTGGAAACATTACCTAAATCAAGCATCTGACCAAATGATGTGAGATTTTAGTTCTGGGTTAACCAAGATTACCAAATCAGTGGCAGGGCCATTGATTTGTTAATGTTCGAAGCACAGATTGCCTCTAACTCTGCAATTCTTTACAGGCTGAAAATAACTGCTTATAGAGAACAGTAAAGCTTTAAGGGATAAAGGAATACAAAACATTCTAAAACATTTTCTCAATGGTGTCCATCCAAAGCTAGGCATCAGAGGAAAATACAAACGGGCAATGTTTGGGTAAGTAGTTTAATCGTTCTGATGTCTTGGACAAGGGGCAAAGGTGGGCAACATCTAGCGTTCAGTAGAACCTTATTGAATGAGAACCAACTCTAGCTTTCCACATGCAGCTTTGGCATACAGTAAACAACCCACTACTATATATAGATATATATATAGATATATATATATATATATATATAGATATATATATATATATATATATATATATATATATATTTGATAGTGGTAATATCCCAAAACAATGCAGACTGCTTTTCCCTAAATAAGGTAGGAACACAAGTCTGTTTATGTTTATAAAACAGTCAAAGTAAAACATGATTCAAAATTCATACCTTCTAAACAACTATCTACTCAAAAGTTTGTGAACTGTCCAAATCCATCGTAATGACACTGTAAACTGATACAGTACAATGATAAATAGGGATAGCGGGCAAGACAGAGACTAGTAGGTTGTTGGGGTTGCCACGGTGTGTGGTCAAAGTGTGTCAATCAGATTAATGAATAAAGGGGAGGGCCATATCATGATGAACAGAACAGTATACTGATGCGGTCTTGACAGTGTTGAAAGGCCTAGAAAAGCTGCACAGATGGACAGAGGATGACACAGGTACAACTTGACAGACTGTGGGCTTTCACAGGAGCACAGCACTCACTGGGAGAACAGAGGGGTTTTCATAGATGCTGCTGGTGTCCCTTTCATTATCCATTATGACATCATTAAGATTTTAGGTTGAAGATATCCAGGTTAGGACAATGTAATAATTCCAAATAAACAAATTCATGGGACCAGCGCCATTGTTGGATTCCACAGTATTAGCATTGAAAACTTGACCAGCGGTCAGGTAATCAAGTAATGGCTGTAGATAATTTGAAAAACCTATAAATGAATAAAACGGCAGTAAAACAGTTATGCTATGTGCTTGCTGAGTAGTTAGCCTAAATTCCCTACGATTGTGTTTATTTTCCACTTTAATGGCGAACTTTCTGTACTGCCTCCAGTCATTTTCGCTCACAATTGCTGGTCCCGTTGTCTAGAATGCTTCCGCATTTATGCAAAGAGTTACGGGATATTAGAACCCTTTTGTCTTAACCTGGGTTATCTTTAACCCAGTTAAGATTTTATTTCCTGTGCAAGCTTCGTTGCTGTAGCTACTTAACCATGACCACGGTCCTCACCACGGTCCTCACAAAATGGCTCCTTGGTGTCCAGCAGCCTAGTAGGAGGAGATGAAGACTGGAGACCACTGGCACCCTGTATACGCACTCTGCATCTCTTGTTGTGTATCCCTTTCCATGCAAGACTGAATTCTAAAAACAGTACAGCAAAGTCGTTGATTCTGAAGCAGTGGCAGGGTGTCTTCCATTCTCTTTTTCAAACACATGAGCAACAAAGCAGGAAAATTCAACCATTTAAAAGGGTTTCTATTAGGGAAGGAGTCTGGAGAGTTGCATCAATATGGCAGCTGAAATAGTGTCAATCCTTTAAAATAAAGACAATAAGGTATCGAGGATGGGCAAGGTGCTTCAGTCAAATGTTCCCCGTAGCGAGCAGCCCCTAGAGAATCGTTGAGTGAAACGATCGGGTCATCTTCAGCATGGTCCAGGAACATCAGGGGCTGGCAGGGTGTAAGGAGAGAGCGGGGGCTAGGCAATCCCCCAGAGAGTCTTCATTTCAGGATGATGTGGTAGCCGTCGTTTGTCTCGGCTGACGATAAAGAAAGAGCCTATGTCATGAAGGGTGATTTTACAAGCGTAGCTACAACACACACACACACACACACTTCTCCACCCTACAATATTTATGGTAAAAGAAAATGATTGAATGGCACTCACCTTTCATTGTGTCCAAAACAAAACATACTTCATCCTGGAAGTTCTGAATCATCTGTGAGAAACGAGATATTCCATCTTAGAGGCCAGGAACGTTGTATACATTAGGAGAGCCTTAAGGCAGACTGAGCCTGAGACAAAGGCTGCGTCTCAAATTAGACCCTATTGTGTAGTGCACCACTTTTGGGAGTCTGAGCAAAACTAGGGCACAACATAGGAATAGGGTGCCTTTTCGGACACACAAAAGGTAGACTAAAGACAGCCTTACCTCATCACTGACCAGGACATGTATACCAGTGGGTCCCTGTTTAAAGATCTGACTGATCTGTCTGGATGAGATGTTGAATAGCTGAGCGATCTTCTCGGTCAGCTCAACTGCTGTCAAGTCCTCCAGGTAGATGGCATGGTACACTGCAGAAGACGACAGGTGTACAGGAATATATTGTCAATAATTATCATAGCACCTTGCCCCCCAATCCCCACTTCCCCAAAACACATGTAAATATTGAACTATAAATTGTGCCTGTATTTACTTATCTAAAATGTTTATTCTATTCTACTGAGCCATTTACTTGAGTTCGTATTTATCTTTATTATGTTTATTGTGCATTGTCGAGAGGATGCTTTAGTGTATTTTATGTATTTACATTTATACAACTTGAAACAGTGTGGTATCCAAGAGAGCTGATTACACATGACACATTGCACCGCCATCAGCAGTTAAGCAGGTTTGCTTATACATAATTTACATTTTGGTAGCAACGCTCTATCCCGATAAGTTTAGTGATTACTGTTTTTTATTACTGCCCCCGTGGATACCACAACCTGCGTTGCAACGCCATGCTCTATAACGAGTGCGGCATTCCTCCCCTACCCTGACGACGCTGGCAATGCGCCGCCATATTTCCCGGCGCCGGCTCGACAGAGCGGAATTGGTCCCTGTATCAGCTGTAGAGCATGCGTTGTAGCAATGGTTCGATCCCCGGACCACCCTGCCATCAGCAAGTAGGTAAGCATGCGTTATGAATGCTTTATACACTGAGTATACAAAACATTAAGAACACCTGCTCTTTCCATGACAGACTGACCAGGTGAAAGATATGACCCCTTATTGATGTCCACTTCAAATCAGTGTAGATGAAGGGGAGGAAACAGGTTAAATAATGATTTTTAAGCCTTGAGACAATTGAGACATGGATTTTGTATGTGTGCCATTCAGTGGGTCAATGGGCAAGACATAATATTTAAGTGACTTTGAACGGAGTATGGTAGTAGGTGCCAGGCGCACCAGTTTGTGTCAAGAACTGCAACACTGCTGGGTTTTTCACGCTCAACAGTTTCCCGTGTGTACCAAGAAAGGTCCAACCCCCAAAGGACATCCAGACAACTTGACACAACTGTGGGAAGCATTGAGTCAACATAGGCCAGCATCCCTGTGGAACGCATTCAATACAGTGTCGAGTCCATGCCCCAACAAATTGAGGCTCAATATTAGGAAGGTGTTCTTAATGTTTAGTATACTCAGATAACACACACACACGCATACCGAAAAAAGTGCTGCTAGCTGCGTCTCTGTTCTCGTGTTTCTGCTGCTGTTCCCGAGCCTGCTGGGATTCCTGGCACACATACACTGTCAGCCTGGGACGTACCACCCTGCACACACACACACACACACCGAAATAAGAAACAACAGTATTTATTAAATTCAATAGGCATTTGAATGCTGCAATACGGAAGTAGTGGTAAGGAAGAAGACTTACCGTCCTTTCAATGCGTTGAAGAGCCTAATACCATCTGCCGGCCCACAGATCTGAATGACATCTTCCCTGGTCAGCTTCAACAGATCAGCCCCTGGAACACAGAACAATCAGCCTACTTTTAGACTGACTTCCATGACATGACAACAATGTTGAGAATATAAATTCACTGCAATAAATTACATATTGACCTTCCTACCAGAGAAATTTGTGAAGAGCCGACAGAACGGTGAAAAGCGGCTTCTATGGAGCCACTGCTGTGCATCCTGTGGTGTTGCCGCGGGTAACAGGTTCTGTTTATTCCAAAAGAGAGAGACAGGTGGAGCAAAAACCATCAAAATGATGTGAATTCACTTTAGATTGGTTTTAAAAGTGTACAATCAATTCCACTTTAAGGTCAGATATATACAGCCAGGTATGAGCAGTTTCTCTGAGCTAACCCATCCCAGAACATGCTACATGGAGGAATACAGACCCATTACAATGTCAGAGTAGATAGAATACAACTTCAAAGAAGTTTACAGTACACACTCAAATTCTCATAGACCACGGTAGGAGTCATCCACTTTTGCACAAAAACACACAAAGATGATATTGTTTTGTCGTTGTTCAATTGTTCTACACACACACAAACATGTATGCTGGGAGCCTGTTCAGAGAAGATGTATGTGCAATGTACAGGTAACTGCCAAAATACCGGAAACACGTGAGTAAATGAGGGATAGAAAGTATATTGAATGCAGGTGCTTCCACACAGGTGTGGTTCCTGAGTTAATTACGCAATTAACATCCCATCATGCTTAGGGTGATGTATAAAAATGCCCAGATGTCCATTACTTTGGCTACCATGTCTAGAAGAAGAGATCTCACTATGAAAGAGGGGTCTCAAAGGAATATAAGGGGTTTAAAGGGTGTGTGTGCGTGTCTCAGTCACCAGATTTGAACTCAATTGAACACTTATGGGAGATTCAGGAGCGGCGCCTGAGAGCGTTTTCCACCACCATCAACAAAACGCATCACATTATGAAATTTCTCATGGAAGAAGTGTCGCATCCCTCCAAGAGTTCCAGACACTTGTAGAAACTATGCCAAGGTGCACTGAAGCTGTTCTAGCTTGTGGTGGCACAATGCCCTATTAAGACGCTGTATGTTGGCGTTTCCTTTATTTTGGCAGTTACCTGAATATCCCACTTTTGCTTTGAAAGGCAAAAAAAATGACATTCAAACTAGAAACCATCAAATAAATTAATATATACCTGATGGATACTGTCACCGTCTCTTGTAAGTAGATGGGACGACAACTGTAAGGCAGAATGTCTCAATTTTAAAATTGTATTGTATCATCATATTTCAAAACCTCCCCAAACCCCCCCAAAAACGTTGCTAATGTATTTCTGTCTATAATGGGGGTAAAACACAAGGGGTGATATTTGGACAGTGCAAACAGCGACATTATTATCAAAATACAGTGCATTCAGAAAGTATTCAGACCCCTTGACTTACACCACATTTTGTTATGTTACAGCTTTATTCTAAAATTGATTAAATATAATTTTTTCCCTCATCAATCTACACACAATACCCCATAATGACAAAGCAACAACATTACACAACTGAAATATCACATTTACATAAGTATTCAGACCCTTTAGTCAGTACTTTGTTAAAGCACCTTTGGCAGGGATTCCAGCCCTGAGTCTGTGCCCTGTGTGTAGATTGATGAGGGGAAAAAACAATTTAGAATAAGGCTGTAACGTAACAAAATGTGGAAATGGTCTGAATACTTTCCGAATGCACTGCACATCCTATCGCTATATACACTTGGCGCTGCATTTATTTCAAAACTACTTTGAAATGCAATGGTTACATGACTATTACGTACATCATGTAGAGGCATTGTAATAAATGCTGGTACAAGTATTGGGAGTATTACAGCAGCCTGGTTCCAGATCTGTTTGTGCTCTAGCCAACTGAATGAATGAATGAATGACTAGGAGTTTGCATGATGGCACAAACAGACTGGCACTCAGGCAAATATTACAGTCGTTCGACACAAACACCACTTATTTATGTAAAAAATTCAAGCAGGCCTTAGGGAGAGTTAAGGTAGATGTTGCTGCCTACAAATTATTACAAACTACCCAAAACAACTGGATACATACTTATCATTATCAGACGGCAAGTAATAGGGTTAATAAGTGCAATCAATAATTTAAAGTTGATATATTATACATCAGTGAATATTGCACATTCCCACATTCTGTTTGAGTCAGTCTAAACCGTGTCTGCATCTTAAATCAGAGTCAGACGTTTAGAAAATGTTGGAAACTTACAATTGTATCAGTCAGACAGCTTTCAATCTATATTGGATAATAATGCAGGAAAAAGAAGGGAGAAAAGGTGCACACACCCTTTATAAAACTGAACCGATATGTCCAGGGACATGGCTATCTAGGCTTATTTCAAGGTCTGTTTCCATCCACCCACCATATTAATAATTGGGGATGCATGTGATACAGATTATGGAGGACAGTCTACTACAGTAGTTGAATGGGTTGCTTTGATGGACCCCCCCAAAAAAAGGGCATGTTTTATCCATGTATTAATAACTGGGTTTCTATGTATCCATGAATGGGAAAACAGAGGGAGTCACAAGAGAAGAACAATTCAATAAGAGCACTGCACTAATTCACAATGTTTGCACTAAATAATATAACTGTTGAAAGCAAATGGACCTATCCACATTTTTTTTAAATGACATTTCTCATTCTGCAGGTTCTTATACATTTGTCAGGTATTCTAAATCAAATCTTCTTATCAATGCATAGCCTTTGCTTTTCCCAACTGTTGCCAATCATTTCAGACAGAAAACCAATTAAGCAAAGTACAAAACAGTTTTGTCATATATATTCATTATTTTGTTAATGTTATGTTCGACTACATGCAAATGTGATCAATGGTGAACGAGTAAAATAAATGACACCTATCATGTGAAAACAGGATGATGTAAAGTGTGTGCTGCTTTGAAAATAAAATAACGTACTGATTGCAAAGTAAGTTACACAGCCAGTCTTCCTCAGCCCTCATTCTTTCACTTTAGTTTAAATAGCCCACTAGACATTTTCCTACAGTATTTCACTAGTGCTGCTGCCAAAAGCAAAGGCCAAATGTGAACTTAAAGCATGACCACAATGTGCCAACTTCAGTTATGTGAAAAAAGCTGGACTTTAAACATGTAGATGTGGGGGTTGATGACAAGGGAAGGGATGGCGTAGGAGACTATGATCCATAGGTGGGTTTAGGACACACAAAGGGAAGGGACACAGGTAATTACATCTGCCACCTGAACAACTGGCTCTGGCTGGTGACTGGGGGATCCATTCCTGGGAGGGACAGAGAACAGGAATGAGAAAAGGTTGGGATGGACATTCTGGGAATAGAAGGAAAACCGACAGAAATTCCCAAAGAGAACAAAGAACAGGTGTATTAGACATTGCATCCTCCATCTTTTATAAATGTACATATAAAACAAAATAAACAATTTGTAATGCAAGCAGTGTGGTTCAGTGCAGGCTGAATGTTTATGTCCTGATCCCTACCCCTCTGCCACTGGAAAACTGTTGTGTGAGCTGTTGAAGCCAGGCGATGGAGAGTTATTTACATAGGTGACCTCTGGCCAGGGAGAGCACTGCAAGAGAACATTTATGTTATTCTAGTAGGGAAGGAACTAGGCTCTTTACATAATCCAGCTCTCCAGACGTACGTTTTTACTTCAGAAAGAAATCCTGTGTTGTACAGAATTTCTATGCATTATGATGAAATTACTGACACAAATATTAAATTAAGCATAATTCTTGTTCATGTTTCTTCATTCCTTAGACTTCATACTGACTGCTGCCACATCTTTCTCTCCATATCCTCTTATATCCAACATTTTCCTCCATCCCATTCACTCAACACACTGACTCTAACCTCTGTTAGGATGGTGGTTTCGTACGAGGGCTGGTATTTCTCCTTCTCCTGAGGCGCTCTCTTTTCCATCTTCTCTCGGTCTGTCTTCTGCTTCCTGTCTGCACCTTTAGGCTGCCACAGGTGAGGTAAAGATATGTTTATAATAGATAGTACCGTGACCAGGATCAAATGACTTTTTATGGCAACAGTAAATGTCTTTGGTCAGACTTTCCTCTCACCTTGAAGACTTTGACCTGACAGCTGGCAGAATGCAGGTGCTCTGTATACTCTTCGCCATCGTTCTCTTTGAAAGTGTCAATCTGGATGCGGAAAGGCACGCCCTTCTCTCCCCCGTGCTTCCGCATGGTGAACTCTGTGCTGATGCAGTGAACCTAAAACAAGGAATTGGCAGGACTATTTGAAAACTGGAGGATTTTGCTAAAGTTGTCATATAGTACAACACTATTAATTGTTTTATTCAGTACAAACACAGAGCGAACTCTATTTGGCTTGAAAACCATTTGTTTCCATTCCATTCAGATAGCCTTGGACTGATGTTAGAAGATAAGCTACGACCAGCATTATGAAAAAAACCATGTGGTTGTGTTTATCATGCTACCTGGATAAAAACCGAGGTTCTTTTTGAAGGGTCCCACAGGAACTCCACAGTGTTAAGCTGAGTAGGGTTAGCCCTGGGGTCGACCATGCCAACTGACATGGGGATATCTACAATGGAGCAACACAAGACAAGTTTTCAAAAGGATTGTGTGAGCACTCAGTCTATGTTATGCAGCCTGTTGTCAACCATCATTTCTTTCACTTAAGATCCAACTCAGTGTTAAATGTAAGCTATGTCAGTGCCACAGCAGATAAAGTCTTAAAAGCAGCCCCATCCTATCCTTCTTCATTCAGAGAAGGCCACCACCCATCCCAGACAGAGAGCTTACCCAGGTCGAGGATGCGGTCCCCAGGCCTGTTCCAGCGCCAGCCCTCCAGCTGCTGGTGCTCTGTGTACTGAAGACGCCGGTCATGGAAGACTACTCGGATTATGCTCTGGGGACACACAGAAACATCACTGAGGAACCAGGAAGTACCTGCACTACTGATAGACCACATGGGAAATTGTCATTGGAACAGGCCAATGCAATCACTCACTCTCATGCCTATGGTCATGACTCAGTGTTCTTGTTAAACTTACCTTCACCATTTTGCCAGTGATTTCTGGGAGTTCACCCAATTTCCGATTGTCAAGCATTCGAATTTCATAAGACTGTCCTGAAATCGAAACATAATCTTTAGATAGATAGGATAGGACACACACAGTGCCTTCAGAAAGTATTCACACCCTTTGACTTCCCACATTTTGTTGTGTTACAGCCTGAATTTAAAATGGATTCAATTTAGATTTTGTCGTCACTGGCCTACACACAATACCACATCATGTCAAAGTGAAATTAAACATTTTTACAAATTAATTTAAAATGAAAAGCTGAAATGTCTTGAGTCAATAAGTATTCAACCCCTTTGTTATGGCAAGCCTAAATAAGTTCAGGAGTAAACATGTGCTTAACAAGTCACATAAGTTGCATAGACTCACTGTGTGTGCAATAATAGTGTTTAACATGATTTATTTTATGACTACCGCATCTCTGTACCCCACACATACAATTATCTGTAAGGTCCCTCAGTCGAGCAGTGAATTTCAAGCAAAGATTAAACCACAAAGACCAGGGAGGTTTTCCAATGCCTCGCAAAGAAGGGCACCTATTGGTAGATGGGTAAAAAAAAAAAGCAGACACTGAAAATCCCTTTGAGCATGGTGAAGTTATTACACTTTGGATGGGGTATCAATACACCCTGTCACTACAAGGATACAGGCATCCTTCATAACTGTAACTGTTGCCACAACCCAACTGATTGGCTCAAACGCATTAAGAAGGAAAGAAATTCCACAAATTAACTTTTAATTGAAATGCATTCCAGGTAACTACCTCATGAAGCTGGTTGAGAGAATGCCAAGAGTGTGCAAAGCCATCATCAAGACAAACGGTGGCTATTTGAAGAATCTCAAATATATTTTGATTTGTTTAACACTTTTTTGGTTACTACATGATTCCATATTGGCATTCTCTCAACCAGCTTCATGAGGTAGTCACCTGGAATGCATTTCAATTAACTAGTGTTCCTACTTAAAAGTTCATTTGTGGAATTTCTTTCCTTCTTAATGCGTTTGAGCCAATCAGTTGTGTTGTGACAAGGTAGGGGTGGAATACAGAAGATAGCCCTATTTGGTAAAAGACCAAGTCCATATTATGGCAAGAACAGCTCAAATAAGCAAAGTGAAACGACAGTCCATCATTACTTTAAGACATGAAGGTCAGTCAATCTGGAAAATTTCAAGAACTTTGAAAGTTTCTTCAAGTGCAGTCGCAAAAACCATCAAGCGCTATGATGAAACTGGCTCTCATGAGGACCGCCACAGGAAAGGAAGACCCAGAGTTACCTCTGCTGCAGAGGATAAGTTATTTAGAGTTAACTGCACCTCAGATTGCAGCCCAAATAAATGTTTCAGAGTTAAAGTAACAGACACATCTCAACATCAACTGTTCAGAGGAGACTGCGTGAATCAGGCCTTCATGGTGAAATTGCTGCAAAGAAACCACTACTAAAGGACACCAATAAGAAGAGACTTGCTTGGGCCAAGAAACATGAGCAAAGGACATTAGGCCGCTGGAAATGTGTCCTTTGGTCTGATGAGTCCAAATTTGACATTTCTGGTTCCAACTGCTGTGTCTTTGTGAGACGCAGAGTAGGTGAACGGATGATCTCCGCATGTGTGGTTCCCACCGTGAATCATGGAGGAGGAGGTGTGATGGTGTGGGGGTGCTTTGCTGGTGACACTGTCTGTGATTTATTTAGAATTCAAGGCACACTTAACCAGCATGGCTACCACAGCATTCTGCAGTGATACGCCATCCCATCTGGTTTGCGCTTAGTGGGACTATCATTTGTTTTTCAACAGGACAATGACCCAAAACACACCCCCAGTCTGTGTAAGGGCTATTTGACCAAGAAGGAGAGTGATGGAGTACTGCATCAGATGACCTGGCCTCCACAATCACCCAACCTCAACCCAACTGAGATGGTTTGGGATGAGTCAGACCGCAGAGTGAAGGAAAAGCAGCGAACAAGTGCTCAGCATATGTGGGAACTCCTTCAAGACTGTTAGAAAAGCATTCCGGGTGAAGCTTGTTGAGAGAATGCCAAGAGTGTGCAAAGCTGTCATCAAGGCAAAGGGTGGCTACTTTGAAGAATCTAAAATATATTTTGATTTGTTTAACACTTTTTTGGTTACTACATTTTTTTACATTTAGTCATGCTTCCATATGTGTTATTTCATAGTTTCATTGTCTTCACTATTATTCTACAATGTAGAAAATAGTAAAAATAAAGAAAAACCCTTGAATGAGTAGGTGTGTCCAAACTTGACTGGTACTGTATGTACATACACATATACACACAATCGTCTGGCTATTTCTTTTAAATTAGCATCAAATTCACAAGAAAAGCATGTAATGGAAATGGAAAAACAGACAGATGCTAACCTTGGTTGAGGTAGGTAAGTGTTTCATCATGCAGTTTGATAGCAGGCGAGGTAGCTGCACACAGAACATACTGGAAAGGAAGAATCTTGTTCTCACTGTCAGGCGGCAGGTTAGACTCCTCCTGCTTAAAAATAGGGAGGGCCAGCACGTCGCTGGAGAAAGAACCGCAAGACAACATGGTCAATGAACTGGCAAGCCACGGTCCTTTACAAGCACCTGACATTGGCATAGTATCAAGAACTGTCTGAAACAACAACTCAACAGAACGTGTACCTCCAGAATACAAGACAGACTGAGAAGGTGAGCTCAACTCATAAAATAGAAAAAAAAAATCCAAATCAAATTAAAACGTGAGGAAATTCTGTACCCACCCAATAAATGTAATGAAATTAATATTTCACTAGGAGCCACTGGAAAAGGACAAGTGATTTATAACACTCTTTCTTCACAGTTCATTACTTATGATAGTAAAAACCTGTGCCAAACAATCAACTACCTTGGTACAGTGCCTTGCAAAAGTATTCACCCCCCTTGGCGTTTTTCCTATTTTGTTGCATTACAACCTGTAATTTAAATTGATTTTTATTTGGATTTCATGTAATGGACATACACAAAATAGTCCAAATTGGTGAAGTGGAATGAAAAAAAGAACTTGTTTCAAAAAAGTCTAAAGAATAAATAACGGAAAAGTGGTGCATGCATATGTATTCACCCCCTTTGCTATGAAGCCCCTAAATAAGATCTGGTGCAACCAATTACCTTTAGAAGTCACATAATTAGTTAAATAAAGTCCACCTGTGTGCAATCTAAGTGTCACATGATCTGTCACATGAGCTCAGTATATATACACACCTGTTCTGAAAGGCCCCAGAGTCTACAACACCACTAAGCAAAGGGCACCACCAAGCAAGCGGCACCATGAAGACCAAGGAGCTCTCCAAACAGGTCAGGGACAAAGTTGTGGAGAAGTACAGATCAGGGTTGGGTTATAAAAAAAATATCTGAAACTTTGAACATCCCACAGAGCACCATTAAATCCATTATTAAAAAATTGAAAGAATATGGCACCACAACAAACCTGCCAAGAGATGGCCGCCCACCAAAACTCACGGACCAGGCAAGGAGGGCATTAATCAGAGAGGCAACAAAGAGACCAAAGATAACCCTGAAGGAGCTGCAAAGCTCCACAGCGGAGATTGGAGAATCTGTCCATAGGACCACTTTAAGCCATACACTCCACAGAACTGGGCTTTACGGAAGAGGGGCCAGAAAAAAGCCATTGCTTAAAGACAAAAATAAGCAAACACGTTTGGCATTTGCCAAAAGGCATGTGGGAGACTCCCGAAACATATGGAAGAAGGTACTCTGGTCAGATGAGACTAAAATTGAGCTTTTTGGCCATCAAGGAAAACACTGTCTGGCGCAAACCCAACACCTCTCATCACCCCGAGAACACCATCCTGTGGTCCTCTGTAGCTCAATTGGTAGAGCATGGCGCTTGTAACGCCAGGGTAGTGGGTTCGATCCCCGGGACCACCCATACGTAAAAAATTTATGCACACATGACTAAGTCGCTTTGAATAAAAGCGTCTGCTAAATGGCATATTATTATTAATATTATCATCCCCACAGTGAAGCATGGTGGTGGCAGCATCATGCTGTGGGAATGTTTTTCCATCGGCAGGGACTGGGAAACTGGTCAGAATTGAAGGAATGATGGATGCCGCTAAATACAGGGAAATTCTTGAGGGAAACCTGTTTCAGTCTTCCAGAGATTTGAGACTGGGATGGAGGTTCACCTTCCAGCAGGACCATAAGCATACTGCTAAAGCAACACTTGAGTGGTTTAAGGGGAAACATTTAAATGTCTTGGAATGGCCTAGTCAAAGCCCAGACCTCAATCCAATTGAGAATCTGTGGTATGACTTAAAGATTTCTGTACACCAGCGGAACCCATCCAACTTGAAGGAGCTGGAGCAGTTTTGCCTTGAAGAATGGGCAAAAGTCCCAGTGGCTAGATGTGCCAAGCTTATAGAGACATACCCCAAGAGACTTGCAGCTGTAATTGCTGCAAAAGGTGGCTCTACAAAGTATTGACTTTGGGGGGGGGGGGGGGGGGGGGTGAATAGTTATGCATGCTCAAGTTCTGTTTTTTTGTCTTATTTCACAATAAAAAATTATTTTGCGTCTTCAAAGTGGTAGGCATGTTGTGTAAATCAAATGATACAAACCCCCCAAAAAATCCATTTTAATTCCAGGTTGTAAGGCAACAAAATAGGAAAAATGCCAAGGGGGATGAATACTTACGCAGCCTGGGTATCTCATCCTCCCTCAACATAAGAATTACACTGACAATGAGGCACTTTTCAGGCACTTTAGTATCATGTAACAGAACACTTACAATACTGACAAAAGAGCAGTCTGAAAGAGAGGGATGTATCCCTTGCACAAAAACTGTTCCTGACGCAGGAAGAATCCCAAGACTGACAGATTAAGGCCTCCTCTTTTCTGGCATAAGAACAACCCTCAAGAGAGAACTGATGGAAGGTTAGGCCTATGCTAGCCCAATAATGGACTAAAGGAGCCTAACTTTACAGATTATAGTCCAAGGACCTTGTTCTGTTTAGAGGCGAATTGGGTCTGGCAACCAAAACAGGCAAATACTACATCTAAACGTGAATCGAAGCTCAATTGCAGTACGGTTTTAGAACCATAAAGCCCTTTACTTTCATATCACATCAAAATTATTTACACTTACTGTCCAGTGTTTTAACCGGTTTTAACACTTAAAGCCAACAGTATTTTCCAGTGACAACACGTTCATGGTGTCCGTCTTCTGTTTACACACAGGTGTTCGGAGACAGATGGCTAATTAGCACAGGTAGTCGACTGTCTTCCGTCTGTTCTCCGTTAAAAAAACACTAACATGAAAATATGGCCGTGTGGGAACCCTAACCCTACAAAGGTGTGTAGTAATTTAATATTTTTAAAATGTTTAGTCTTATTTCTCCCTGATATGAAAGATTGATTCCTTATGTTCCTTATGTACAAGCGATGCGTGTTAACGTTTAGAGCAAGCGTCGGGGCTCTTAATAAAACTCCCCCGGCCAGAAGATACTATCGTCAATAGGTGCTAATGGTAGTCTATGAACGGGCAAACTCATGAATTTGTGGCAAAAAAAAAGCTTTTTCTGTAAAACACTACAAAATGTGTGTGTGATGTGTTTAAAAAAAAAAAAAACACAAAAAACTAACTACATTTGACATACACAGTATTTTGAGAAGCTGTCCTATCCACCAACACAAATAGTAGGCAAACGGTAAACTATAGTGTAGGAGAGACAATTTAGCAACATTGAGAATAGGAAACATTCTAAATGCATTCTATGTGTTCTATAACACACAGTACTTTACAGCTTCACTATTCATAGGTTCCTTTGCTGACGCTCTCGCTGAACTGAAAACACACACTCCTGACAATTAAAGCAGCACCACCCGACACCATGCAAAATGCCAAATTACTAGAGAGCAACGGCCACCAACTCATTATAGGCTAACTGATACAGATGATAGGGTCTACTCTTGAATAGGCTACTCCTCAAGACAAATAATGCAGTTTTTTTTTTTTTTCACTGACAGACAGATTTCTATGAAAGTTCAAAGTAGTATGTCTTGCCATTTTAACATTTCAATAGACTTCCAATTATGATTCATACCTCATACTGTACGCGCCAGCTCCAAGCTCTTGTCCAATGCCAGAGAGACTGGCATCAAAGTCCTGGACCAGACCTGATTCAATCACCTCATCAGTGAGCGGCAACTTCAGAGCCCAAGCCATGACGACGCGTGGATCTGATTGCAGTCGAACTTGTCTCAAATTCTAGATCCCTAGCCTCAAAATTCCAAACTGCAAATTTCTTACAGCCTGGCAGATGTCTTCTGCTACCAAACTGGAAGAGAAACGCCATGAGACATACACAGTTCAGTATCAGTGTAAAGACTATTGGTTTAACATAGGCCTAGCAAACGAATTGACAGATATAGAGATTCCAGATTGTATGGACCACAAAATGTCATCACACAGCTGGCAGGTATTGCACTATACCACATTAAAGATATTGAAGCTAGAATGACTGCTAACTTATATGTTGTGTGTAACGTTAGTTGCTAGCGAATGTACAAAATGAAAAGTTTTGCTATGCACATATGGCATAATGTTACTGTCCTAACGTTAACTACTTGCTAACTCACTACTGTAACGTAGCTACCTGGCGAACTTGACTGATTGTGAATGAATGTTTTAGCTAGTTAACGTTACAGCTCAACGGGGTTCGTCGTGTTAAATTATGAACGCACTTCTAGCTAGTACTTAGATAGCTATCGAACTTACCTTTGAAACCAAGTAAGTTGGCTAGCTAACCCTGCGACCATTGCATGCCATGTTGCTCCCTCGTTCTCGCCATATCGAGATAACCAACGTTAGCTAGCTAGCTATCTCCAACATGAGCTAACTACTCTTCGGGGAAACAGCGCTGTGGACACTGATTATTTGAATTTAACAACATGAGCACTAATTGAGTCGTATATGGTAGTTAATTAAATCTGCATTAATCGTTATACAAACCAAATAATATGTTTGTTTATCTACTCGGCTAGAAAAGCTGCTGCTACTTCGTCTTCTTCTTCTATGAAATTATGGCGGTCCGCAAACAAACGTTTAAGGTGTATGCCGCCACCTACTGTGCTGGTCTGCCTAATTCTATACCACTAAGAATTTAAATAAGAATAATAATTAATATAATAATAATTAATATTTGTTATAAATAAAAACCCTTCCAAGCCCCCCAACCCATTAAACTGTATCTATACTGAACAAAATTATAAATGCAACATGCTACAATTTCTATGATTTTACTGAGTTACAGTTCGTATAAGGAAATCAGTCAATTTAAATAAATAAATTAGGGCCTAATCTATAGATTTCCACTGGGGAGCTCAGTTTCATCAGCTGTCGGGGTGGCTGGTCTCAGACCATCCCGCAGGTGAAGAAGCTGGATGTGGAGGTCCTGGGCTGACGTGGTTACACGTGGTCTGCGGTTGTGAGGCTGGTTGGACGTACTGCCAAATTCTCTAAAACGACATTGGAGGCAGCTTATGGTAGAGAAATGAACATTCAATTCTCTGCCAACAGCTCTGGTGGACATTCCTGCAGTCAGCATCCTATTTGCACACTCCCTCAAAACAGACATCTGTGGCATTGTGTTGTGAGACAAAACTGCACATTCTAGTGGCCTTTTATTGTCCCCAACACAAGGTGCACCTGTGTAATGATCATGCTCTTTAATCAGCTTCTTGATATGCCATACCTGTCAGGTGGATGGATTACCTTGGCAAAGGAGAAATGCTCACTCACAGGGATGTAAACTAATTTGTGCACAAAATTTGAAAGAAATAAGCTTTTTGTGCATATGGAACATTTCTGGGATATTTTATTTCAGCTCATGAAACATGGGACCAACACTTTACATGTTGCATTTATATTTTTGTTGAGTGAATCATTGGTTTATACACATAATTGGCGCTCACAGACGCCATAATTGGACGTCTATGCGGACGACACCATTTTGTATACATCTGGCCCTTCATTGGACACTGTGTTAACAAACCTCCAAACGAGCTTCAACGCCATACAACACTCCTTCCGTAGCCTCCAACTGCTCTTAAACACTAGTAAAACTAAATGCATGCTCTTCAACCGAACGCTGCTTGCACCCGCCCACCCGACTAGAATCACTACTCTCGGCGGGTCTGACCTAGAGTATGTGGACAACTACAAATACATAGGTGTCTGGTTAGACTGTAAACTCTCCTTCCATACTCACATTAAGCATCTCCAATCAAAAGTTAGATCTAGAATCGGCTTCCTATTTCGCAACAAAGCCTCCTTCACTCATGCTGCCAAACATGCCCTCGTAAAACTGACTATCCTACCGATCCTTGACTTCGGCGATGTCATTTACAAAATAGCCTCCAACACTCTACTCAGCAAATTGGATGTAGTCTATCACAGTGCCATCCGTTTTGTCACCAAAGCCCCATATACTACCCACCATTGTGACCTGTACGCTCTTGTTGGCTGGCCCTCACTACATATTCGTCGCCAAACCCACTGGCTCCAGGTCATCTATAAATCACTGCTAGGCAAATCCCCGTCTTATTTTAGCTCACTGGTCACCATAGCAACACCCACCCGTAGTCTGCGCTCCAGCAGGTACAGTGCTATGAAAAAGTATTTGCCCCCTTTCTAATTTTCTCTACTTTTGCATATTTGTGATACTGAATGTTATCAGATCTTCAACCAAAACCTAATGTTAGATAAAGGGAACATAAGTGAACAAATAACAGAAAAATTACATGGTTCCAGTAATGCCTGGCGAAAACCAAACTCTGCATTCCACAGTAAGAACATCATACCAAAGGTCAAGCATGGTGGTGGTGGTGTGATGGTTTGGGGATGCTTTGCTGCCTCAGGACCTGGACGACTTGCCTTAATAGAAGGAACCATTAATTCTGCTCTGTATCAGAAAATTCTACAGGAGAATGTCAGACCATCCGTCTGTGAGCTGAAGCTGAAGCGCAGCTGGGTCATGCAGCAAGACAATGATCCAAAACACACGATCAAGTCTACATGAAAATTGCTAAAAAGCAACAAATTGGAAGTTTTGGAATGGCCTAGTCAAAGTCCAGACCTAATCCCAATTGAGATGTTGTGGCAGGACTTGAAACGAGCAGTTCCTGCTTGAAAACCCACACGTCACTGAGTTAAAGCAGTTCTGCATGGAAGAGTGGGCCAAAATTCCTCCACAGCGACGTGAGAGACTGATCAACAACTACAGGAAGCATTTGGTTGGAGTCATTGCAGCTAAAGGTGGCACAACCAGTTATTGAGTGTAAGGTGGCAATTACTTTTTCACACAGGGGAATTGGGTGTTGCATAACTTTGTTTATGAAATAAATGAAATAAATATGTAATTGTTGTGTTATTTGTCCACTTATGTTCCCTTTATCTAATATTATGTTTTGGTTGAAGATCTGATAACATTCAGTATCACAAATATGCAAAAGTAGAGAAAATTAGAAAGGGGCAAATACTTTTTCATAGCACTGTATATCTCATTGGTCATCCCCAAAGCCAACACCTCCTTTGGCTGCCATTCCTTCCAGTTCTCTGCTGCCAATGACTGGAACGAACTGCAAAAATCTCTGAAGCTGGAGACTCTTATCTCCCTCACTAACTTTAGGCATCAGTTGTCAGAGCAGCTTACCGATCACTGCACCTGTACACAGCCCATCTGTAATTAGCCCATCCAACTACCTCATCCCATATTGTTATTTATTTTGCTCATTTGCACCCCAGTATCTCTATTTGCACATCATCTTTTGCACATCTATCATTCCAGTGTTAATACGAAATTGTAACTATTTTGCACTATGGCCTATTTATTGCCTTACCTCCATAATTTACTACATTCGCACACACTGTATATATATATATTTTCTGTTGTATTTTTGACTTTATGTTTTGTTTACCCCATATGTAACTCTGTGTTGTTGTTTTTATCGCACTGCTTTGCTTTATCTTGGCCAGGTCGCAGTTGTAAATGAGAACTTGTTCTCAACTGGCTTACCTGGTTAAATAAAGGTTAAATAAAAAATAAAAAAAATAAAAAGAAGAGTCCTTTATCATTCTCTATGGCATTTGTGGATCTGAAGAGACTGGATATGTGTGAAATATGACAGAATCCCTTTGGAAGCCACAAATAATCTTTACTAGAGATGTCATAAGCAAGGGGTTAAGGTCTAGAGAAAGGACAAGGGATTGTTAGTGTGATTTAGACCTATTTTTTAAGTCAGAAGTCAAGACAATAAAAGACTCAGGCAGTGTTCAGTAAGCCTTTATTTGGCAGAGAATGTCCAGATACAAAATAACATAATAGTCACTCTCATGACCTCATCTCACACATAATCTATTCAGATGTATTACTGGTTTTATACTGCACACCTTATACAACAAGTGTAAATAATATTTGTTATGCCCAACATCAACAAAATGTGTGATATAATTAGTTAAAATCGGAAAACAACACTATTAAACTGTGTTCACCTTGGATTTTCATTTGCATTCTGTCATCTCAAAATTATTCAGACAAAAGACAATTCACTGGGGAGAATCCTAAAAAAGTTTTAGGTTATAGATACCTCTGAAATGGCAGTTGTGTAACATAACACATGATTCATATAGCAATTATTTTCTTCCTTTCTGAAAACATATTATCAATCTTAAAAGGCAATTATGGGGAACAAATTAAATTAATTACACGGTTCAGCATGGCATATCACAGACATAGACAAACATCAGAATATGAATTATATCAATTTGGGACCACAAACGACCAAGTATTGTAGTTTATTCTCATTCAGTCATGTACCACACTGGCTAAAGATAACCTTACAAAATTGATGCTCATTAGGCATTGAAGTCTGACCATTAAAAAATGTTTGCGTCTGTATGTCAAGCAAAACATGATCAACCACTTAAATATGCTGGGTAACCAGTTGTCATTTGCTACATTTTCAAATATGTTGGATAGACCAGACATAAAAACCAATGAAGATTCAACATTTTCTAGAACAATAAAAATGATAGATTTCCAAATATAATAAACTTAATTTAGCGTTCGCCAACCTACAAAGCTGCATCCCTCTTCATCTGCAATCAAGGCTTTTCAGAAGTTATCTCTAAAGTGCAAACAATTACGAGGTTATAGAAAAGGGCGGGGAAGCCATTAGGTACTTCAATTTTGTTTGTCCCTAAAATACCATTCCTTTTAGCTGAGAATCTGTATTTCATATACATTAATAATAACAATCAATTCATTCACATAGTCAAGTTGTTTTATTCAATCAATTTGATTAATTAGATAATTCTTTATGTCACGTAAGTATTCTCAATATACAGTACACATTAAACCGCACTGACGCCTGACTCACTTGAGACAGGCTGTGTTTTAAACTCTTGACTCTGTGATATCTGCGGATGGACCATGCAGGGCTGACATCTGTTAACTATTTGAAATAATGTACAAGTGGCTTTTACAGATGAACTAATCCAAAATGACAACCTTTACCATGGTAAACAAAGGGGCATTGCTTTTGGATGCATTTGCTGTTTGTGTTGTGTTTGTGTGTTGTGGTTGTGTTTCAAATTATTTTGTGCCGAATAGAAATTAATGCTAAAAAATGTATTGTGTCATTTTGGAGTCATTTTTATTGTAAATAAGAATATAATATGTTTCTAAACACTTCTACATTAATGTGGATGCTACCATGATTACTGATAATCCTGAATGAATCGTGAATAATGATGAGTGAGAAAGTTAGACGCACAAATATTGTACATACCAGTTCCAAACCTATTTTGGTGGCACCAGCATAATATCAGAACAGATTGATCAGATGTTGTACAACTGTAACCAAATATATTTAGAGGCTATTGCCACAAAATTCATAGACAGCCACTTGCAAAACTGTATTGTATGTGTATAAAACCAGGTGTATCAAAATTCCAGCCATTGCTTTACAAACGGCATTATATCAATAAATGAAAGAGGTTGTCAAACTGACAATAGAGGGTCTGTGAACATTAACCCAATCACGTTTCACATGCAATGTCTTTCTTTCTCTCCCACACACACACATCAAAACATATGGAGATAACTGAGTATTCTATGTCCATATAGTAAGACTCAGTTCGTGTCATTCAGTGTCCATATAATTTTTTACTTACTAAGGTTGACTGTGTTACGGTCTTTACAAAATGTTTTTCTTTAGCTGATTATGCGGTCCTTCCAACTTACCTACTAGTCAATGGCCAATTACTACTGCACAGGCTTACGGCTGCACTTGAAACACATTGATCTTGCTGGTGTTTTTCAGTGTCTGCCGCCTGTTGCAGAACCATACACGCACAACCTCACGGTCGTAGTTGAGCTCCTTAGCGATTTCCGTAATCTCCTGGCCCGTTGGCAGGGCATTCTTCTCAAAGTAGGTGTTGAGCACTTCGATGGCCTGCGGGGTGAAGCTGGTGCGACGCTTGCGTTTCTTGGATGGCTCACCACCCACAAACTCCATCAAATTCTGCTGACCCTTCTGGTTCCACAGCTCTGCTTCAGCCAGCCACCGCTCCAGCACAGGCTTCAGCTTCTGAGCACTCTTGGGTGTAATGTCCAGCTTCTCAAACCTGCAAGAAGCAACAACTTATAAACTAATAACACAATAGCCTCTGATCAACCAGAGTACCTGACCCCATTTAATCTTTATTTAACTGTCAGAGCTACTATCCTGTGACATTCCTACTATAGTATCAAGACTTCCAAAATATAACCCTAGAACTACAATGTCCATAGCATACAAACATACACTATTTATCATATTTGATAGAAAGGATTTCAGAAACCTTGTACTGTGCTGCCTGCAACCACCCCCACCCAGTAGGCCAGAGGAGTTTACCTGCAGATGGCAGACTGGCTGTAGGCCGGTCCCTCTGTAGCCGTAAGGGCCTGTCCCACTTGTGTCTGCGTCAGCCCCAGGGACAGCCGGCGGATCTTGAAGTTCTTGGCAAACTCTCGAATCTCTTCCAGATTAATGCCCTCCTCATCTGTGCACCCTTGCTGTGGCTCTAAAGAGGGGAATAGACGAACCAGATATAAATATCTACCTACTTGTAAAAATATCTCTGATTGTAGAGAAGATGGGGATGTAGCTCAGTTGGTAGAGCATGGCGTTTGCAACGCCAGGGTTGTGGGTTCGATTCCCACAGGGGGCCAGTATGAAAATAAATAAAATATATATATAAAAAAATATAAATAATAATAATAATAATGTATGCACTCACTAACTGTAAGTCGCTCTGGATAAGAGCGTCTGCTAAATGACTAAAATGTAAAATGTAAAAAAATGTAAGATGCTGCTTTTTCTTGGCCCGGCTACCTTGAAAAATATGTAAATCTCAAATGTGACTTCCCTGGTTAAATATACGATCAAATTAAATTAATAATAAATAAATAAAAGTGAACCACGTACTGCTGACGAGCTGGCCCACAGTGGGTGTCTCCCCACAGGTGATAGGGACTGAGGAGGAGATTGGAGTGACTGTCTTCATTGCAGACGGTTGTGGGGCGATGACCACAGGTGACTGCGTAACAGTTGTTACCTGAGCCTGAGGGGAAATTTCTGTCAGCAATGGATTAATGGTAACATCCAAAAGGCAATAACAAAGACTCACCATTCTCACTTTAAACCAATTTCGACCAACACCCCATAAAAACAGCATTTACAATTTTTCTGAAATTCTGATGGAGCACTCATAAGGACAAAATTGGTGGAGAAGGGTACCTGGGTGCTGGGCTTCGAGAATGTCACAGGAACATTAGGCTTGGGAATAACCGCAGCAGAAGTGGGGACTGTAGCAGGTCCATTCCCTATGGTGGCAATGATCTGGCCCTGGTTGTTCAGAACCAGCTGTGGCTGGACTGTCTGGACCTGCAGGCCTTGAAAGCCCTGGAGATTCAGAGCCTGAGTAGCAGCCCCTCCTGTCAGTGAGGCAGGGTTCAGCATCAGGGGGATGGTTCCAATCACCTGGATGCCACATTTAAAGAATTAGGGCATATACTTATTAGTAACACTATACAAAAGGATTTATAAATAGTTTATAAGTTGTTTATTAACTGATTATCATAATACTATAACCTTTATAGATAAATACAAGTTTATAAATCTATAATAACAACATAGTCATAAGACATTAGTTGAAATTGTGTGATTGTTACTATGATCCTTGAAAAATAGTGAGCATGTTTGCTTGGTGGTTATGTTTGTCCTGTAACCCACCTGTCCCTGTGCGTTGGTGATGATCTGGCTGGTGATTCCAGACATGGCACTGGTGATGATGGGAGTGGATGTAAGGGAGCTGATGAACTGAGGCTGAGCCCCTAGAGATGCAGCACTGATCTGGGAGGATTGAAACGGAGGCATCCAGAACATATTGTTCTACTATCGATAATGTCATCATTTTGAATATAAGGTACACTATATTCAAGAGTGTGGATGAACAACAAGGCAATGTTAAACCATCTGCTCAAGTTATGCAGACTTATGTCCAAACTTTAAAGTTAAAAACATGAAAAACAAATACACGCACATCACATTAACCCTTTACACTCGTACCTGTATACAGGTTGGAAATGGCAGATTTGAAATTAGAACGCAGTAGCTGTACAGTAATATGCTATACATTAAGTCAGAGTTCAGGCTCTGCGCTTCACAGCTCTCTATGGGTTTTGACTGATAGCCATTCTGAACTTGAGCACCGCATGCGACAAGAAGTTTATAGATTTATTTTTTATTTAACTAGGCAAGTCAGTTAAGAACAAATTCTTATTTACAATGACGGCCTACCGTTGCCCCGATCCACCCGCTAATTGGGCAACTTTTGCACATTTGTTGTTGTCAGAGTGAGAGAAACGCTGTAAATTAAGAGGACTCAATGTATTTTGAAAGATGAGACGTTGAGGATTATAATAAATACCACTTTGATGTCATACAAGCAAGCCAAACACCCATGAGTCCAAATGAGCACTTCACATTTCCATATCATACACTCCTAGAAAAGGGTTCCAAAAGGGTTCATCGGCTGTCCCCATAGAACACTTTTTGGTTCCAGGTAGAACCATTTTGGGTTGCATGTAGAACCCTCTGTAGAAAGGGATCTACATGGAACCAAAAAGGTTATACCTGCAACCAAAAAGGGTTCTTCAAAGGGTTTTCTTCCAAGCACCTTTTCTTCTAAGAGTGTAAAACTCATGTCATATACAGTGTCAACTGTTATGTTTGATGTACAGTCACAAGATGACATGGCGTCATACCCTGGGTTGTTCTGAACAGAATGAGCCTGTTTGTCTATTGTGAAGAAAATTTGCTGCAGAACACACACCTGAATGCACACGACTCCTTTCTATGAGCACCAAAATTACGATCCGTTTCTCTGAATTGCCCTGTGAAAGCCTTACACTGTAAGATCGTATTTTATAACTTAGTCATGTTGGCAATAGAACAAGCTTTCGAATGATGCCCACCTGACCCAGATTGCGATTTATAATGGTCTGTCTTTGGATTGTGTAAAGAACAACGGTGATGGCGGGGATGCAGGGTTGTGTTCCAAACAAAACAAGTATGCTTGCTCTAGTTTCTCAACGGCACAGCTAGGAACAATTTTTTAAAAGCACCTTATAGTTGAAGACTATGTCCTGAAAGTGCATTGAAATTACTTAGGAAATGCACATAAAATCAACAGTGTAGTGTTTGAATTCAGTCTTGTGTCAGGTGAACTGTTGTGTCCTCAACTTTGGTCTACAAATTGTCCCATGCTTATGCTTTTCATATTTATTCTTGAAGAAACATTTAAATGTAGCCCTATCCATATACTGTAGGCCAATTTCCACGAGTGTAAAAGGTTAACTCACATACATGACAATACAGAAACACATTCTTACAATGGCAGGGTTGATGGAGAGGCCTGCAGAATGGAGTGTTGCCACAGACACACTGGGCTGAGAGACGGCTGGCATGGCTCGGGCCAGTTGGGCTGCGGTCACCTGCGTGTTCTGCTGAGCCTGCTGCATAGCTGCCTGGACCTGCTGTAGTGATGCTGTCTGAGACTGGAAAACCGTCTGCTGGGCCTGGACAGGGTTTAGCACAGTGGCTGCTGGGAAAGAAGAGCACAAACACATACAGATAAAGCCTCACTGTCCCCATGTGGTAGCCAAAAAATTATTGACTGTTGATTCAATGTGGATTAATGCAGAGATACATATTCTGTGAGGTGTGTATCTCTGCCATGTCTTACTTTGCAAGCCTTGTAAGCCGGCAAAGGGTAGTTTGAGGAGGCCTCCGGACTGGCTGGCAGCTGAAAGGCCAGGGAGTGTGGCTACGTTGCTGGTGGGGAAGGTGAGGACAGCCAGGCCTTGGCCCCCCATGGACCCTGCCATGCTGAGGGGGATGAGCAGGGGCTGGCCCAGGGAGCCTGTCTGGGCCATCATCCCTGTCATCAGAGTGGCCAGACCATCCTGGGTCAGGACCTACAGGGAAGGAGGAGGGGGTTATTAGGAAGAGGGGTGACAAATAAACAGGATAAAAATTATTGGCAGATGAAGGAACCACACATTACACAAAAAAAGTATGTATTTTAGTTTAATTGTTCTCACCTGTTGACAGCCCTGCAAGCTCTGCACAGTGATGGGCATGGTGGCCTGTGGCTGCGACAGGGATACACTGATGGGAACTGCAGTCTGAGCAAGATTCTGGACAGCAGAGGCTGCAGAATCCACAGCCACCACCTGCTCCCCCAGCACTGACAGCACAGAGAGAGAACACACTGTTTGTCTACCATCAGCACACACCCCACATCACTCTTAAAACATTTGTGAAACATTTTTACACTGCAGCATTAAACAAGATGCAGTTTAACCTGTATTGCATGGAGTCTAACCTACCGTATCGGTATCCTACAAAGGGCTCACCTACTCCCCCAGTGTTGTGGGGTGCTGGCGGGCTGTCCTGTGTTCCTGCCTCAGGTTGCATAGCCTGATTACTCACATCCTCACCCCCCAAACCAGTCCTCCCATCAGGCACTGAGGATGGAAGAGAGGCTTGATCTACCTCCACTTCCAGGACACGGATGGTCTCATGACCAGACATCACTATCACCTGTGCAGCAGTGGGGAGCACAAGACAAGGGCTCGTATTCAAAAAGTGTCTCAGAGTAGGGGTGCTGATCTAGGATCCGTTTTGCCTTTTAGATCATATGAATAAGACTACATGGAAATGAGAGACCTGGTCCTAGACCAGCACTCCTACTGAGAGAAGCTTAATTGGAATACAAGCACAAGTCACGCAACTACACAATAAATGACTCATCATCTATTCTCAGCAGCGTAAATGTTTTTGTTCCGAGCCATGACCAGGAATATAGGTCATCATGTAGTAATTATATAATTATAAGGCATATACATCCAGGCTAGGCTCAGTGTTACTCCATTAAAATTATCTAAATGTTGCCATACCATTCGGTCTCGATCTACTGAGACAACCCAGGTAGAGGACAATGTCTATTGGTTACTTGTGGAACAGAGTAACAGCAGTAATTAGCCTTATCCTAATTATCCTATTTGTATATTATTAGTAAATATAACAAAGCAAAGACATGATGCATGCGTGGATGCAGCCATGAAAGGTGTAAAGGAGAGGCACAGAAAACCTGAGCTGGAGGGCAAGGTGCAGACAGAGAGACAGTGCAATGCAGGAAAGACTGAAAGCATACCTGGTTGTTTTTGGTAGGGAATTTCAAAGTGCAGGAACCTAATGGCTGAAAAAATATGTCTGCAGTCAGACAGTGAATGGCTAAGGAGAACAACAGAGAGGCCAAGCACACACGTTAGGACACAATGAACCAAAACAAAAGCACACAAATGAAAAAAAAACATTAGTTCAACAAAACTACAACAAGAGTGTCAGCCAACAAGCAGCTCAAGCGATGCTTTCTGAGAGCTCCTCTCATAATTCAAGAAATAAATTGCTTTAGTTTGCTGACTATGAGTGTAAAGGACACAGCCGGAGTGAACATACACAATTAATCAATAAGCATGAAAGAGTGTAGCGCAAACTCAGAAGTGTTACGGAAGCGGTATTAATTGATGACATATTAAGTGGCAAACTACACTACATGGCCAAAAGTATGTGGACACCTGCTCGTCAAACATCTAATTCCAAAATCATGGGCATTCATATGGAGTTGGTCCCCACTTTGCTGCTATAACAGCCTCCACTCTTCTGGGAAGGCTTTCCACTAGATGTTGGAACATTGCTGCGGGGACTTGCTTCTATTCAGCCACGAGAGCATTACTGAGGTCGGGCACTGATGTTGGGCGATTAGGCCTGGCTCGCAGTCGGTTTTCCAATTCATCCCAAAGGTGTTCGATGGGGTTGAGGTCAGGGCTCTGTGCAGGCCAGTCAAGTTCATCCACACTGATCTCGACAAACCATTTCGGTATGGACCTCGCTTTGTGCACGGGGGCATTGTCATGCTGAAACAGGAAAGGGCCTTCCCCAAATTGCCACAATGTTGGAAGCACAGAATCGTCTAGAATGTCATTGTATGCTGTAGCGTTAAGATTTCCCTTCACTGGAACTAAGGGGCCTAGCCCGAACCATGAAAAACAGACCCAGACCATTATTCCTCCTCCACCAAAATGTAAGGTTGGCACCATGCATTCGGGCAGGTAGCGTTCTCCTGGCATCCGCCAAACCCAAATTAATCAGTCGGACTGCCAGATGGTGAAGCGTGATTCATCACCCCAGAGAACGCTTTCTACTGCTCCAGAGTCCAATGGCGGCGAGCTTTACACCACTCCAGCTGACGCTTGGCATTGCGCATGGTGATCTTAGGCTTGCGCTTTAGCACTCGGTGGTCCCGTTCTGTGAGTTTGTGTGGCCTACCACTTCGCGGCTGAGCCGTTGTTGTCCCTAGACGTTTCCACTTCACAATAACAGCACTTACAGTTGACCGAGGCAGCTCTAGCATGGCAGAAATCTGATGAACTGACTTGTTGGAAAGGTGGCATCCTATGCCGGTGCCACGTTGAAAGTCACTGAGCTCTTCAGTAAGGCCATTCTACTGCCAATGTTTGTCTATGGAGATTGCATGGCTGTGTGCTCGACTTTATACACCTGTCAGCAACGGGTGTGGCTGAAATAGCCAAATCCACTCATTTGAAGGGGTGTCCACATACTTTTTTATATAGTGTGTATGTCAACCTCAAGATGACTGTGTGGGGTTAATCATTCCAAATATATGGTGACATGGAGGTGGCAACAGTTCATGACAGAAGACTATAAAGCAGAGGCAACATAGATTTTGGAAAGTTGGGCAGGGGTGTGTTACTAACATGATATCAGGTAGTGTTGACAGAGAGGTTAGTGGTACCTGTTCATTGACAGTGAGGGGTGTGTCAGCAGCAGGGAGATCCTGAGGGTCCATGGTTCAGTGCTCTCACCACCAAGCAGTCACTGTCTTGATATTCTAAGTAAGGCGGGAGAATACTGTACCATCAAAACTACCAGGTATTAAGCTAGCCTATGTGAATTGTGTTTTCCATCTATGTGGTGTGCTGATACTTTTTCTATATACTCTATGAAATAAAGGTTGTAGACATTAGTGCTACTAAAAACGACTGTTCAATAGCAAATAGTTCAAATAACCCTCCTACATTTAGTGTCTGATAGGCTTATCTAATAAAATGGTGGTCAGATGTGCAGGCAGGCAGCTGTAGCCATGACAATTTGGTTTATAGTAGTAGTTAAAGCAGGGATGGGCAACTGGCGGACCCCTTTTGTAGGCCCGCGGATACATTTCCACAAGAACCAAAATATATATGTATCTTTTAGTGGCCCACACTCCCATCAAAGTTGCCCATCACTAAGTTAAAGGGTATAAAAACAACTAATCAAATGATGGCTCAAAAGTGAGAGCACTAGAAATAGAAGTCACAACTAGGATATTTAGTCCGGACAGTGTAGGCCTACTTGTACTGGGGACTACAGGGGTGCACGCTCACACACAGTAATAATAGACTGTATGACTTGATTTTTCATAAAGGCAACGTCTTTATGTCAAATTAAACATATGAATAATGCACCATGAATAGGCAGCTTCTTGATCATAAGTGGCCTAGCCCTAGAAAATAGGCCCTCCTGCGTCTCCCCAAACATCTAGCTTTCTAGAACGATAACAGCTGAAAAAAACTATTCGAGATTCTAATATTTTAACGTAACGTCAAAAAGATAAGTGGCGCGCAGCACACCCCAACACAGAAATTATAGATCTGTCAAAACTTCGGCAGGTGTTGATCCCCATACACCACCCCCAACCTAGCCGCAATAAAAGTATCGCCGTGTACTTATTTGAGGACACGATGTTACCCATTAAACATGCTGCGACCAAAATCACCCGCCATTCCATGCCTGGGGACTGTATTTTATGTGTTTCCCTCTCTTTATCATAAATATATAAATTATGCTAATTAAGAGCATTGCATATTAACAAAAAAACGACTTTCCTCTCGCCATTTCGTCGCGCTATAGCGGATGGGAGTCTTAAACTGAAAGCAAAGCAAAGCAACTTACCGTAAATGTGTCTTATTTTCTGAGGTTCTCCCCTTTTAAAATCTTTGCCACAGTTTGTTTTAGTCACACATAATTAAAAATCCATCTCACCGCTCCAGACAGGAGCTGTGGCTGCACACAAAAGAGTCATTTGCATTGATAAGGAGGGTTGGGATCCTTTTTTTCTTAATATTTAATGACGGTCCCTTCGGTACTACAATTCAGATTACCTATATTCCTCAAGATACCATCTAAAATCGATTTCTGCTGTAAAGACCAATGGAAAATACCACTAAAATTACAACAAATCTGGCCTTTTGCACTACGTCATGAGCATAATTTATGCAAGTAAAATCTTGCATTGAAAAATGTCTGCCTCGACTTGAGAGGAGCCATGGCTGCCTTAAAGGGAAAGTGCATCTTTAAAAGGACAGTTTATAGCACTTTGGCAAAGGTGAATAGGGATCAATTGCTTATTATCTTTAAAAAATATATGTGGTACAGAATAGAATGTAGCAGCAAAGAGACTCCGTGGAACTTTTCCCTCTGGAGGTCAAAAGGGGTCCTCTGGCCTAGAAATACTGTCCAGAAGTAATTACTTAATTGGACAGATAGGGCACACCCATGAGCATAAATTGTTTCCCTAAATACTAAGGATTTGTGTTTTCATTACATAATTGTAACCTGTTGTCACATTTCACATGCACCGTTGGTACAGAGTATTGATTGATTATATATGACCTACTAGCACCATATTTCACTGCATTTCTCTTGGAGGAATAGTCCTTGGTGTGTTTTCTCTCCATTTTCTTGCCAGCTGGCAGACACTGGCATTTGCATGCATTTGTAGTGTATTGCCATGGAGCTCAAAGGGAGAGCTGAGATGTTTGAATCTTTAATTAGCCCCATGGCAAGTGCTCTCTACTGTCTGTTCAATCACAATGTCCTCTATCATCGAAGCTGAAATATTCCTGCCAAGAATTTACTAACTGTCACTTAATGATCAGAATAGTGTATTAAAAGATTTTGAATAAAATTGCTATATCATCCTCCATATCATCACCCTGATGGGCATTAGTGATGATGTGGTGATGTACCCCCAATTGTTTTCTTATGGATCAAAAAAGTAACCAATAATGTTTTTATAATGATCAACGTCAAATAGGTTTTTAGACTAGGAAGTATTTGAAGACTAGCAGAATAAATAGCAGGAAACGTAAAGCAAATATATATATATATATATATACATTTTAATTATCTTGAATGTTATCCAACAGTTTATGTCTAGGTCTGGTTGAGCACCTTCAGTGCCCACTTTTCCCATGCCATGGAACATTTATTAAATATAAAGAAAACTACAAAGTAAATTGAGCCAGTTAGGTAATGTAAAATAATTTACACAGCGCACGCACTTTCACCCGTAGAATGGGAGTGGCGAAGCACATATGACGTAACTGCATCCACCGTCACAACACAAATCTAGAGAAAAACAAGGAAGTGAACGGTCACGTAACTCTGAACTGTTATCTCAATTTTTAGTATTAAAACGGTCCTTATATAAAATACTTTTAGCTTCAGAATAATCGTATTCGACGCATTAAACCGCACACCAATTCAGGACAATGAACAACAAAGGTAATTTAGCTAACGTCCACAACCATTGTATTAGCTCACATGCTAGCTATCTAACAACAGCGGCTAAGGGTTAGTTAGCTAGATAGCTAACAATCGAGACTAAAAGGTCTACTTGACCGAAGTCTTTTCTGTTTCCATTATAAATTAGCCCAACCACTAAGGTAGATACTGGTGTCTAAATCGTAATAGAGTCGACATGTAAGTAGCCAGCTAGCTTTCTAGGTAGCTAACGTTAATGTTGCCCAATACGTAACATTAGAAAGCTTGCTGTAGTTACTACATGCTAATTAGCTTGTAGCCGCATACTCTGACCTCAATATCACTATCCAGCTAGCTTTTGCAGTTAGCTCTAGGACCTGTCATAGTCACTATTATGTCAGTTGGGTAAGTGTTTTGTTGTGACAATATTAACTTAGCTAGCTAACGTTAACTAATTATTATTGATGAAAGAAGTATTTTCTGCATGTTATGTTAGCTAGCTATACGTTTCTTAAATTAGACCGGTTGGTAGTAGATTGCAAACTACGTTAGCCCTGAATAATGTTTTGCTATTGTGTGAAGATTGAGTAAAACAGAGAAATGTGGGTATTGATAATAGTATAATATTATGTATCAATAATAGTATAATTGTGTATCACAGGTTCCTATCCCCAGCAAGCTGTGTACCCTCAGCAGAGTAGTGCACCCATCTACCCACCTGCGATGCAAGTGTCTCCCCAGGCACCCCCTTACTCAGACGCACCACCTGCATACTCTGAGGTAACAAGTTTATTCCAAATATAAATGTCTATCTACTTTTGTGAAGAGTATTACCAATCATATCAATACAAACACACTGACCGACTGACTCTAACTCTCCCCTTTTCATATTTTCTCCATTACGCCAAAGATCTATCAGCCCAGGTATGTGCACCCATCTCAGGCTGGCCAGCTACAGCAAATGTCCCAGTACCCTGGCACTCAGATGTACATGCAACTGCCCCAGTCCATGGCTGTTGGACCAATGGGCCACAACGTCCCAATGGCATACTACCCCATGGGAGCCATGTATCCCCCTGGCTCCACTGTGCTAGTGGAGGGAGGATATGATGCTGGTGCTCGCTTTGGTCAAAGCAACAGTGCTTCCATCCCGGTGAGTATCCTCAAAACGCCTAGGATATATCCTGGGTGTCAAACTCAATACCTGGATGACTGTGAATTTGCTGTTTTTTGTTATTTCCTTTTAACAAGTGTCCAATTAAAGACCTAGACAACCTGATGAGGGGAAGTAATCAATTACCTTAATAAGTACAAGGGAGGAGTGAAAGCCTGACAACACTCGGCCTCCCAGTAATTGAGTTTGACACCCCAGGCTTATATGTTACTCAACGTCATGTGGTTCTATCATAAATCAATGTTCATATTGTACTGGAGCCAAATATATATCCTGTGTAATTGTAACAGATATTGGTAAAGTTACTCATGTATGTGACTATTTCTTTCCCCCTCACCTAAACACATCACAGCCCCCACCTCCTGGCCACATGCCTAATGCAGCTCAGCTGGCCGCCATGCAGGGTGCCAACGTCATGATGACACAGCGCAAGAACAACTTCTTCGTGGGTGGCTCCAATGGCGGGTACACCATCTGGTAACAGCCAGTGTTTTCCGCAACCTCTCCCCATACTCCTCTCCCTCATTCAAAATGATGACTCCTTCTCCTGGCCCATCCGCCAACCCCTTCCGGGATACTGATATCACCTAACGGAATGTAATATTTTAGAGCCCTGATAAAAGGTACAGTACTCCACTTCCGATCCCAAAGCAAAACAGTCCTAATTACTGATTCATAATTTGGGCTGCTGAACTGGTTCCCTGACCTTACAATGATAGTGCTGCTGTCTTAAGTCAAAACACATCTCACTGGTTATATTTTCTTTTTTTAATGCATGACATCAATCTACACTCTTAACACTGTCATCATTTTGTACTTGATAACTTCTGTTCATGTTTATAAACACTCATTGGACTTGGCCTAATGTCTTCCTCACAAAGAGTGCTACTGATCCAAGTAGAGCATCATATATACTTTAGTTTTCACTGTTGCATGGCATGTTGAATATGCCCAGTAGGCCTATCTAAAATCAGTTCCTGCGACCACTGGATTAATTTGAATCTGATCAAATAGATGTGTGTTGTAGTATAATAAATACTGGTATGTTAAACAAGAACCCAAACAAGAATGGATTACAAAATGATTACCAGATTATAACATGCCATGGTGGTTTACTGTACCTTCTTGGGCAACCGTAGATTAACATCATCGGGTGCCAAAGAGCACCGTGACTTAAATAAAAGTAAATTGACTTAAAATACTTCAAGAATGAAGTTGAGATTTGGATAATCGAAAGGGTTGGTTGGCTTTACATTTGCGCAGTTATTGGTTTTAATTTTTGCCTGGGTTTTTTCTTCCCTAAATTGGATACCCAGAGTTGTACAGCATCCCAGTGTTTGGTTTCCTTAAGTAAAACAATGGCACCCACCTGTTCTTAAACACTTAAAAGCACTGTCATGTAAACTAGAATAATCTACTAAAATCAGGGGGTTATTAAGAGTTAAACACTTTTTACTTTAATCCTTCGTTATAAGGACTGTGAGGGTTCAATTACAATGTAACCAGTTTGTTTCTTTTCAGTATTTATCACTTTCGGGCACATCTTAAAGTGATTTGTTATAATTAATTATTAGTTAATGTTAGTATAACCAATTAGCTGGTTGTACCAAAGAAATGGTCTAGACTGCACTAGTAAATATTTGGTTGTGACTTATAATTATAGTAATTGAAATATGGCACATTTTGAAAAGCAAACATCAGATTTAAGGAACAGTGATGAGTTTGATGGTACTTAAGACCTTCGACCTGGCATTGCTGTTGCTGTATTTTTTAATGGGGTGCTTAAATGTTTAATGTAATTGTGACTAGGTGGTTCTGCATGCTTTTTTGCACTTTTGCTTTGTACAATTTTGATTTTTGTAAAGATGTATCATTGCTAATTTTTTATAGAAATACCACAAGCATTAATTTATGTGCACTGCTGGAAATTAGATTTTGCTACTTGTTTTTAGTACAAATGCTAATAACCTGCAAATACAGTGCTATGCATGTTACTCTTTCCTGTCCAACTTTTTTAGAATTAATTTAAATGTACTTTCACTCCAAAAGGGGTGTTGGGTGTTCCTAAATGTTTTAGGACTGCAGAAAATCACGTGCATATGGTTCCCGATTTGTTTAATATAGTGTTAAGCCACATTATTTCTGAATACATTTTCTTATAAATAAAAATATGCATTGCATCAGTGGAGCTTACAACTGTTGACAACTGTTTATTTTCCAATACACTTCTGTGCTGCTAATTAAACTACTGGATAAACTTTAAGTAATAAATATCTAACACTAGGTTTGATCTAGTTTGTGAGACCATGTCTGCATTCAAGAATTTGATATTTTGGTTGAAACATAACATGGTTCCTTGCTGTTTTTATTTTTCCTCATGTAACGTCTTGCATGTTCTGATAAGTCACTGGGGTTTCCGACATAATAGCCTAGATTTGATAGCTGTAGACCTCATGGAAACAGAAGTAGTCTTCACTGAAATGTGAATTCCAGGTCACTTTGGTCAGTAAGTTGTCTGGTAACCTGCTAGCCTAGCATGCAACCTGTTTGCACATGTATTATCAGACTGCAGCTGTTCTTGGTAACATGACCAGCTTCCATTCCAAACATGGTTATCATGTCACTCATATTTAGCGCGGCTGTAAATGTGTATCCCATTCCCAAACACACACTGATGCTTCATACCGTTTAAAAAGTGGTCACAGCTTTCAAAATGTAAACAAAAAATCTATTCCTTCAAACACTGTGTAATTTTTTGTTTTCTTTCTGTCCAAGGCCTGACAATATTGTTTAATGCAGCAAAATAATCGTGGCTTAGACCTAGCAATATGATGTACTGTAATGCAGCAACATAATGGTGGCTTAGACCCAGCAATATGATTTACTGTAATGCTTACCAGTAGATGCCATGCCAACCACAGCCAGTGTGGAGTAAACATTGAAGGATTTATGGACATTTATAGTTCAGGGATTCTCTAACATTTTTATAATATGGATATGTATTAAAGTGATTTGATGGACTATGGTACACTTTATTTTAAGATTAAGGAGATGAGTTACTTTGGTTTGCTGAAACATGCATCTGGAAGAAAGAACTCTGCAAAGGAACTTTGGAGCACAACGTTTTTTTATAAACGTAAAATATAACAACAATTTAGAATAAAGGATATTTTGGACAATTGAAATGCTACCTGTTCCGAGTTCTTTTCCGTCATTTTGAAAAATGTTTGTGACATGCATCAGGACTCTCAAGCAGCTCAAGTGGCCCTGTATGAATCGTAAGAGTTGAGGAAATGTTACAGTGCATAGATGCCTTCCCTGTGATGAAAATGAACAACTCCAGCCTTATATGAAATACACATTGCGGGGTGCGAGAATGATTCTCTTCAATGTTCTGTCCACCTATCACTTATAGCTGTAAGGACATTCAACAATGAGTGAAAAAAGGAAAAATCTTTATTGCCATATCTGACCTGCCGTCTTGAGGTCTGTCATGTCACTTACTACCTTTGGCAGATACTTCAATAAGATCATACAATCTCTAGCTGGTAATAGTAACAGATACAATACATTTTCCATTTAGCTGCCCAGATAGACAATAGTAAAATCCTTATCGTTTTGCCCAACTTGTAAAGTATGGATAATGGCATAAGAATAATACAATTTAATCAGTGCCTTCTACTGATCACCAAATCAAATTCCCCATTTAGCACCCCAGGATACTCATTCATTAAATACAGAAAATGTTAAAGTAAAACATAAAATTAAAAGCCTTCAGAGCTGACATGGGGAGCAGATATATAACTGAATTGTGATGACACTGAAATGGAGGCATATTTATGATGTCATCTTAAGACATTTACCCGCAAGAATCTCATAAAGTCTTCCATCCACCAGTGTTTCACAACGATCTTTTATGTGCACACAACTGTTACGTTGCAAGTCCCATCAGTGTGCGCACACACACACCTCTTTTACTAATGCATCTCATCTCCTGCCCAGCTTATGTGCCTATAAGTGAGTGTTTTCTTGGGTTAAATCTATGTAGGTCTTCCCCAAAACCGTGGAAATCCCGTAGATGGCCATCAAAGATGGTTGTCATTTTCCTGTTTCCTCTCAGTTTGGCAGATAACATTTTGTTAACACCCACCCACAGTTCTCCTCGCATTCCTCCTTCCATCATGTTCAAATGAAGTACTCCTTCTTTTCGTCAGTTACAATGTTACCGTGGGCCTGATCAGGGTCTTCCACCGGGGAAGGTTCTCCTGTGGTTGTGTAGGCACCCTTGTTGTGGCACAAGTACCGGTACAGAAGGAAACCCAGGCCAGCTAGCATCAGCAGTACAACTACGATGACCACTGGGGAGAGAGAGAGTCAACTGCTTTTAGAATAGGGACTGTGAAGTTTAGCTAATGATAGATAACTGGCAAAACACAGTTTTAAGGTATCTATTTTTATTTTCTTTGTCATAGTGAAGTAAAAAGAAAATAGTCCAAATAAATTAGGCCTACCTCCAATGACAGTAGAGGAGTCTGTATGTGTGGGAAGTGGCGTTGTAGTACTCATCTCTGTCGCTGAAGACAAAGCATTGACACAAACAATCCGTTTAATACTGTAGGCTGTGCTAGTATAAACTTGTGAAACTGCAATCTGAACTGTGTTATAACACAGTAATATGTTTATGAACGGCTACACTGAAACATGCCAGAACCTCAGGTCATGCTGAAGTTTAATTTCTGAATCTATATGACATTACGCAATGTCTTAATAATCAGAGGTAAACAACAGAGCCATCATGAAAAGGGTTGGGCATCATCAACTCTAAAGGAAAATATGGCTACAGTATTTTATTGACAAGCTGACTTTAAATAACATCAAACGTATTTTGTCTTTGAGAAATAAGTGCCACATAAAAGGGCAAATCTCTAGCACAAAAATGACATGTCCCACTTACCTGTCATGGGTGGAATAGTCATGGTGATTGATGTCAGATTCACAAGCTATAGAACAAATGAAAAGTATACTGATTAGTACAGTCATTGTTTACACAACACACAAACTCATAAGTAAAAAGCCCTTTATTCCCAACCAACAGTACTAAATGCAGGTAACATTACAATAATTCAGGGTAGAGAGTTGTAGAAAAAAGTAATCATGTTTGAATCCTGTAGGCTATTTACAGTGGTAGAGGTTATAGCTGAGGCCAGAAATTGGGCTACTTTGAAAACGATGTTGTGGGTGAAAGTGTATTGGTTGCAGGTTTTTGGGCTACTTCTAAATTGCACCACATCTCTTTAAAAAATGTTTTATTAATTTCACTGTGACCTGCTACTGCTGACTATCAGTCAGTGATGCAGGCTGTTGCTGAGTGAGTGGTGGGGAGGGCAGAAGGTGTGTGTGTGTGTGTGTTGAGCACAGTCAGTGGTGTTGAGAGAGCGCTGCAGCAGGCAGTCATGACAAGTGATGTGAGAACAATGAACTAATTAAGTAGCACTAACTAGCTACAACATTTAGCTTTTGGGTGGAGTTTTCCTTTAAGAATGGGAAGCATAGAAATAGAGCACATAGAACATATCTACCGCTTCTTAAAATTTATTTCAATGAGAATGAGATCTATAACACACATTTCTATGTGAATTTGTCAGGTTGGCCAAAAATGTAAATATTGCCACTTTAAATATTATTCCAATGTTGGCTTTTTTTAGAGGCAAGAAATGTTTTATGTGAATTTCTGGCTCAGTTGAGAGCCCCATTTATCTATTTCAGTAGTAGGCTACTCTTATTAGACTTTTAAATCACTGTGAATGACCTAGGTCCTATGAGTAGACCCATGTTGGCATATCAAAACATATATATATATATATTAATTTGGGACGGTTCATCTTCACTTTGGGACGATTCTGGACGGTGATGAAAAAAGTTAGTCTCGAGCCCTGTATGCAGCACGCTAGCTAGCTAACATTGGCCAGAAAGTTGAAGTCAGAGGAGAGAGCGGCGCGCAGTGGCACAGAGAGGAACCGATTAACTCCATTACTGACTATCAAATTATAATAGTAGCAATTGATTGATTAACAGTAGAATAAAACTATTGATGTACTGGACTCATGATGGATCTCCTTTCTCTGTCATTTCCATCTTGCTCCAGAGGGATGGATTACTGGGACATCAGGCTGCAACATGAATTTACATTTTTGTGAAATAAAATAAGCAAAAAAAGTAAACTTTCGGGGGCTTTTCGATTTTTATACTCCAGTTGAAAATATGATTATTTTAGAGCAATGTGACTTCTATTAACACTGTTTCACAATGTTTAACATTGTGTTAACACCATTTCACAATAATGTTGTGGGCAGGTTTTGAATGGGCATTGGGCTAGAAATGTACTTAGACCTGGCAAGCGTGGAAACCAGTCTCCCTAAATATCTAGTCCCCACTCACTTCCTCATAATAACAGGCTTCACTGAAACCTATTTTGTCTTTTATTATGTAAATTAGTAAAATATAAAACCAAAGTTTATTGCAAAGATTAGAAGCTCATTCAATGATCCTGGGTTATCAGGACATATGAATAATGGATGCAAATACAGAAATGCAATGAGAGTCATCTAGTGATGTAGTAAATTGATTTAGCTACCGCCGTAGCTGGGCAATAAAAAATACAATAAAGGGTAGTAAATTCGTATCATTTCTGAATATCAATCATTGAGGTATTTAATCAAGATGTCGCCTGGAATAGCATGTTTACTGGCTAGGTGGGTACATCACACTTTCAATGCTGCCATTGTTCATCACGCAGCTGCGTACTTAAACTGAGATTCAATTGGGTCAGTGTTATCCAGAATGCTTGGGACATCCCTACCCTAAACCTTAGCTAACCCGTAACCATTTAAATGGTCAACTTCAATGGGGTAGACATCAAAAGGATCCTTCATAGCATGAACCCAATTGAATCTGTTTACATAGTACGAGCAAAAAGTCGGTTTTATTCGCTTAATTTTTTTTTGTTTTTTAATGATTTTCAGCAACCCGTGGAATGACCGCTATTGTACTGGACACACATAGGCACAGGAAAGCGTTTTCAGATGTGAAATTTTTACAAGAATCGACTGATAGCGACACAATGTTCTTTCTAGCATATCCCTCGACCAGTCATCAAAACTCAACTCTGCCTCGATATAAGACAAAGGAGTTGAGGGTTCCCCAACTACTTTACCTGAGGAAGTAGAGATATCTGCTGAGAGCGATATTTGCTTGCTGGTCACCTTGCTTCAGACACACCACTTTTCTTACAACAACAACAACAAAAAAGGTTCGAAATACAGTATTTTAAGCGAGCTAGCTTTAGTAAGCCAGCAACGAACAAGAAAACACAAAAAATAGACAGGTGTGCTCACTGCTCAAACTTTCCTGTAATGCCTTGAACGCTGCGTTCATGAGACGCATGTGTGCTCGCTCCCGTGAAATTGCAACAATAGCTATTGGGAGGTTTGATGTTGCAGCAACATTGTTGCAGATCTAAAATATTTACAGTACTGACAAATAAAGACACTAGGGGCAGAGATGTTATCACTTTAATGAGAAATTGTATAGAAATACAAAATTCATCAAAAGATACCTCTAGGTTTCCTTTGATTTACATTCAGTCATTTGAGATTTTCAATTACAGCAGTATCACTCAACCATTATAAAAATACATTAGTTTAATCAATAACCAAGTTCTTCATGTACAATTTAGCACACACAGAAAATAAATTGTTGTTTTCTATGGATTTTTATTACATTTTCTATACGATTTTGCAAACGCTGAATTTCAATTCAAGTCAATTACAGTTTAGTGAACTTGCTGTTTCTCTACAATTAAATTAAAAGAGAATTGGGTGACACAGTTATTGGATTATTGGCACAAACCTATGCAAAGCACAAACAGGCATACCATTCATTTTATTAATAAAAACAAAACAGCTATATTGAAAATATATTGTCCACAAGCAAGAGCTTTCAGATCTTAGGCAGCTGGTGGAAACAGCAGATATTCTTATTTCCCGACTGTAATATTGAGAAGGCTCTTCATTTTTATCCTATTTCCCTTGTGCAGTATTCAGCCCCTCTCCCTTATTACTACAACTAGTTCTGTGAACAAACACAAAACATTTTGACAGTTAACAAATAAGAAAAGCAGCCTTATCCATAACTCATAACTTATCCATAATTATAGTTACTTCAAACAGGAACCAACCTTTTCTTCAGAGATCCTTCATTGAACCACAGTGTTTTTCACATCCTCTGGCTCCTGGATATATAATTTTTCTGCCTAAAAGTAAAAGAAAAGACCAAAGTAACAAGTTATTGACCAGTAGATCAAAAGGTCTAGCAGCAGTCGATGGCATCCCGTTATTATACTGCCTGTCTTGATTAGAGTAGACCGGCATGTAAATCAAATGTACCACATACGAGAGGCCATAAAAGGTTGCGTCTGTATTTTTACAGTGAGATCTCATCCTGACAACTCACCTTTTGGACAAGCCCAGTGGCCTCTATGTCAGAATCAGAGCCATCAGTAGCCGCTCCGTTCTGCACACCATGGGCCCCAGAGTCCTCACGGGCCACAGAGCTCTCTAAGGTCAGCTGGGGGGTGTCTATGGCCGAGAGCTGGAGCTCAACACTCTCTGAGTCATGTGAGTTTGTCACTTCGGAGGTACTCTCAGTTAATGCAGCAGGGCGTTCTACTTCTCCTTTCTTATCTGTGGTGGAGTGCTGGTCTGAAGAAGGCTCAGACGCTCTCTTTTTAACGCCTTTTTCTTCCTCCGCCAGTTTCTCTTCCCCTGACTTTTGACCACTGCCGGAGGCCCCTTCTTTGGTGGTGTCATCCCTGCTTTCAGACCCAGGTTTCTTCTCTGCAGTAGGACCCTCACTACGGGTGGAGTCTGCATCCAGGTCTCTGGCCTCTGAGGAGGGCTCTTCAATAGGTAGGGGCCGTGAGGAGACTGCAGGGGTGCTGGTGAGTGACTCATCATAGCGAGGACTACTAGGGGATCTGAAGCTGGACCTGTCTCTAGTCAGGGTGCCTGACTTGCCTGGACTATAACTCTGATGGAAGTCAGAGAAGCTGGCCTTCCATGACTTGGGGGACATGAGAGATCGCCTATTCAGAGAGCCAGTCCTGAAAGATATGTGAGAGGGGGGATATGACTACATGTTGATACACTTACTTTTGCTTTGATTACTGTTATGCTTTATAATACACTCTCTGTTTAGTTCATCCCAAACCACAACCCATTGATAGACTCAAATGGATGGAAAGTTAATAAAGAAAAAAAAAATGTTCTGGTGAGAGATCCTTACCAACTTACCGATTCAACCCCTTGATGACAAATACCTTGTCTGGATGCTGATCCTTCAGATCCTTCATCACATTCTGCAAATCACTGTTGAACTGAAAGAGAGGAAGTTACACCAGTTCAAGAATAGATATAAACCGAAAGAGCTACGACTTTTGTTACCTAAATGCAGACAAAACAGTTCCGTTCATTTGTATAAACCAAAGCAAAGCCCCACATTACTGTTATTTTTGGATGTGTATTCCCACCCCAGTTATTCAGCATAATATGAACTGCACATACCGTTGTCATTTCCTTGAAGAAGGTGTCCCGCAAATTTGTGATGGCTGTGAAGACTGACACATAGCATCCAATTCGGCTTCAGGAACAAAATAAAAGAAAAAAACATTATTCATATAAATAGTTTATTAGACACTTGACCTGATTATGTATGTATTTGAATGGTATCTCATTCTGCTATCTGGTTCTGTGCTGACTTCTGACTCCTTACCTGTCATAGAGAGCAGGGAGCTCATCCCTCAGCTCTCTGTTGATGCACTCAAATACACTCTGGGCTATGTTCACCTCATCAGCTGCCTGTACAGATAGAACCACCATGATAAGATGAGTTTTGCAGCTTAGCTTAAATGATCATTGCTGTGCAAATTAAGTAGACAGGGGTATTTTGTCTGTCTGACCTTGGCTATTTTGACATCATCTTTCTTTTTAGCATTCTGCATCGCCTCCAAGTGGTGACGGGAGGAATCGTAGTCAACCAGCTTCCTGCCTCGTTTGGCCACCCTCTCCTGGGGATTTAGAGGAGAGGAAGGATGCACTTGAAAGATAACATACTGTATTTAGGAAGTGTGTGTGTGTGCCGCCCGTGCATTTTCCACCCTTACCCTGATATCTGGGAACTGGCTCATATAAGACTCCATGGTACGAAGTGCCTGGTCTAACAGCTTCGCCTCATAATCATTCCACAAGAGGTCTTCACCCTGTTGGCACAGGATCATGTTTATTTTAATTTTTTTACAAAAATGTGCATTATAATAACCAACGGAGAGGTCATGCATGTCATCCTTAATAATACAGCGGAGCTATGACTGACCTCTACAATGGCCCCCAGGTCCTCTTCTCCATCCCAGTCCGGCTCATAGACATCATACAGAGACTGGGAAAGCCGTTTTGAAGCTTCCCGCATTTCTGTGAAAAAGTGGACAACATGGATCACATTTTATCAGGCTCTGGGCACCACTGATGGTAAAGCTATAGAAAACCATGCAATTAAGGGACAACATCATACATGTCACATCATCATACATCATGTTTTTAAATGTATGTCAACTGTAAAGTATTTTGTCTGTAATGTCTTTTTCGTTATGTGTCGGACTCCAGTAAGACTAACGGTCGCCATATGCGGCAGGTAGCTTAGTGGTTAAGAGCATTGTGCCAGTAACCGAAAGGTTGCTGGTTCTAATCCCAGAGCCGACTAGGTGAAAAATCTGTCGATGTGCCCTTGAGCAAGGCACTTAAGCTCTGGATAAGAGCGTCTGCTAAATGACCTATTTATATGCGTCGGCTAATAGGGATCCTAATGAATCAAATAAAATATCAGACAGAACAAATGTTTACCTTTGACAGAACTAAGGTAATGCTTTAGGTCTTTGTATAACCGGTTCCCATCAATCTGCAAAACAGAGGTTATAGAGTCGTCTGTAGGCTATACATACATTTGGGGCATTTACAGGGGCAGATTTACATGCCTTTGTTAAATCATAAAATATCTGTTAATATTTGTTATTGGTTCATGCATGGAGACTGACTGCCCATGGAGACTACCTGTTGGTCAGTGAGATTTAGGAGGCATTGCTCAAATCTTTCATCTTTGGTCTCCACTGTCTTTCCAAACTTCTGCAAGACCTAAAACGTTGGGAACAAAATACATGTACACATGTCAAGCTACCTCTAATGGCTTGAACCTTTATGCTTTTCTTCTAATGTTAGATTGAGAGGCATTGGGAGATCATGCTGTGCATTTTATTGAGAAAGTTAAAGCATACTTTCTCCTTGCCCCTGCTCAGTTGCCTTTGGACTCTTTTGGCAAAGACCCCAGCACCTCCTTTTGGACTGTGGCCTTCTGACATACTTTCCCCTTTTCTTTTCTTGCTTTTCCCTGTTGAGTTTTTTTCTTTTTCCCTGGGAATGTAGAGATAGGTGAAATAACAGATTACAAACATGAATCTGTCTGTATAGAATTGAGAGTTCTCATTTGGCAACCTAAAAGTAGTTGATTAGAATATGGTGGGACATATATACTGTCATCAAGTTTGCAGTCATTTACAAAGGGTTCAGTAAGTGCATCATGTCAAAAGTGCATCATGTCTAAAGTGTATTACTTCTTTCACATAGGATTCACGGTATGTTGCCTGTAAAAACATCACTACATTTAAACAGCACTATCTTTACATCGCATTCACCTTTTATATAGCCATTACTTATGCGGCAACTGAGCAAAAATAAGGAATAACGAGGAATAACCTGACGAAGATCCTTGCAGGGCAGATCGAAACGTTGTTTGTGTATAAAGGTACGTGTTGGCGCTTATGAGTGTGCGGGCTCTATTTATTTTATGGCAACTGAGCAAGAAACATTCAACTTTGACCTTTGTTGTTACGACCGTTGTCATGGTAACAGACCTTCTAAATTCCTCCAATTGGACAGATTGCAATGCACTGCTTCCATTTCTTCACATTCACAAACAGTAAGTTGGCAGCTCGCCATACTTGTAAAAAATTGGTAAATAATGACCATGTAATGTGATAATTTTCCTGTTATGGTGAATAAAAAGTTGGCTACAGTTCAACTCGAAACGTTGTCAGATATGTTCTGGTAATAATGAGCTGGCTAGCCAGCTACAGCTATTTAAATTAGCTAGTTTACAAGCTAGCAACAAAACAAAACTTAATTGGCTAGAAAGTAGCTTTTAGTTGCCTGGCTTTCTAGATTTACATATCCCAAATAGCCAGATTTACATATCCTAAATAGCCACATTTTAAAACGAATGGGTTTTTTGGTGCAAAGAATTTAGCAGGTAATATTTGCCGGAACAGGATGTTGGCTGCATGCAGACTACTGTTTTGTTTATACTTTTTCATATTAATGACAATTACACATTTTTTGATGTCGGAGAACAATAATAGATTGTTGATGAGTGCCAAAGCCAGTAAGATGATGAGGTTATACTGTCTGAGGGGATGGCGGGACTTTTAAACATTACAGCAATCGTGAGTCATGACCAATGATGTGTGCATATACGTCATTGGTCATGGCGAGGGTCGGATGGCGGAAATAAAAGTACAGGCTCGTGTCGCGTACAAACCAACTGCGAACTCGGAAAAATACGACGTCAAATCATGACGTCAGTGATCGTTAGGTCGGAAAATTGGAGCTCTAGAAAGAGGCCTTCCCGAGTTGGAATTCCTAGTTGGATGACAGTTGAAATCGATGTTTCCCAGTAGGAGCTCGTTTTTTTCCCGAGTCCCCAGTTGTTTTGAACGCGGCATTTGTTGCCGGCAATACCTTTCAGATATATCTATATTGTAATGGAGCAGGTCTCGAACCCTCAACCTTCTAGCCCGAAGTCCCAACGCGTCATCGACTGTGCCCCAAAAGCATGCTCGCGTGGCAGAGTCGATATCCGCGTTTATAAACCCAGGGTCGTTACAATATATATACAAAAAGTTGGCGGCATGCTAAAGTGTAGCTATATAAGACAGTTTTATGACTACAATTCCCAGTCTTCTTAGCGCGCCTTTCAGGTCTTTCCAAGTCAAGCCACTCCTAAATACTATTATGGAATGATATAGTCAGGAAGGTACATTAAGCAATTGATGAGGTAGAGCTGTGAGCATTAATGTGGTTATTCAGGTTCTCTGTAGAGAAAACTCAGACAGTGTTCTTTACCAGGAGGAAGGTGGGAGATGAGGTACACTTGAGGTTATATGGGAGAAACTTGGAGAGGGTGGGGGCCATCAGGTTCCTTGGGGTGTACTTTGACACTAGGCTGACCTGGGCAGAACACATGGAGAGAGTGGTGGGAAAGTGTAAGAAGGTGCTAAATGTGATGCGCTGTCTGACAGGGAATTAGTGGGGGGCGTTCCTCATTGAGGACCATGTATGTTGCATTGATCCAATCTGTAATAGACAATGGTATTATAGCGTATGGTTCGGCAGCCCGGACCTCATTGGAAAGTCTAGATGTCATACAGGGGCAAGGACTCAGAATATGTAGTGGGGCGTTTCAGACCTCCCCAGTGTCTGCACTACAGGTGGAGATGGGGGATATGCCATTGCACATTAGGAGACAGCAGCTGGCAATTAATTATTGGGTCAACCTACAGGGACATGGGGTGTCTCATCCTGCGAAAGGGATTTTACAGGCATGCTGGGAACATGAGCGAGGACAGAACACAAGCTTTGGGTGGGTGGGGAATACCCAGGCGATGGGACTGTATGGAAGAGAGTTTATTCCAACAGTAGCTATTCCTGTAAACCCACCATGGCTACTCCCGCCTCCAGTAGTTGATCTAGAAGTGTTGGAGAGACTACGGAAAGATAGGGAGTGTGTTGATCCATCTGATTTGTTTAATAGACGTCTGGATACTGTGTATCAGGATTTTGTAGCCATTTACACAGATGGTTCAAAAGATCCAAGGACAGGACGTGCTGGGTCAGCATTTTTATAGTGCAGGAATGTGGGGTGGCAGTCAGGAAACGTATTACAGATAATCTGGCTGTATATACGGCGGAGCTGATGGCCATACTGTCGGCCTTGCAGTGGGTGGAGGAAGTCAAGCCAGACAGAGTAGTTACAGTATTTGCTCTGATTCATGTGCAGTGTTAATGAGTCTGCAGTCCTTTAGCTCACGTAGCAGACAAGACCTGCTTTATGAGGTGCTACAAACCCATGGCAGGATTAGACAGATGGGTATACAGATAAGATTTACTTGGGTCCCAGCCCATGTGGGGGTGGAGGGGAACGAGGCAGTTGATGTTCTGGCTAAACAAGCACTTAGTAGTGGGGATGTTGATGTTGTAGTTTCAATGAGCAAGGCAGAGGTTTGGACAGTGATGGTGCAGAGATGGCAGGAGCAGTGGAATAGAGATACTAAGGGCAGGCATTTATTTCAAGTACAGAGGAAAGTCGGGGAGGGGAGGACGACAGGAAGGGACAGAAGAGAGGAGGCTATTTTTACAAGATTAAGGGTGGGACACAGCCAGTTGAATAAGACCTTAAATGTGATAGGAAAGCATCCATCAGGAAAGTGTGATTATTGCCAGGAAACAGAGACAGTGGAGCATGTATTGATACAGTGTGGGCAGTATGAGAGGGAAAGAGAGAGGCTGAGGTCTAGTATGATGGAGAAGGGGATACAGGACATTTGTTTAAATAGTATATTAAGTAGAACATCGTTAGATATAGTCTCAAATATTTTTTTATATTTTTTTAAAGAGAAACGAGGCTGGCAGGTAGGATTTAGTTTCTCCCAGTCTCTGGCCCACACTACAGTACAGTAGGTGGCGGTAATGCACCATAACGTTGGATGCCAACCGCCGATAAACCCCACCGAATAAGAAGTACTGTAATGGAAGAAGTTAACTTTAGCTGGAAGCGGAAAAAGATGGCGGAAGCGGACGATGAATTGTATTCTGAATCCAATGGCGGTAGAATCAAGGAGAAATTGAGTATTGTCCAAAATAATGAAAAACGGATCAAAGTAGTGTACAGTGATGAGAATGTCCCTTCGTATCTAGGAGGAGTATGGTTTGTTAATGAGGAGCAGCTGAGCAGAGTACCAATCTTGAAGAAACCATTTGAGATATCCAAACTGGTGTAGAGAGCGCTGGGTAAAGTGAATTGTTGTGAGGATCACGAGAGGCGGGCTTGTTTAGATTTTTTGTGCTTCTGCGGATCAGAAGGAACGTGCGTTGCGTCTCACCCGATTTTATACGTTTGAAGTGTTGTGTGTGTCTCTTCGGAACAGGGCACCCCTCAAGGGGGTTACATCTGGCGTCTCGTGGGAAGTTGATTTTGAAGAGATTAAAAATATTCCTGGAGTGATTGATGCACGTCGGATGAATCGTGTGGTCAATGGTGTAAAAGTGAAGAGTCTATCTGTTATTTTGTTTTCTGATATGGAGTCTCTCCCTACTCAAGTGCAGTTGGGGTATATAAACTACAGAGTCAGAGCATTTATCCCAAGACCAATGCAGTGTGATCATTGTAAAGCTTTTGGTCATGTTTCAAGTGAGGAAAATGTGACATGTTGCAATTGTGGTAGGAACCATGAACCTACATCTTTCGATTGCCCGACCAGGTGAAAGAGAATGAGGTGGCCAAAGTCAGGGCTGGCCAGAGCATTTCATATGCAGCAGCTGTTAAAAGGGTTGAGGGTTTGGATGGTGCTCCTGAGAGTCCATGGTGGTGGATAGGCCTTCACTGCAGGCTGCAGGGGTTGCCTTTCACCAGCAGGATCCTAACATTTTAAAGGTTAAGAAGGTGGACTTTGTGGCCTTTATAGCTATGGTGATGAATGGCACTGCCAAGGTGGAGAGAAGGTCCAGGAAGATAGATATCATTGTGGATGCGGCGGAGCGGTTCCTGTGTCTGAAAGATTTCTCGGCGGAGGAGTTAGAGCCTGAGAAGGGAGATGTGGAGATTTTAAAGAAGGAAGAGGTGGGAGTTTTGTTTTGGTCAATGTACTTTTTATTTTATTTAACTAGGCAAGTCAGTTAAGAACAAATTCTTATTTACAATGACGGCCAATTTGGGTTGATTAAGTTAGTTTCCCTATCACATGGATTTTCTTTTTACATTGTTTTGGTTTTTCAACACGTCCAGTTGGTGGCGGCAATACACCTTTTTGGGTTGTAGTCCGCCATAAAACCCACAGAAGAAGAAGAAGTGAACTTTATACAGGATTGTTTTTGAAAAAAGTGGGGGTGGTCCGATGTTGGAATACCAGTTGTTTCAGATTTTACTGGACATGATCATGGGCAGTACGATAGTGAAATGTGCAGCTACAGACCTGGGAATCCAGTGGGCTGGATGGGCCATAGCAGCAGCTCTCAAAACCGAGAAGTTCTATGACTTAGCAGGTAATAACACTTGATTTAAGCCTACAGGTATGTTAATTCTCGCCGAAGCGTTTTGTTTGTTTTGTGAATCGCTGTGATTTCATATTGTAAATGGTTGATTAAATCACCCAGTGTATTCGGTTTTGTCATAAAATGTAAACATTCGTTCGGTCAAACCAAACGTATGCATTGGAATCAGGCAGTGTTTTTCATTAAAGTATAGCATGTTGTATCTGATGAATATCAATGTTACAAAACCACTGTTATCTAAATGGCTGTGTTGTAAAACAACTCGAGGACTCCTCCCTCATTCATAGTTAAGCTTGTTAGTAGCCTCCGGAAATCGGCTTAGTTCATCATTACGACCAACTGACTTCAGTTTTACAAGCCTCCACAAAAGGGTTACAATAAGGCCAGATAATGCTGAAACAATCATCGATTAACTGAGCTTCGAGCGCACCAGATGATTTGACACATGTTCACATTTTAGCGCGAGATTGGTGTTAATTGTGTAGGACTATCGCGAGATGTTTGTCACATTGTTAGGTTGTAGTTCGCGCGACTGCAATTGGTGCAGTAGTCCCAACTCCGGTCCTCGAGTACCCCGTTTTATTGTAGCCCGTCTTTGTCGATCTTCCGACAATAGCAATGGTAAACCAAATAAAGCATCAGTTATGTAAGTCCATGCATTTGAAGGATTGAGTGAGGTAATTGTTGTAGGGTTTTGCATTAGTACAGTATAATAGTGTCGACATCTATATGAACTGTCAAAGTTCAATGGGCAAGTCAAAACTTATAGGACAGTATGTGCCATTCAGAAATAACATTATTTACTTCACCGTTAGTTATGTAAAACACTGCAACTTACCTGTAGACACTGATGAATGGGCATTCCTTGTCAATGCAACAAATTCAGTACATTTCTTGACAAGCTTCTTAACTTGCCTTCTTGTGCCGCTCCTCTGTGATCTGTCTGTGCTCTTGGAAAGTTTTACGCTTGTACTTTGGAGCCGATTGTCACTCCATCTGTAGGCTCCTGGGTAAAATATTCATTGAACACGCCTTACTGTGCAACTTCTGTGTGATAGGGGTGGGCAGAGCCATGTACCATGCCCAAAGGGACAAGTATTGTGCCCTTGAACCTTGATGATTGTATTTTTTAGGGTCTGGCACATTTATATTACTCGCCCACCTGAGTCGCTATTGGGGAGGGACTCATCATTTGAGGCAAAATGTGCAGACTGGATTGGTGACAGCATGGGGAGTAAGGTAAGCTTGACAGGGTGACAGCAGGGTCTCCAATCTAATGATATCTGCTATTCCCAACAATGTATTCCCATCCTAACAATGGAGAAGAACAAAAAGCTATAAACACCTGCAGAGCTTTAGTGTTCTCTAACCATTTACTTTTCATTCAACAAAGTGTTGTATCAGTTTAGTAGTCTTATCCAAGGCTGAGGTTTGGCCCTTCCCAGTTGCAGAACCCTCTAAGGATGTGACTCATTAAAGTTGAGTTAATGAATAATGGCAGGGTTAATGTGAAACTAATGCCTATGTTCTAACTTCTGCAGGCTTGGAACATTCCTCTTCATGCGGATCTTGAAGGACGGCCAGGATCGCAGGTTTAACAATGTCAGAGACAGCCCAGGGACATTCTTTGTGTACTGGAGTGTTCAAGGTACTTTGAATCATAATGGTCGCCGGCTTTTCTTTTTCTCACTCCGCCACCACAGCAGTTATTTTCTATCATCCTTGAGCAATCCACTTTAATTCACTGCTCAGTCTTTTCGCTCTTTAGAAATGTATGAAACCAGATTAGAAAAGCCACTGATATCAGGGTATTGTGCCCAAAGGGAGAAAACATAAATGAGGGTTACCATTGGACACTGACCGTACAGTACTCTTTTGAAAATGTTTTCTATTTTGGACCCAGGTGAATGTCTTCTTGAGAGTAGGAGCATTATCTTGACAACATGTATGCAAGTATTATTTATAGATTGGTAGAATAGGCCATTTCTGTGGACTATTCTACCATTGGTTCAGTACATAATTTCTTCCTCTTTATTTCAGCTGTTTGGGTGTTCATGACCCTCCTGCCTACCCTCATCCTGAACAGTGAGCAGCGAGATGAGCCATTGGGCCTGAGGGACTACCTGGGCTGGGGGATATGGGGCCTTGGCTTTGCCACGGAAGCCATTGCTGACCAGCAGAAGTGGTTCTTCAAAGGAGACCCAGATAATGCTGTGAGTGAGCTTGGTGGGCTTCTTTGTTTAGGGGACGTTGAACTTTTATAATTGTCATGGACGCAGTTGGGTAGTTGCAAAGTATTCATCACTACAACATGCTGTCATGCAAACACGACCACTCTCAAACCATTGAAAATAAACGTCCTGTATTTGTATATTAGTTTAAAGTATATTTATTTACCCAGAGAATAGCCTCAACCCAGCCTTTCCATTCTCTCCAGGGAAAGTTCATCCAGAGCGGGCTGTGGGGCTACAGCCGTCACCCTAACTACCTTGGCGAGATACTGCAGTGGTCTGGACTCTTCCTCTCCGCCTCGTCAGTGATGAAGGGTCCCCAGTATGCCAGTGTGCTATCTCCTCTGTTTGTCTGGTTCCTGCTGCGTCACGTCAGTGGCATTCCCATCCTGGAGAAGCAGGCCATGAAGAAGTGGGGCTCAGACCCTGCTTTCCAAAACTACGTCAAGAACACTCCTCTCCTTTGGCCAATTCCCAAGTTCTGATGTGTTACATACTTTCTAATAGGGTGTTCTGGCACAAGGGGAACTTACTGAACAGGACCACTGTAATCATCAAGTACCCAATTTGCTGGTTGTCTTTGATATTCTCATATCGAAGTACACATACACACGCAGAAACTTCAAGTTTTAACTTTATGGTGTGACACAAGTCACCCAGATAAAACACCCAGAAATTCTGACAGACATGAATGTTGTACTTGCACAAATGTTTTGATAAACAGGTTTATTTATATGCAATTGATGCCATACTGTTGCATATGTTTACATCTGATACATTTGTGCTCTTCTGTTTCTCAAATCCACGATTTTACCTACCCCACCCTTTTCAGTTATGTCAAAAGTCCAGTGGCGTAAAGTACTACTTAGTTTTTTGGGGTATTTGTACTTTACTATTTATATTTTTGACAACTTTTACTTCACTACATCCCTAAAGAATGTACTTTTTACTCACATTTTCCCTGACACCCAAAAGTACCTGCTTAGCAGGACAGGAAAATGGTCCAATTCACACACTTATCAAGAGAACATCCCTGGTCATCCCTGCTGCCTCTGATCTGGAGGACTCACTAAACACAAATGCTTTGTTTGTAAATGATGTCTGAGTGTTGGAGTGTGCCCCTGCCTATCCGTAAAAAAAATAACTAGAAAATCGTGCCGTCTGGTTTTCTTAATAAGGAATGTGAAATTATTTATACTTTTACTTTTGATACTTAAGTATATTTCAGCAATTACATTTACTTTTGATACTTAAGTACACTGCTCAAAAAAAAAGGGAACACTAAAATAACACATCCTAGATCTGAATGAATGAAATAATCTTATTAAATACTTTTTTCTTTACATAGTTGAATGTGCTGACAACAAAATCACACAAAAATTATCAATGGAAATCAAATTTATCAACCCATGGAGGTCTGGATTTGGAGTCACACTCAAAATTAAAGTGGAAAACCACACTACAGGCTGATCCAACTTTGATGTAATGTCCTTAAAACAAGTCAAAATGAGGCTCAGTAGTGTGTGTGGCCTCCACGTGCCTGTATGACCTCCCTACAACGCCTGGGCATGCTCCTGATGAGGTGGCGGATGGTCTCCTGAGGGATCTCCTCCCAGACGTGGACTAAAGCATCCGCCAACTCCTGGACAGTCTGTGGTGCAACTTTGGTGGATGGAGCGAGACATGATGTCCCAGATGTGCTCAATTGGATTCAGGTCTGGGGAACAGGCGGGCCAGTCCATAGCATCAATGCCTTCCTCTTGCAGGAACTGCTGACACACTCCATCCACATGAGGTCTAGCATTGTCTTGCATTAGGAGGAACCCAGGGCCAACCGCACCAGCATATGGTCTCACAAGGGGTCTGAGGATCTCATCTCGGTACTTAATGGCAGTCAGGCTACCTCTGGCGAGAACATGGAGGGCTGTGCGGCCCCCCAAAGAAATGCCACCCCACACCATGACTGACCCACCACCAAACCGGTCATGCTGGAGGATATTGCAGGCAGCAGAACGTTCTCCACGGCGTCTCCAGACTCTGTCACGTGCTTATAACCAAAGAGAGCTTCTGGATATCAGGACAGCGATTACTCACCTCGGATTGGACGAAGATTTTTTCTTCAACGAGGCGGTCGCGAAGGATATCCTACAGACACCCGACAAGGCCCAGATCCCCGTCATTCGCGTGAGGAAGAGACGGAGATATCGCGGACGCAGATCCGGGTGCCTTGTAAGGATCCGACGGCGAGCGAGTAAACTGCCTCTCCCATCAATCCTATTAGCCAACGTTCAATCTTTTGAGAATAAAATTGACGATTTAAGATTACGGTTATCCTACCAACGGGACATTAAAAACTGTAATATCTTATGTTTCACGGAGTCGTGGCTGAACGACAACAATGATAACATTCAGCTAGCAGGCTATACGCTACATCGGCAGGATAGAACGTCTGACTCTGGTAAGACAAGGGGTGGCGGTCTCTGTATATTTGTAAACAACAGCTGGTGCACAAAATCAAATACTAAGGAAGTCTCGAGGTTTTGCTCGCCTGAGGTAGAGTATCTTATGATAAGCTGTAGACCACACTATTTACCAAGAGAGTTTTCATCTATATTTTTCATAGCTGTCTATTTACCACCACAAACCAATGCTGGCATTAAGATTGCACTGAATGAGTTGTACAAGGCCATTAATCAACAGGAAAACGCTCATCCAGATGCAGCGCTCCTAGTAGCCGGGGACTTTAATGCAGGGAAACTTAAATCCGTTCTACCTAATTTCTACCAGCATGTTAAATGTGCAACCAGAGGGAAAAAAACTCTAGACCACCTTTACTCCACACACAGAGACGCATACAAAGCTCTCCCTCGCCCTCCATTTGGCAAATCTGACCATAACTCTATCCTCCTGATTCCTGCTTATAAGCAAAAACTGAAGCAGGAAGCACCAGTGATTCGGTTAATAAAAAAGTGGTCAGATGACGCAGATGCTAAGCTACAGGACTGTTTTGCTAGCACAGACTGGAACATGTTCCGGGATTCTTCAGACAGCATTGAGGAGTACACCACATCAGTCACTGGCTTCATCAATAAGTGCATCGATGATGTCGTCCCCACAGCGACCGTACGTACATACCCCAACCAGAAGCCATGGATTACAGGAAACATCCGCACTGAGCTAAAGGGTAGAGCTGCCGCTTTCAAGGAACGGGACTCTAACCCGGACGCTTATAAGAAATCCCGCTATGACCTCCGACGAACCATCAAACAGGCAAAGAGTCAATACAGGTCTAAGATTGAATCATACTACACTGGCTCTGACGCTCGTCGGATGTGGCAGGGCTTGAAAACTATTACAGACTACAAAGGGAAGCACAGCCGCGAGCTGCCCAGTGACACAAGCCTACCAGACGAGCTAAACCACTTCTATGCTCGCTTCGAGGCAAGCAACACTGAAGCATGCATGAGAGCACCAGCTGTTCCGGACGACTATGTGATCACGCTCTCCGTAGCCGATGTGAGTAAGACTTTTAAGCAGGTCAACATTCACAAGGCCGCAGGGCCAGACGGATTACCAGGACGTGTACTCCGAGCATGTGCTGACCAACTGGCAAGTGTCTTCACTGACATTTTCAACATGTCCCTGACTGAGTCTGTAATACCAACATGTTTCAAGCAGACCACCATAGTCCCCGTGCCCAAGAACTCTAAGATAACCTGCCTAAATGACTACCGACCCGTAGCACTGACGTCTGTAGCCATGAAGTGCTTTGAAAGACTGGTCATGGCTCACATCAACAGCATAATCCCAGAAACCCTAGACCCACTCCAATTTGCATACCGCCCCAACAGATCCACAGATGATGCAATCTCTATCGCACTCCACACTGCCCTTTCCCACCTGGACAAGAGGAACACCTACGTGAGAATGCTATTCATTGACTACAGCTCAGCATTCAACACCATAGTGCCCTCTAAGCTCATCACTAAGCTAAGGATCCTGGGACTAAACACCTCCCTCTGCAACTGGATCCTGGACTTCCTGACGGGCCGCCCCCAGGTGGTAAGGGTAGGTAACAACACATCTGCCACACTGATCCTCAACACGGGGGCCCCTCAGGGGTGCGTGCTCAGTCCCCTCCTGTACTCTCTGTTCACCCATGACTGCATGGCCAGGCACGACTCCAACACCATCATTAAGTTTGCCGACGACACAACAGTGGTAGGCCTGATCACCGACAACGATGAGACAGCCTATAGGGAGGAGGTCAGAGATCTGGCCGTGTGGTGCCAGGACAACAACCTCTCCCTCAACGTGACCAAGACAAAGGAGATGATTGTGGACTACAGGAAAAAAAAGAGGACTGAGCACGCCCCCATTCTCATCGACGGGGCTGTAGTGGAACAGGTTGAGAGCTTCAAGTTCCTTGGTGTCCACATCACCAACGAACTATCATGGTCCAAACACACCAAGACAGTCGTGAAGAGGGCACGACAAAGCCTATTCCCCCTCAGGAGACTAAAAAGATTTGGCATGGGTCCTCAGATCCTCAAAAAATTCTACAGCTGCACCATCGAGAGCATCCTGACTGGTTGCATCACCGCCTGGTATGGCAACTGCTTGGCCTCTGACCGCAAGGCACTACAGAGGGTAGTGCGTACGGCCCAGTACATCACTGGGGCCAAGCTTCCTGCCATCCAGGACCTCTATACCAGGCGGTGTCAGAGGAAGGCCCTCAAAATTGTCAAAGACTCCAGCCACCCTAGTCATAGACTGTTCTCTCTGCTACCGCACGGCAAGCGGTACCGGAGTGCCAAGTCTAGGTCCAAAAGACTTCTCAACAGCTTCTACCCCCAAGCCATAAGACTCCTGAACAGCTAATCATGGCTACCCGGACTATTTGCACTGCCCCCCCACCCCATCCTTTTTACGCTGCTGCTACTCTGTTAAGTATTTATGCATAGTCACTTTAACTCTACCCACATGTACATATTACCTCAACTACCTCAACTAGCCGGTGCCCCCGCACATTGACTCTGCAACGGTACCCCCCTGTATATATAGCCTCCCTACTGTCACTTTATTTTACTGTATATATAGCCTCCCTACTGTCACTTTATTTTACTTCTGCTCTTTTTTTCCTCAACACTTTTTTTGTTGTTTTATTCTTACTTTTTTTGTTTAAAATAAATGCACTGTTGGTTAAGGGCTGTAAGTAAGCATTTCACTGTAATGTCTGCACCTGTTGTATTCGGCGCATGTGACCAATAAAATTTGATTTGATTTGATTTGGAGTGTGAGCCTGCTTTCATCTGTGAAGAGCACAGGGCGCCAGTGGCGAATTTGCCAATCTTGGTGTTCTCTGGCAAATGCCAAATGTCCTGCACGGTGTTGGGCTGTAAGCACAACCCCCACCTGTGGACGTCGGGCCCTCATACCACCCTCATGGAGTCTGTTTCTGACCGTTTGAGCAGACACATGCACATTTGTGGCCTGCTGGAGGTCATTTTGCAGGGCTCTGGCAGTGCTCCTCCTGCTCCTCCTTGCACAAAGGCAGAGGTAGCAGTCCTGCTGCTGGGTTGTTGCCCTCCTCCACGTCTCCTGATGTACTGGCCTGTCTCCTGGTAGCGCCTCCAAGCTCTGGACACTACGCTGACAGACACAGCAAACCTTCTTGCCACAGCTCGCATTGATGTGCCATCCTGGATGAGCTGCACTACCTGAGCCACTTGTGTGGGTTGTAGACTACGTCTCATGCTACCACTAGTGTGAAAGCACCGCCAGCATTCGAAAGTGACCAAAACATCAGCCAGGAAGCATAGGAACTGAGAAGTGGTCTGTGGTCACCACCTGCATAACCACTCCTTTATTGGGGGTGTCTTGCTAATTGCCTATAATTTCCACCTGTTGAGAGGGAACCCCGACTTGGCTCTCGTCTTTCCTCTGACCAGTGCACCACCAAAGAGGGAATCATTGGAGATGGACTGGGAGCGTAAGTAAGCGTGCCCTGGATGGCATAAATGTAAGTCAGAAGGAAGAATGGTTATCCCATAAGGACTGAAATCATGAGATATGCAGTATCAGAATTAACGTTTTTAAGATAGAACAAGTCGGAATTTATAAGAAAACCCACCTGTAAATTTGACAGGAGTGCACCCAGGCATGGATGCATGGCAGGGACACGTTCCGACACTCTGGATGGGTGACCTCTGCCGTCACGCACTTCAGGGAGATTTTTCCAAACTTGATCCTCTTGCCACAAGGCACACACGACTCTGGCTTGATTACCTGAGCATGAGGTAAAACAAAGCTTGGTTGATACAATTTTACACAAACCATAAATGTGTTGTCATTTTAACCCGAAAATAAGAACCAAAGCAACATACATTTTTATCACAAAAGCTAATTCAATAAAAGCTTTTTCTGCCTTGCTAAATTCATCTCAAGTCACCCATGTAATAACCCCCTCTGCCTGAAAACAAATGACATTCCTACCGTTTTGGAGACAAACTCGTGAAGACGGACACCCCCGTTGCCCTGGGGCGTGCTGGGTTCCTGGGGCCTGCTGTCTCTCTCTGGCCGGCTGGACTGTTTGAACATGACATCCTCAGACTTTACTGACTCAGAGTCCCACTCCTGTGTAGCTGAACAGGAGGAAGAGAGAAAGAGGTCAAATACTGCTCTGACAATGCAGCTATGATGAGTTATGAACATTTGTCACATTGTCAAGGATAAACTAATGTAGTCCAGCTGCATTCTGCTTCCCAAATAAATATCCTAACATGCTTCAACATAAAAACACCAAAAAATACCATCTTCTATTTTAAAGCTGATCAAATCCACAGTAAATGAGTAAGAGCTGTTACCAGTCTTTCTCCTGCTCCGAGTCCAGTAGGGAACAGCCTCAATAGTAGAGACGGCTTCGATGGGTCCTCCGTCAGCAGGCACGGTCACTGTAGTCTTGGCCACAAGAGACTCATTTCCCTACGACCATTAAACATAACATCAGTCAAGTCACTGTAAACCTCAACAGTATATTGAGTAACCGCTCACAGTTATCTATATTTTAGTCATTTAGCAGATGCTCTTATCCAGAGTGACTTACAGTTAGTGCACTCATCTTAATGGGAAATGTCATCATTTTTCAACTTCATATTAATAATCTCTATCACCACCCCAACATCAATTTATGTGAAAATGGCACATTTCTATGTTTTGTAGTAAAAAAATAGTTTACAATTACATCATGTGATTTTAACCAATGAGTAAGCATTGCCTTATAAATTGCCTACTAATTGGTTGATGTCATTGGAAACACATTTTTTAATACAAAACATAGAAACGCGCCATTTTCACATATGTTGATGCTCGGGTGGTGCTAGAGATTATTAATATGAAGTTGAAAATGATGTCATTTCCCTTTAAGATGGCTAGGTGAGACAACCACAGTCGTAGTAAGTGCATTTTTTCTCAAAAAATTATTTATCAGCAAAGTCAAGACAAGGAAAAGACAAGTGCATTAAAAAAAGAGTGTGTGTGGGGATATAAGACAGATGTCTTATTTAAGATACCCTTTAAAGAGGTAGGGTTTCAGATTTTTTCGGACGATGGGCATATTTATAGAAATTAAATGAAACTAAAACCTTTACCTTCTCAGAAGTTCTGCCTGTTGATCGTGACCTTTTGGAAGCACATGGGGGACCATCAATGAAATTCCTGGATGCAGAGCGCTGTAATGAAGATGCCAAACATGTTAATAACAAATACAATCCCCCCCCTTCATTCACACATTCAATAAATAATTCCAATGAACTGCTTACCCTCTTTTCACGTTTCTTCAGTCGCACAGTTCTCACGATGGATGAATCCCAGTCCTGGAATGGTTTATCAAACTAACATTATTGCAAAATATTCCAACTTATCATCTCAATGATATTATGTATTGGTTGCTTTAGCTCCATACTAATGGTTTGGATATGAGTGATATACTTGATTCAGAGGCTTAAGCATTTAGACATGACAAAGATAAACTTACCAGAGAGTCATCCGTTTTGTCATAGCTGATGTCTGATAAAATGGAGGCAGACTCATCTATGGTCTTCAATCTATGGAAAATAGCTAAATTAAATGCTGTAACTTCAGTAACCCTTCAGATGTTGATATGTTAATAGAAAAGGCGTTGGTAAGCTTTCCAACTCATGATCAGGAGCAAGGCACTAGCAGTGGGTCCTTACCTTCGGCTGGTGTTAAGGTTGGCTCGTGCCGCCTGAGAACGAGCGTTAAGGAAGGCCAGAGCTGAACGCTGCTCTTCATTCAGCTGGATGCTGTTGCTGGAGCCCTCAGTGATTAGAAGCTCCCGAATCAACTGGATCTGGCGGTCCTGTAACACAGCAGAACACAGGGAGAGGAGTTGTATGAAGCCATTCAACAGTTTATTGGGAGAAGAGTGAACCAGTCTGAGGGTGCCAGTGAAGAGAAGAAAATATTAAGATAGACTGTCTTGTTAAGAATTCTGTGCATACACACCAACTTATCACAGTCAGCTTCTGCCTTCTGGCGGCGGCGGATCTCCACGTCGACTTGATTTCGAGCATGCTTGAGTTTGACTTCCAGGGCTCCCCTCTCCGTTTCTGCCTTGGCAAGCACTTCCTTGCAGGATCCCCAGGTCCTGCTCAACCCTGAGCCATTTACGACGGCAGTTCTCAAAGTTGAGGGCCATCTGGATGAACTCTGATAAGAGAAGATGGACAATAAGGTGTGATAGCTTTTAATACATCTTGTCCATCGTCTATATTATTAATCTCCATGTCAAATCAAATTAAACCGAATGACTTACGGGGCTCAATGCTCTCATTGAGTATGTCTACATGAGACCGCAGATTGCCAAACAAGCTGTGTAGGTTCAGCACAGCAGTGTCCATCTTCTGAAAAAAATAAAGGGCACATAGAAACCAATACTGATAATGAACTTCTATGAGGCTTTTAAAAATAAGTTTGCTAAATGTCAATATTGAATAACATCCCCAGGCTAATTGCTAGGGCAGAAGTGTCTGGTGGCGAACCCTAATCATAGAGCTCGCCACCTTGTAGTCCTATAAACCGGAAATGAGTTACTTCTGGTTCGTTCAGCCATTCTTATGGGGAAAGAATAGGGTTTTGGATAATCTCCTAAAATAAGGTTAACACAGGTTTAGAGGATCTTATACGTTTTGTTTTATGAGATAATATCAGTCAGTTAAAATGACCTTTATGAATTATGAAGCCTTTGTGCTTTTTTTTATTACATAAAATCTTCAAAATTCACAAAAAGTGAGGTTAGATTAAGATAATATCAAAACAAAACGTATAAAATCTCCTAAACCTGTGTTTACCACAGACCTTATTTTCGGCGTTTATCCAAAAACTCCATTAATTTTCTCATAGGCTTTGTCCAACGAACCATGGCGGAGTTAGTGCCTACAAAAAGACGACATTACTCTGTACTCTATTTATTATAGTAATCTAACTAACGTTCAAGATGTGACTAAACAGTCTGATTGTCCTAACGCTGATAAAAATAAATGTTAACTTGCACATACAAAACATTTAGCTAGTTCGTAAGCAACAGTAGATTTAGCTAGGCTAGCTAGCCAACATTGTTGGTGATGTAGCTATGATTCAAAAAACTACAGCTAGCCAACAGTTAACGTTAACTAGCTAGCATGCTAACTGCTAACGTTAATAGAAGAACTAACGTTACATTTACATACCGTTTATTGAAGCCACCACTCTGAGTAATGAAATAAGGCAGGCAAAACCTTTTCACAATCAAATGTTTTGGCACTGGATGAGCAAGTGTGTTGTGTTATTCATTTGTTTGGGTCACCTCACGCTCAGCTCCTGGAAGTGTGTATTCAAGCAAAACAGGCGCGTTCCATTTCAAATTTACACACTAACCAATGATTATCAACTGACGTTCTTTACGCAACTGTACGTCAACGCGCACAGGGGCCAGCCGCCCCATAAAAAAGGGTGCCTCTTAGCTCTGATCCAGGATCAGACAGTCCTGTCAAAATCTAATTAAATTGTATTTGTCACATACACGTTTAGCAGATGTTATTGCGGGTGTAGCGAAATGCTTGTGTTACTAGCTCCAACAGTGTAGTATATCTAACAATTCACAACAATACACACAATACACACAACCTAAAAGTAAAATAATGGAATTAAGGAATATATAAATATTAGAAATATTAGGATGAGCAATGTCGGAGTGGCATAGACTAAAATACATTATAATAGAATACAGTATATACATATGAGATGAGTAAAGCAAAAATATGTAAACATTATTAGAGTGACTAGTGTTCCATTATTAAAGTGGCCAGTGTCCTCCACATAGAGCAGTTTTATAAGAAAAATCAGTTCATACTGAATACATTAATTCCCTCCAGTGGAATTTTTTTTTTTGGGGGGGGGCTTGCCTGTTTTGCATGTTATTTTTCCATTAATACTTGTCACATATCAGTTTGCAAACAATGTAAAAAATAAAAAGAGATATCATTGAGTTAATAAAGCTGCATACAAACATGGTCTCTTTTTTTGTTTTCTTGAGTAAGGCAACTCCAAAATCCAGGTGTTTCAGCATAGCTCAGTGCTTTCTGTGGTGGTGGGGTAAACCAGCAGAAAATACGGAGCGTTGCGCCGTGATTGCCTTAGTGTTCTGTCATCGCCAAGTCTAAGGGTAGACTTAGAAAATTCAAGCCCCTTGGTTGCTGCCATAGAGTTACAGTAGAAGTGCCCTTCCAAGAAGGTTCAAGGTCATTGGCCATAGATATAATGACGTCAAATCACGTTATATGTACAGTAGCTTTGATTGGATTGATCATGTCAACATCTTACTTTCAAAATCTTAGCTAGCAGTCATCATCATGAATCAAGTCGACAATCTACTGGCAAATCCTTTTTAATCCTTGTCATTTGAAGATAAATAATGAAGAGAAATTATAAATAAAACGTATCGGTGCTCATCAGCCATTGTACATAAACATTACACAACAAGTTGGAAATCGCAAATTCAACAATGAGTGGTTTGGAAGTAATCGCTGACAGTGGCTAACTGCAAGCATTGCAACTGGGAAGTTGGGAATAAACGAGCTCCAACTGGGAAAATACGTTTTGAACGGTCATCCAACTCGGAATTGTAAATCCGGCCTCATTCTCTTTCTTTGATGACAAAATTTGCCCACGAAGGACCACCCTGCCATCTTCCTGTTCAAGTGAGCACAGTACAACAAGGTGAATCCAAAAATGTATTGTATGCTGCTGCATAAATGATGTAATATGCCAGGGAGATATGTATGCTGTAACTAAGAAAGTAAACATAAGTGTATGTTGTGTAGTAAGATGTTAGTAGCCCATGTGCCTCACCCTAATAATTTGGTCTATTTACCCCTCTTAATTTTGCCTACTGTTATGACTTGGTGGTGCACATGTAGCCTATAACCTGTTATAGAGAAATGTAATAATTTAATATTGTAAGAGCTTTCATTGTCTGCTTATATGCCCTCTTTATTTATCCTACGGTTCTGACTTGGTGTACAGGGAGAACACTAAGAACGGCCCATGTTCTGAATTCTGTCCCTTTACATTTAAAAAGTGCTAAACAAATAGTTATATTGACTACGTCTGTCCTAGCTCGCTCATTAATATCTTATTCGAAATTACGCTGGTTGTCTCCTTATGCCATAGTTTGTACATCTCAATTGTCATTAGAAACCGCATTTGTTTAAGCAAGTCAGCCATATCAGCTATGTTTTTTTATAAGGCAGTAAATGAGGCTGAATGAACTGTTTCGCTGCCAGACTCCGCTGATAGCCAGGTGTAGCAGTGGTAAGCTGTTGGGACTGCTGTTGGGACAGCTTTATGTAGGCCCTAACAGTTTGTGGGCACCGTTTATCACCGTTATAGTGCAATTAATGTATTGTTTAGTGTTGTGTTGTGGCTTTGCTGGCATGCATCCCACTTTTTTTTTGCCCCACCAAGATTTACATGCTAAAATCTCCACTGATCCCCTCTATATGGGCTCCCGAGTGGCGCAGCGGTCTAAGGCACTGCATCTCAGTGCTTGAGGCGTCACTACAGAATTCGATTCCAGGCTGTATCACAACCGGCCATGATTGGGAGTCCCATAGGGCGGCACACAATTGGCCCAGCGTCGTCCGGGTTTGGCCGGTGTAGGCCGTCATTGTAAATAAGAATTTGTTCTTAACTGACTTGCCTAGTTAAATAACGGTAAAATTAAAATAAACACAAAATATGCATTATTGTAAATTGGTGCAATTGATTCCCCCAATATTTGAATAATCAGGCGATGCCAGCACAAATCTGCTCAAAATGCAGCATGCAACAGTAGCCTAAATAAAATGGGGGAAAATATGAATGCACAGTTGGGAAAATCTACAATAATCCATATTACGTTTTAATGGTGATTATTATTATGATAGTTATTAAGTGTTAGTATTAATTAACATACATTCGTATTTATTCTTCTTATTATTTCATATTGATTATTGTGATGTTATATTTATTTTGTCATCATTATTAGGCTATTTGAATTCAGTAGCTGTTTAGTGCTGGCATGTGTTGCCCCAGTAAGACCAGCAGCCCAGCGTTCAGCCCCACAACTACTTACCCACTGGGCACAGACGTCAAGTCAACGTCTATTCCACGTTGATTTAACATCATTTCATTGAAATGAGGTGGAAACAATGTTGATTCAACCAGTGTGTGCCCAGTGGGTATGACCATGAAACGTTGCTGAGACAGAGGTTATGACCCGTGTCTTGATTAATTTCTGAGCTAATCAGTGGTATGGATTGAAAAGCAGTGAAGAATTGACAAATGACCATATACAGAACAACACACACACACACACACACACACACACACATAAAATCTCCATCCCGCAGAGACAGAGGATAGAGAGAGAGAGAGAGAGAGAGAGAGAGAGAGAGAGAGAGAGAGAGAGAGAGAGAGAGATCAATGTTTTCACTTGGACAACTTGCGAACAACGCATGCTTGCAAACCAGGTGCTAAAAGGAGCACGTTTTAATTATAGGAAGACGCTTGTTGAAGACAGCAAAGATGATTGCCACTACTCAACAGAACATGACCACGGACCTGGTAAATGGCTTGCTGAATAGTTTAATTATTTTAACGTTGCTTCCACGATTTGTTTTTGTTGTAAAATATAATTGAGCTGTATCTGCGTAAATATTATTGATGCAGCTCTCTGATAAGCATGCATAAACATTGAAGTCGCAGAGGTTTGTGTTTGTGTGTTTGTGCGGGTGTGCGTGAATATGCGCATATGCGCTTGTAGGCTACTGTTGTAAATGCGCCTGAATGTATTTCTCTGTTGTGACCAGTCAGCATTTTTTTCATTTAAATCAACATGATTTGATTATCGATAAGTATCTATCTTTACGTTGTACTCTTTCATTCTTACTTTATATATCTAATTAACACAGCCATTTCTTGAACAAGCTTCTGTGTTCTGACTGCACTGACTGCGGTGGTCGTGCATTGTAGCCCCAGTAACATATCAGCATTCGTCTCTTCAACCACAAACTGATTTAATGTGGTGACTTTTTGTTCAACTGACTCAGTCAAATTTTGTAGATTTGAATACACCTCATGCATTCCCGTTGCTGTTATCACAATTGAAAAATGTCTCTTTGTTTTATGAATAGATCTGACATGCCTGTTCAGTTGTAGCATAATCTGTAGTGAAATCATGGCCAGATTACCAATGCCAAAGGGGCTGATCTTACTGTATTATATATTTATACAGCATGCTGATAGAGAGGGATCTGCAGTCACAGAGTGTGAATAAGCAGGTGATGGATGGACAATCCATTTTATTCTGTTGCCTAATTGTATAAAGTGTATAAGCAATCTACCCACTCAATTAAGTTGATGTCAAATCTGAATATCAAAATAGCCAATTATTTAACACCAGACTTAATTTTTTCCAGCATTTTACACTTCACACTTTTTTGCCACAGATTTGAATGTCATATTTCTTTGCCCCCTTGTAATGAATTATGTCCACTGCATACTCATTCAGCAGTTCTGTGAGCCTATCCAAACAGAGAAGTAAGAAGTTGCAACAGTGTTTGCATGTTATGTACAGTAGCTCTACTTACAGGCTGTCAATAGGTTGCAGAATTGCTGACACCAAGAAATGTCAAAGTGACTAAATGTGACTGTAGTTGGTTGCATCTTTGTGGACAGTTGCTGATCGCTGCAAACATTGTTTTTAAAATGAATTCTCTGAGAGTTACATTTCCCCTGGAGATTAGTTAGTTTGTTGCTATATGCTTTCCATATCCTGTACAGCAATACTTTACAGCCTTTCCAAATGGTCTAATTAAGAATACACATCACCCATCACCTTCTCAGTGACAGCAACAATTCAACCATGGCAGCATTTCAGTTCAGAGCTGCACTAATGCATGGCTGACAAAACATGTGTCAGTGCTGTATTAGGTTGCATTGGTATTTTTTATAGTGTGCGAAATTGTAAATAACTGAAAATAGATTATATGTCTTTAATGTCTGAAGTGGCCAGTTGGGAATGTTTTACATATCCCCTCAATTTAGAATGAATCTCTTCAATTTTGTAGGTTAAACAAGGAAGCCACAAACACTAGTCAGCGTATCCGTATCCCTTATCGTTTCCCAGGCAAATGTCTCTCTGTGTTATGGCCCAGTCCCAATCAATGCCTTTTATTTTACACAGCCAAGCAATTCATGTAGCTACTGCACCTCAGTGCTTGGTTCTGTCTCCACAGATTTCAAGCTTCTGTAGACTGATAGGGAGCTCTTATATGTGATGGGGTTGGTGAACCAGAAGAGTCTGTGCTTTAAAAGGCTGTATTTATCAGTCGTGTGTGCCTGTATCTGAAAGGACGTGTACATCTCTCTCATATCTCATGTACCTCTCCTCTCCCCCATGCTTTACAGTGGCATCACACCCCATTCTCCCCAAGGCATACACGACTATGAGGGGAGTGGGAAAGGTTGAGGAGGACTGGATGTGTGGCGGGGGCAGCAGTCATACAATACCCACCCAGAGCCCTTTTGTAAAGTCATTTGCTAATGCTTGGTGGGATGCATGAAAGGGAAAGGAAAATGCCTTGCAGCAGAGAAGGCTAAAGCTGTGGGTCTGTTCCATGTGACTGAGGCAAGTGCTACATTATGTGGCCCGCCAGAAAGCATATGATAGCAAAATGTGTAGAATTGCAGGAAATTAGCTATAAAACAGCGAATCTTTCTCTATGACCCACCAACATGTGTTGGGAATAATCTGTCCCCCCCTCTACTCACTGTACTGTATTGTACTGTATTCTACTGTGCTCTACTCACTGTACTGTACTGAACTGTACTGTGCTATCCAAACTATGATAGGTTCAGATTTGGTCAAGTCCAGTCCGTTTGTGGACGTTAACATGAAGGCCAGGGTGCAATGACCAAATTTCAACTCTCCCAGTAAGAGCTGGGAGAGTTGACATTAACTGGAGAGTGAGAGGCAGAGAGAGAGTGAGATGGGGAGAGAGAGGGTGGGGTTTTCCAGATATCAGAAAGACAAAGAAAACAGTTCTGAGCTGAACATAACAGTGTGCCAGTGGAAGGGAGGACAGTAGCAGGTGACCCAACTGTGGTTTGTGACTATTATGATTTCCCATTGTAGCCAATTCAGTTGCAATAATTTAGTTACTGATATTTTGGTAATTCTGTTACCAATTTCATTTAATAATTCATAAAGAAATTAATATCAGTGAAAAAACTATAACTAATTGGTAGGTCTACAATTAGTTGTTACTTCTGTGAACTTTCATTATCCTCCCTGTCACGACTTCCGCCGAAGCTGCCTCATCTCCTTGTTCGGGCAGGCTTCGGCGTTTGTCGTCACCGGCCTTCTAGCCACTGCCACTCCTCTTTTCATCATTCCATTTGTTTTGTCTTGTTTTCACACACACCTGGTACATATCCCCACATCAGTGTCTGTATAAGTATTCCCTCTGCTCCCCATGTCTTTGTGTGTTATTGTTTCCAGGTGGAGGTTTCGCTAGCTCAGTGGAGCATATTGTACTTCATCGCTGGGATATTCACCCGTGTGTTTTGTTTTTTCCTAGTGCGCCATTAAGTCGCACTGTAGTTGTTTTACGCATTGCTGCGAACCGCTGTATTGGCCGAATAAACCATTATTCTGTGATTTACACCTCCTGTGCCTGACTCCGTCCAAATCACCCACTACACACTCTCTTCATGAGAAAGTGAAATGTGAAAATATCTTAAAGATATGAGGGGTTTTGGTAACGGAATTACAAGGCACAAGGCACTATTTGTTAAACTTACAGAAGGTAAACAATTTCTCCAAAACGAAATATAAGCATCTTTACGTCAATATTATTGTGTTTTGATGTATTTCTTATACCTTTTAAGACTTTTCCTGGTAGATGTTTTCTAAGGCCCCTTTTCCATCTGTTTATCCAGAAACCAAAGCCTTTACTTATGCCTATTTTTGGAGGGATGGAAAATGGTTGAAAAATGAATCTATGCCTTAATTTCCCCAAAATATACATTCTTAGCTTCCATTTTACACCCAATTTGATATGCTAGTATGAACTTCACATGTTGGTGCTCATGGGCCCTTTTCAATGGAAATGCCCATATGTAGATGAGAGTCAGCACGTGTCAACAGTAGCTTCACTAGCGGTGTGATTCTGCTTCAGATGATTTATTGTGGTATTTCCACCGCCTGTTCCAAAGACAGACAGACAAGGAGTTAAGGAGATCCCCAGAGTCTAATTTATGAATTGTTAACAGCCCTATGGAATCTCTCACCAGCTAGCTCTGGTGCATTGGGAGCAAATTGAGTAATTCATTGTATTTTGTGTGGTTTCCCTTATTGTGTCTGTAGCCAATCAATACAATTAATTTGATTACAGTGTACATACAGCATGTGTTTAATTTAAAGAAGAGGCTGTTATCTGTACTCGTTAGTTGAGTTTCTCAGTGAAGAAGGGGTCAGGGTATAGGTCCAGGGATTCCACAAGGTGTCATATTTTGCGGGGAGGGACGCTCTCCAGTGGCCCGTCCATCTAAAAGTCCCCTTTACGGGCTGCTCTCTTTCTATGAATTGCTTCCCACTGGACCTTATTCAGCTGCACACTGTATCAATCATCTCATTTTGTTGAGGCGTTTTGTATCTTTGCCATGTTGGGAGTGGAGCTCTGTTACCTCTTACTGATGCAATGAACTCAGTGAGCACTGCAAATGTTTGTGGAGGTCTCTCACAAGGTGCTCTCCCCAAGAGATCCATGGTTGGTTGCCCATACAAATCTCAATTTTGCATAGCTATAGACTGCCTGCGTGTTGGTTTGACTGACAGCTTCATCAAAGCTTTATCATAGGCTCCTCTCAACTCTCTTTTGGATGGATGGCTCACTGAGGAGTGTATTACACATTATTGATTTTATTTTCATTTTATGATGATCTTTTCTGGGTCAGCAGAACGTGTGCGCTAACATCAAACTCCTAGAAGCAGGTTTCTCACTGACAGGACCTAATCCCTCATCTGTCCACCTCTTCTGGCAGCCAGTGCTGTGTTGGGGTCTCAATTCCTCAGATGTAGTGTCACCATCACTGAAACCCACCCAGACTGTGGTGGCTTTGTGTATCCACACTTGGGATTCTCTTCCTGTCTCCTGTCTCCTGTATCTGTGTCTCTTTTGCAACTTTGACAAAACTCCCTCTTCTCCCAGCCAGCATGCACAGTGTTCACCCTCTCTATCTTCTTACAACGGTGCATGCGACCTTAATTGGAAGTGTAGTCTAATTTCTGTTCTCTGGGGAGCGGTGGAATCTGATTTTAGCAGAGTGTTGTATGCAGTAATCAGGGAAGGACTTTGAAATCAAAACATTGTCTATGGTAGATTCATCAGAGCAAAGGAATTAGATGAACCATGTGTCTCTGCTAGGTTCTACACGTGTTTGTGTGTGTGTGTGCGTGTGTGTCTGCTTTAGATTAGATTCATTTTTTTGTCACATGCACAGGGTCGCAGATGTAATCGTAGGGTACAGTGAAATTCTTATGCTCTGAGCTCCAAAAGTGCAGGTAAAAAGAACTGAAGGGAATGAGATAACAATAGTAATAATAATATATACACATTTACAACTGTAGAAATGATAAATGTCCATTTGGGGGGTGGGGACAGGGTAAATGTAGAATACCCATGGGGGAGCAGCAATGGGGGAGGGGTAGGAAGTCCAGGGGGCAAGAGGGGGACAGAGGTAGCAGTTAGCTGCCTAGTGGCTATTCAACAGCCTGATGGTCTGGGGGTAGAAGCTATTGGCCAGTCTGACAGTTTTTGCCATGATGCTCCTATACTGCCCGGAAGAAGCAAGGCAAGCACAGTAGATGAGGTTGGGAGGATCTTGCCTGCACATCAATTGGTTTGGTATCTCTCTGGACCGCGGTGGGGGTGAAACATAACTTTGTGGTTGTCCCTACTGGCCCAGCAGGATGATCTAATAAAGATAAGACATTGGCTGTGTGTCCATGTATGCTGATGATTCAACCCTATACGTGTCAGCAACCACAGCTAGTGAAATCACTGCAACCATAAACAAAGAGTTGCAGTCAGTTTTAGAATGGGGAGCCAGTAATAAACATTAATAAACTGGTCCTGAACATCTGTAAAACTAAGAGCATTTTATTTAGTACAAATCATTTCCTAAGTTCCAGACTTAGGAAATTATTTGAATCTGGCATTGAATGGTGTCGCTGTTGAACAAGTTGAGGAAAGTAAATTACTTGGTCTTACCTTAGATTGCAAACTGTCATGGTCAAAACATATTGATTTAAATGCTTGTAAAGATGGGGAGAGGTCTGTCCGTGTTAATGAGATGCTTGCTTTTTTGACAGCACACTCCACAAAGCAAGTCCTGCAGGCTCTAGCTTTATCTTATCTTGATTATTGTCCAGTCATATGGTCAAGTGCTGCAAAGAAAAACCTAGTTAAGCTGCAGCTGGCCCAGAACAGAGCAGCACATCTGTCACACCCTGGCTCTGGGGACTCTATATGTTGAGCCAGGGTGTGTAGTTTCTATGTGTTCTTGTTCTATGTCAGTATTCTATGTGTTCTATTTCTATGTTGGCCAGTGTGGTTCTCAATCAGAGGCAACGAGTGTCAGCTGTGGCTGGTTGTCTCTGATTGGGAACCACATTTAAACAGGCTGTTTTCCCACAGTAGTGGTGGGATCTTGTTCCGTTTGGTTTGTTCCGTGTTGGTTGTTTAACCTAGGACGTCACGTTGTTCGTTTATTGTTTTGTTCTTGTTATCACTAAAGATAATAAAGTATGTTCGCTCATCACGCTGCGCCTTGGTCTACTCCGTTCAACGATCGTGACAGAAGATCCCACCATACCAGGACCAAGCAGCGTGTCCAGGAGCAGGCAGCCTGGACATGGGAGGAAGCGCCGGGTAAGGAGCTGGAGAGGTTGGCGATGGCCCAGGTGGGCCAGTTGTGGTCCTGGGAGGACATGCTCGGGGGAAAAGGGCCATGGGCTAAGGTTAAGGCCCTGGCGAGAGAGGAGCAACGGCGTCAACAGTGTCGTCGTCGGACGGACGAGAGGCAACCCCAAAAAAATGTTAGGGGGGGGGCACACGGCATGGGCGACTGGGCAGCAGGAGGCTGCCACAGGGCGAATCGGGAGATTAGGAGAGGAGGCCACCGGGTTTGGGGGGCCAGAAGGCAGGTTGGCGGAGCCTGGATGGAGAGCAGAGCCAACTCCCCGTACTCAGGCATGGCAGCATGAGACTGGGCAGGTTCCGGGGTATGCGGAGCTGCGTACTGTGCCACGAGTGGTCCGGCATAGTCCGGTACGTCCTGTGCGAGCACCCCGCACGTGTCGTGCGAAGGTGGGCATGCAGCCAGGACGGAGTGTGCCGGCTCAGCGCTCGTGGCCTCCAGTGCCTCTCCTCGGTCCCGGATATCCTGCGCCAGTGTCACATGCTGTTATGCCAGTACGGGTACACAGCCCTGTACGTCCTGTGCTGATGCCTCACACAGAGTGTGTGAAGGTAGGCATTCAGCCAGGACGGGTTGTGGCAGCTCTTCACTCCAGGCCTCCTATCCGTCTCCACAGCCCGGCCCGGCCTGTTCCTGCTCCTCGCACCAAGCCTACGGTGCGCGTCGCCAGCCCGGCCCGGCCTGTTCCTGCCACTCGCACCAAGCCTACGGTGCGCGTCGCCAGCCCGGCCCGGCCTGTTCCTGCCACTCGCACCAAGCCTACGGTTCGCGTCGCCAGCCCGGTACGGCCCGTTCCTGCTCCACGCACCAAGCCAGGGGTGCACATCGTCAGCCCGGTCCGGCCCGTTCCTGCTCCACGCACCAAGCCAGGGAGGCGCATTGTCAGCCCGGTCCGGCCCGTTGCTGCTCCACGCACCAAGCCAGGGGTGCGCGTCGTCAGTCCGGCACAACCCGTGCCTGGGTCACCGGTGCCTGGTCAGGTACCGGTCAGCTGCTCCACACCGGAGCTTAAGCAATCCGCTCCTACGATGTCCAGTCCAGCTCCAGCCAGCGGGGCCAGACCGGACCAGGGGCGCTACGGGGGGATTATTGGAGGGTGGTGGGCAAGCACGGAGCCGGAACCACCTCCGAGGAGGAATGCCCACCCAGCCCTCCCCTGTTTGGTTTATGTTAAGGCGCTGTCGCAGTCCGCGCCTTTGGGGGGGGTACTGTCACACCCTGGCTCTGGGGACTCTATATGTTGAGCCAGGGTGTGTAGTTTCTATGTGTTCTTGTTCTATGTCAGTATTCTATGTGTTCTATTTCTATGTTGGCCAGTGTGGTTCTCAATCAGAGGCAACGAGTTTCAGCTGTGGCTGGTTGTCTCTGATTGGGAACCACATTTAAACAGGCTGTTTTCCCACAGTAGTGGTGGGATCTTGTTCCGTTTGGTTTGTTCCGTGTTGGTTGTTTAACCTAGGACGTCACGTTGTTCGTTTATTGTTTTGTTCTTGTTATCACTAAAGATAATAAAGTATGTTCGCTCATCACGCTGCGCCTTGGTCTACTCCGTTCAACGATCGTGACAACATCTTGCTCTTCATTGTAATCAGAGGGCTAATATTAATACTATGCATGCCAGTCTCTCTTGGCTAAGACTTGAGGAAAGACTGATTACATCACTTCTTGTTTTTATAAGAAACATTAATGTGTTGGAAATTCCAAATTGTTTGCATAGTCAACTTACCCACAGCCCTGACACACACACTTACCCCACCAGACATGCCACCAGGGGTCTTTTCACAGTCCCCAGGTCCAGAACAAATTCAAGGTAATGTACAGAGCCATGATTGCATGGAACTCCCTTCCATCTCATATAGCGCAAGTGAAAAGCAAACCTGGTATAAAAAAACAAATAAAGCAACACCTCACGGCACAAAGCCTCTCCCCCATGTGACCTACTTGTTGTGTGTATGTACTGACATGTACTGTATGTGTAACTGATAGATGCACACAGACTACATGTTAATGTTTTTTCGTTATGTGTCAGACCCCAGTAAGACTAGCTGTCGCCATTGGCATCGGCTAATGGGTATCCTAATAAAATTAAATCTATGCTGGCAACCAGTCAAGATATAGGAGTTGTCTCCTCGTTGCCTCCCCATGGGGAGACATTTCACACAAGTTTTGAGTATGCGGACAGGTTCTGAGTATGTTTGACCAAGATTGGGGATTGAGAAATTAGTGTGTGTGTGTGAGTGCAACAGTGGCTGTATAGTGGCGGTTCAGAGACGGGGCTGGATGGAGGATCAGCAATCTGTCAACCAGCGATCCGCATGGCTGTTTCCAGGCCCCATCAAGGCCTGGAGGAAGGTGATGGTGATGGGAGACAGCAGCCCGGCCGTGGCTCTGTGGCTCCGAGGACAAGGCCAGGCTACAGAGGCAAGCGGCCATAATGAAGGCTGAGCTTTATGGCTGCTCTGTGATTGAGCTCTCACACATCATTGAGCATGGGGCTCCAGCGTCCTGTCAAAGACAGCCAGACACTCTGAGGGATCACAGAGCAGCTCATCTGCCATTGTCTTTAATTGTGACTGATACTGTGGCTCCCTCTTTCCATCAGAGCTCTGAGGAGCATCTGAGGAGAATATACAGACATAATATTCATACGGCAGCTGTTTCTTGTACTGTAATGCCCCATCTTATTTATGTTTTGCCTTGTGTTCTTAAACTTTGTGTTCAACTCCCGTCAAGTCTGTTTGATTTATCATGTTGCTCCACAGACTTCTATGCAGATGTTTCCAACAAATGCTTTTCTTGCAGAATGTCTTCTGGTCTTCTAGTTTTCATGGAAAGTGCACCTCTCCCCCTCCCAACCCCTACCATATGCCCCATTAAAGCTGTAACAGGTGAAATGAGGCGACAGTAGCGAGAAATTATACCATGACAGAAAATAGTAGTCTGCAATTAATTTCAAGGTTTTCACAGGCAAACTCTTTAGCTCTGCTTTAAGGAGAATCACTCTAAATCACACAGATTGCTGTCATAGTGAGAGGCTGTGAGTAGCTATTATTCCCCCAGAGTCTCAATGTAGCCTGAAACCACCGATCCGCCTGTCTGAGAGAGAAACCCCCACTGTGAGGCTGTGGAAATGAAGCAGCACTAATGTTCTCTCCCTCAGCTGTGTGTGTGGACACAACGTTCATCACTGTGTATGTTCGTGTGTGTGTATGTGTGTGTGTTTCTCTTGGCAGGACATGCATGGTTCGACTGGTCCACCACGGAATTGGAAGGGCATTGCGATCGCCATGGTGGTGATTGTGGGTGTTCTTTCACTGGTCATCCTCTCAGTCATCATGCTCACACCTGGTAAGAAGAAACACGGAGAGAGAGAGGGAAGAGAAGGAATGGGGAGGGAAAGAAAGGTGTAGAGGTAAAAAAGAAAGAGAGAAAATGAACGCAGGAGGGTTAGAGGAAGGGAATAAAGGCAAGGGATGGAGTGAAGGGGGAGAGTGGAAGAATAGAGGAAGTAAGCGAGAGGGAGGGAGAGAGAGAGAAGGAGAGAGGATGCAGTGGGAGGAGGAGTGGGAACGGATACACAAGACTTTCCATCAGACAAACATATCAACAATAACATTACCAATAGGACAAAACAAACCAACACTGACAAATACAAAGTTCCCCTACATTGAAAAGATACTCAGACAAAAGCGGAGACTCCAGTGCTATGCTAAGAACAGGCTGAGCCCCAGCAACAGCTGTGCCTTGGCTCTGTGTGAATAGAGCAAGCTTCATGTTCATTCCTGGGTGGAAATGGTGTACACAAACAGAGTGTTTATACCTATTTGCTTTCTCCCACTTTCCCATTCCTTCTCTCTCTCTCTCTCTCTCTCTCTCTCTCTCAATTCAATTCAAAGGGCTTTATTGCCATGGGAAACATATGTTTACATTGCCAAAGCAAGTGAAATAGATAATAAACAAAAGTGAAATAAATCAACAGTAAATATTACACTCACACAAGTTAAAGATTTCACTGTCATATTATGTCTCTCTCTCTCTCTCTCTCTCTCTCTCTCTCTCTCTCTCTCTCTCTCTCTCTCTCTCTCTCTCTCTCTCTCTCTCTGGAAGATGAGTCTCACTTGTTACTGCAATCCCATCTCACCATGGAGGATCTAGTGAGCGAGAAGTATACAATTCACAACCCCTGTGTGACCTGGTTGAATGGTAAGAGCTTCTAGCTCTAGCTGAGCTAACCCAGATTAGCCTGCTGCCTCTGTTTGATATCTGATAGTATAGCTGGTTCATGTCAGTATCAGGAGATTTAGTGAGGTATTACTGAGTCCATGTCAAACGTAAGAACAAATAACCGACAGTTATGTACCGGATAAACCTTGATACCCCGAAGGAGGGGAACAAGATACAACATGTATGGGGAAGCCTATGCAAACTTCCATTCATGTGGTAATCGAGTGAACCAACTGAAAGGTTCACATTTCCCTTGGACCTGTGTTGTCTCTTCCAGAGAATGAGGTTGCTCTCAGAACCAGAGAGGGTCACGTCCTGTCTTACAACCTCCACTCCAACCTCACAGCTACACTGCTGGACAACAGCTCCCTGGTGAGTAACGGCCCCGTAACGGCCCCGGGGCCCCACAGGAGAGGAGACTCATTCCATTATTGATTGGCTCATTTACAGAGACAGCCAAACAAATGGACCGTTCAATAGAGACTGAGAGGGCCTCCCAGATGGAGAGAGAATATAGAATGACTGTTAAAACTTTTGTAGTTTTAGAAAAAATTGAGAGCAGTAGTAACTTTCACTGGAATATAGCTATGCAGAGGAGGTGACAGTTTAAGCTTTTTGGGGTCTATTTGGTTCCATCACTGTTCAACTGAAGCCCTCAACATATGGCTTCAAAGAGATTTTTCTAGCAATGGCCTAATTTTGAAGAGTGCCTGGTTTGGCAAAGCGACACTGGAAAACGTATCTGGGTCATTGCCTAGGAGCTAAGCGGGGTTCTGTTGTCAAGATGGGAAGATGTCTCCTCTGGCTCTCACCAGTTTATCATCTCTGTTGCTATATCAATCCCACACTGTAGCTGTTAGCCTACAACATTATTTAGCATTTGGTGGATGATATAGGCAGGGATACTGTACCTAGGGCCATGGCTTTCCAAGTGCCATCCCTGACTTTATCCATATAAGCCCCTAGGCGATGTTGTTCTTGAAGGTTAAGGCTCTTATGAGATCTAAGTAATTTGCTGACATGTGTCTCTTGTAATGTTAGGAGATAAGCATGTTGTTGATATGTTGTTCATTCCATGTTTTCAGGACCTGACTACCACAAAGTTCCATGTGTCTGCAGACAAGAGGTTTGTCCTGTTGGCATACAACATTCAGCCGGTGAGTGATGCTTGTTCTGACCAAGTAACATGCTCATAGCTTGCTCTTTCCATCTTCTTTACTGTGTCAATCATTCTGATCAATTATCATACTCACAGCCATAGCAATCCCCAATGACACCAAAGATGACTTGAATGCAATGTGGTTTCCTACTCACTCACACACCGTTTTGCACAGCAGCGCCACAAACTTATTCCAGACCATCATAGAAAATCAGTTGAGTCAAATCTGTTTCTGTTTGCGACTAACGACAGGTCTATTTCCACACTGCATTGTGGCTGTAGTACAACAATGCCATGCATTCTAATCCAGCCTTTACAGTCAGTGGAATGAACGAGGGGGAGGAAAGTCCCTTATGAAACAGTTAGAGAGACACAGAAAGAGAGCGTGAGAGAGAGCGTGAAGGAGAGAGACTGTTAGAGAAAGAGAGAGGAGAGAGAGATAGGGAAGGAAGAAGAAGAGAGAGAGAGAGAGAGAGATAGAGATAGAGACTATCTCTCTCTATCTCTGCTCTCTCTCTCTCGCTCTCTCTCTACTCTCTCTCTCTCATCTCTCTCTCTCTCCTCTCTGCTCTCTCTCTCCTCTCTCTCTCTCCTCTCCCCACGAGAGAGAGAGAGAGAAAACTAGTGATGCTACTACAGTACTGCAGCAGTCTGCATGCTATTCAGACACAGCCAATAGTCACATCACTGGCAAAATGTATGGGGTATATTCAGACTGGGTGATTATGGGGGAAGGGGTGTAGAAGGATGGAGGGAATTGGATGGCTGAGAGAGATGGATCAGTTTGATGTAGATAGCAGTGTGTGGGGAGGGGGAGGCAGAGATGTGATGAGGGAGATGGGGTGGTAAAGTTGGAGCTGCATGCAGTAATGAAATCGCCCTGCTGGTTTGGTGGGGAATGTTAATGAGGAGCTTATACGAGAGTCTAATGTATAATGCACAATTGCAGGTGGTTCGAGGCAAACCCCAGCATAACAAACAACTCTAATAACACATGTATTTTCCCATCTCTCTTTCCCTTGTAATAGCTTTCCCTGTTTCCCCCGCTGACCCTCTCCTTCTGTAAATAACCGCTCGCTTAATAAATAGCTTCCTGTGTCCCCAAAGGAGAGGGCAAGAGGTGTAATATACGGGTAATGGGGGGGGGGGGGGGGGGTGCCTTCAGCACAATTTTCACCTTATTAAAGAGCCCAGAACAGATATGTGAATAGGATCTGCTCTCTCTCTTCCTCTCTCCCTCTCTCTCTCTCTCTCTCTCTCTCCCTCCCTCTCCCTCCTCCTTTCTCTCTGCTCTAGGATCTGCTCTCCTAATTTTTCTCATTTAGTAGTTGATGATCATATACCTTTGTAGGGCGGCCCAGCTCCCGAAGTGACTCTTTACACTGTATGCAAGGATTTCCTTTGTGTTGTCTTAGGAATTCAGCCTTCTTTGTGTTGCTCTCCAACCCTCTCTTGTGTCACCTTTAAGAAGCAGATGTTCTATTGTCTTTACGTCCTGTAGGTCTGATATCTGATTGGAGGTTCACTTTACAGTAATACTATTGGTCAACCACTCAGATTTTGAATCCGAACAACTCAGATGTTATAAAGCGGTCTCAGATTCATTGTTTTTGTCTTCTTTGTTCCTGACCAGCACTGGTGAGATACTCTCTCCACCCCATGGACTCTTGAGGCATGGCCTTTCAGGCTATGACTTCTCTCTCTCCCTCTTTGAGCATGCTTAGAATAATGCCTTGTAATGCTTTGTAACTTAAGCATTATGCCTTGTATAATGTTATCATTCATTTTACAAAGTATTAAATAATACTTTTTGCATTCGCTTCTCGTTACCATTTCTTGATCTTAGTCAGCTAAACGCATAATATTTGATTGCACATGGTTTTACTCTAATATTAAATGGAGTCAGATCAGTCTTTCCCTCTCGTTTGCTCTCTTTCTGCTTTGCCTGTCTCTCACTCCCTCACTCTTTCTATATATCTCTACCTCACTTTTTTTCTCTCTATCTCTGGGGGTTTTCTGCTGACAATAGCCTTTTGCCGCAAGCACCGGCTTTCTTATTGGGGAGAGGAGCGGTGTGCTGCTGAGAATGGCAGAGTGAGACAGAGAGGCAGAGTGAGACAGAGAGGTAGAGGGAGAGATGCAATAGCAATAGGGGGAGAACAAATATCTGATACACACCATTTGCCTTTAGATCACCCTGTCCAATCGAAATCAATCAGAAGGGGTGTAAAAGAATGAGTGGGATGCATGCTTAGAGGAGAGGGCTGCACTGGTGGGAAATGGATGAGTGGGCTGTATGGTAAGTTGAAAGGCTTATCCCCTGGATTTCATATTAGCTGTGAGGCTTTGGGGAGGTTTGTGCCTAGTGGGCGAAGATAAATGGATTTTGGGGGGGGGATAGTTAGATGTAGGGGTGGCGGGGGGAGGGGGGGGGGCGGGGGGAGGGGGGGGGGGCATATGGGAGAGAAGGAATTCACACCTCCTTTGTAGCAGAGGTTTCAATCTCTCCTCAAAATCCCCAATAGTCTGATAAGTGTGTGTGTTTGCGTGCGTGGGTGCGTGCGTGTGTGTGTGTGTGTGCGTCAGTGCTTGTGAGAGTTGTTCCGTTTGTTTGACACAAAAAGAGGGGAAGGAGAAGATGGATGGAGATAGAGTGGAAAAGATGAGGAAATGCAGCCAGAGCCAGACAGGTGGAAACTGCCAAGACTGTGCCATTTAGAAAGAAACGAAATACAAATGGAGAGTTGGGTCTGCTCTGCAGTTACAGACAATGAGGTGCTTGAATCAAAGACAGCATATTGAGGCACTACCAGAGAGAAATGCAGGTTTAGCACTAACAATGGGCTGGGGGAAGAAATCTAGTATCCTTATATTGTGTGTACTGGGTCGTTCCACGAAATGAGTCCCTTTTGCTTCCCTTTGATGTTTAAAGTAGAAATTGTGCACCAATATTGCATTTTAAAAGCCTGTTATATTAAATGAATTCCCCTTTTAATATAGACCACATGGATAATTCAATACATCTTTTTTTTTAATGAATGCAGCATTTTGACATGACCCTCGGTGAACCCTCTGTGACTTCTAGGAAGATTTTAACCCACTTAACCCCAAGATTTCTCCAAGTTTTCACCATCATTGTAAAGCCCTATTATTCTGTTGTTTTAAGAAAGTCATTTCTGAAGATTATTATTTATTTCATGTGATAAGTGATTCACTTACGTCTATCTGTCACGATCGTCGTAAGAGACGGACCAAGGCGCAGCGTGATATGCGTACATCTTTTAATGAGTACTTTAACAAATATACAGAACGATACGTGCAGTCCTAAGGTTAACAAAACACAAACCTCTCCGGAACAAGATCCCACAAATGACAAGTGCAAAACATGCTGCCTAAGTATGGTTCCCAATCAGAGACGACAAGCCACAGCTGCCTCTGATTGGGAACCACCCCGGCCAACATAGAAACACATGAACTAGAACATGAACATAGAACACTAAACATAGAAACTAACACCCTGGCTCAACATATAATAGTCCCCAGAGCCAGGGCGTGACAGTACCCCCCCCCCCCCCCCAAAGGCGCGGACTGCGACAACCAAACACCACAGGGGAGGGGCCGGGTGGGCATTCCGCCTCGGAGGCGGATCCGGCTCCGGGCGTGACCACCCCTCTCTCTCTCGCCCTCGTGGTCTGGCCCTGCTGACCGGAGCTGGACTGAACACCGGTGTAGCGGATTGCTCTGGCTCCGGCGTGGAGCAGCTGACCGGTGCCGGACCAGGCACAGGTGGAACAGGCACGGACCGTGCCGGACTGACGACGCGCACCACTGGCTTGGTGCGGGGAGCGGGAACGGGCCGGACCGGGCTGACGACGCGCACCACTGGCTTGGTGCGGGGAGCAGGAACGGGCCGGACCGTGCTGACGACGCGCACCACTGGCTTGGTGCGGGGAGCAGGAACGGGCCGGACCGGGCTGACGACGCGCACCACTGGCTTGGTGCAGGGAGCAGGAACGGGCCGGGCCGGGCTGGCGACGCGCACCACAGGCTTGGTGCGGGGAGCAGGAACAGGCCGGACCGGGCTGACGACGCGCACCACTGGCTTGGTGCGAGGGGCAGGAACAGGCCGGGCCGGGCTGGCGACGCGCACCACTGGCTTGGTGCGATGGGCAGGAACAGGCCGGGCCGGGCTGGCGACGCGCACCACAGGCTTGGTGCGGGGAGCAGGAACAGGCCGGACCGGGCTGGCGACGCGCACCACAGGCTTGGTGCGAGGGACAGGAACAGGCCGGACCGTACTGGGAACACACACCACTGGCCTTGTGCGGGGATCAGGAACGGGCCGGACCGGACTGGTAACACACCCCAGTACCTCTCGCCGTGCCTCTACACTCTCCTTCCCCCTCATGACCAATAGCCCCTGTAACCTGGTGGCCTCCTCTCGTAGTCCACAAACTCGCCCTGTAGCTGCCTCCAGCAGCCCCGTCGTCCATGCCGTGTGCCCCCCCCAAAAAAATGTATTGGGGTTGCCTCTCGCCTGTCCGACGACGGCACGGTTGGCGCCGTACCTCCTCTCTCGCTAGGGCTTTAACTTTTGCACATGGCCCTTTGCCCACGAACATGTCCTCCCAAGACCACCATTCGCCCACCTGGGACATCGCCAACTTCTCCAGTTCCTTTCCCGGTGTTTGCTCCTGAACATGCTGCTTGGTCCTTCTTTGGTGGGATCTTCTGTCACGATCGTCGTAAGAGACGGACCAAGGCGCAGCGTGATATGCGTACATCTTTTAATGAGTACTTTACAAATATACAAAACAACAAAACGATACGTGAAGTCCTAAGGTTAACAAAACACAAACCTCTCCGGAACAAGATCCCACAAATGACAAGTGCAAAACAGGCTGCCTAAGTATGGTTCCCAATCAGAGACAACAAGCCACAGCTGCCTCTGATTGGGAACCACCCAGGCCAACATAGAAACACATGAACTAGAACATGAACATAGAACACTAAACATAGAAACTAACACCCTGGCTCAACATATAATAGTCCCCAGAGCCAGGGCGTGACACTATCCCTCATTTCAATCCTGTTATGTGAACTGAATTCTCGTTTTAATATGGTGAAACTATTCCTTCAACAACAAAAAAAATCTAAAGAAACATTGAACATCTAATAGTCAAATCATATTGTAAAAGCAGGTGAGCTAGTTCTGCTCTTTTTGGTCATTTTCATTTTTGTGGTGGAAAACTGAGTGGGTCGAGCATAACACGTCAACCCTGTTACCAATAGATAGACAGGCTAGAAATGTTTTAACAATCATATTTTGGGGTGAAGCTTGCATTCAATTTTCACACCCTGTTGCACACAACAAGCTTCCATTCCCCATCACAAGGGGATTTATGGTTGATCTAAGATGAAATTCTCTACCCTGTAATGGTCAACCCTGTTATGGTCAACCCTGTTACTTTATTTGGCACTTAATAGGCACTTACTATACTATAGTATTTTTTTTGTCCCACGGTAATGCCAGCACGTTTTGGAATTCTAACCCCATTTAAACATTGTGCGTTTGAGCAACAGACCACTGGGTTGCATTGGATTCGTCTATATCTGCTGCATCCGCTGATACATTGCGCTACACCCGCAATAACATCTGCTAAATACGTGTATTTAACATGTTATTTTATTTGATTAGTTGGTGTGATTAACGGGTGCTGAGATAGAGCGCTGTTTATGAGACAAGGGCAGATCCCGAAAACGGGTTTTCTCACAAAAATGTCTGTAAAGTGAGAACAGTTTGAGCTACAAACTATTATGACCTATCTATGAAAAGCTGCGACTCTCACGAACATGCACATATTTTGCTCTATGACGATCCAAAGCAACACAAGAGTCGTTAGAAGGTAAAGTGCTTCTTCTACATAGAAAATCATAGGAAATCGCTGTACATAGTGTCTATAATACTGTAATAAGCTCACATAGTTGCTGTCACAAACTCCAAACTCCACACAGTTGACACTGACTAGTTGGATATTAATTTCCCACTGAGCAAACATTTTTCTACTTACAGCATTCATATAAATTCATTTTCTATCAGGTTTTTGCTTGTCAGACATTTATCAATAAAACGTTTGCATGCACTGTTTATGTCAAATTGTTTTGTGTTCTACTTGCAGCCCTGGTTGTCCTGAAAACACTTCAGTGTGAGGCTAAATATGAGGGCAGAGCAAACTTGTTTTGCTGTGGGATGCCTGGTTCCCATGGAGTTAAAAGGGGGGAAATGTGTTTTTCATGGCTGCACATGTGCTCTCCATGACAAAATGTTAAAATTAGGTAAAATTGAACTTTTTTAAAATCAAGTTACACTTCTCAAAAGGCACCTAATTTGTGGAACGACCCTACTGCACCGCAACAACACCTACCAATATCTCGCCTCATACACGGACTGTTGTAATCTTATTACTGTCCCATTGTTGCCAGGTCCCACGTGAGCACACACACACTGGTCTGGTCTGTTTACAGTGTTGCTCCTCCATTTGGGGTAAAGTCATGGGGAGGAAGCAGAACAATCTGGTGGAACACTGGGGAAAGATTTATGACTTTAGTACTTAGCGGCCACATTAGAATTCATTCCCTTTCTCTTAGACACGCATACAAGGGTGAGCACAGATACATGCACGCATGCACGCACGCACACACACACCCACGAACACACACAGAAACTGTAACACACACGCATGCATGCTACGCACGCTCTCAGACATGCACACATACACATAGTTATGCGCACACACACACACACACACACACACACACACACACACACACACACACACACACACACACACACACACACACACACACACACACACATACTGAGACTCGTTACTCTGCCACCACGCTGCTCACTCTGTGACCTGTTAAATAGCCGTGAACTCCTCTGGCTCAGACCCTCATCCTTTACCCTGGTGCCTCAGTTTTCTTCAGATCTAACTGTTTTCTGTTGTTATTGTGTTTTGTTTTGGGTGCAGTGCCCTTTTCCTCAGAAGCAATGTCCCGCTGGTAAGAAAGTGACCTTTCTCTCTCAGGGTGACATTTTCTGGTGTGAAACATAGCCCTTCTTTTTATAGTCCTGCTCCTTTGCCTCTCTGTATTTCTCAGTTTAGAGGACTAACAACATGGGAAGAAATCCAATTGTACTGTTAAGTATGCTATTGAAAACTTGACATTCAATTACATTAGGGACACGCTTTCCAAAGCTTTTCCTTTGGCTTCTTTAAGAAGCTAGTGGGCAAACAAAACACTTCAAGTCTTTGTTTTAGAAATGGAGTGTCCTCTTCAACATGCCTAGCTGATCACTGGTCAGGATGAGTTGCCACTCTGGATCTTTTTCAATCTGAGTGATATTGGCTGTAATTATGTTACTTAGGGAGTATGTCTTTCTCTAACCCCTCTCTCTCAAATCCACACATGACATCATTCCTCTAATGTCTCCTATTCTCTGTTAGGAGAGACTGGGTTATCATTGTTTGAGCTGTTTGATTGGATAATTGGAATTTATGTTTACGACAATGCAATGTGATTGATTGAATTGCTGGCTGTTCATTTGCTTAATTGGATTGTCCTATGGTCTAATTGTAGTGCGTGTGTCTGTGCGTGCGTACGTGTGTGTGTGTGTGTATGTTTGAGATTGAGTGTGTTCTTGAGTAACTCTGGACCACTGTGCCCATCATGTCCTCTACCTCCTACAGGTGTTCTCTCAGTCCTTTACAGCATCCTATGCCATCTACAATGTAGCTAATGGGTAGGTACTGTAGATCCATGAATGCTAATGCATGGGCTGCACTGGGCATGTACATTGCCAACGCAAGCGGGCCCTGGCCTCGACTGACCAAGCACCTCCAAGTGTGTCTCTTTTCATCTGAACGTTATCTGTTATGTCAGACATATTCATTACTCTTAACATTGTCCTCTCTGACTATAGTTAACTATCAGAGTAAGTTGGGAAATTGACAGCCAGAGATTCCTACTACCTGCTGGCCCACCAGTAAAGAAGAGCTCCCCTGTATCTTTGGATGAAAGCCTGGGCTTTGTGAGGAGCATCAATGCCTCTCAGAGAAATTCAGAAGGATCTGCTCGTCTTACAAAAAATGAAATGTCTGGTTTTGTCTTGTAGCAAGATGCCTGCCTGTGTTTAGGAGGAACATAGTGTTGTTCCAATGCATTAAGAGGTACTGATCCATTGCATGAACCGACCTCAATCTCTGTATGGTTTTGCATTTGCATCTTGTATTTTTACGATATCTCTCAAGTGCTTATGAACAGGTATGGACGGATCTACTTTCTACTCCGTTAACCACTAGTGGCTTTAGAGAGGCCATTTGTTCCTAATGGAGGGATTCTGTCTGTGTTTGTCTCAGGGATCTGCTGGAGCTCAACTCTCCAGCGGGGGAGAAGGCAGTGATACAGTACGCAGCCTGGGGACCACAGGGGAACCAGCTGGTAAAAGGCAGCAGCTCTCACTCATTCTGCATTCCACCTCAACAGTGTCTGGTGGGCTAGAAATGCATTTAAGACCACAAATCTATAATGCCTCTATTTAGCTGAGTTATAATGATAAAAATAAAAAAAATAATTTGAGTGTTTGTTGCAGATTAATATTGGATTATGTGTTTTGAATGCAAAGTGTTTTCAGTGCAATGTTTGTGTTCCAATGGCACTTCAACACATTCAGTCAGTGGCAAGTTGAGATGTAATGGGCTGTAACTTGGCTGGCTGATGCATTCCCACTTGGAGCCAATAGAACGTTTGATTCAGCCAGCCAACACTGAGCTCTCTATCTGCCTTGCTTTGATAATGGATTAGTACCGTCTCTCTGTTGCTGCCAGGCCTATGTGTTTGAAGGAGATATCTACTACCAGCCAGCCATGACCAGTAAGCCCCTACGCCTTACATCCACAGGCAGAGAGGGGCTGGTGGTCAATGGGCTATCTGACTGGATGTATGAGGGTAAGAGATACTGTAGCTACATCCACTAACGTCTTAGAGGAAAATTCCATACAAAAACTATATTTTGGTATTCGTTTCATTAGTCCATTGTTGACATAGTTTCAAAAATGTTTTGCTTTCCAGCACTCAAGTTTTCAAGATATGTAACTTTCAAAATACAGAAATCATCCCCATATGATACATTTTGCATCATATGATGCTGCGTTTTGCATCATATGATGCAACATACAGAAATTATTTATGTATTTTGAAAGTTACATATCTTAAAAACTTGAGTGCTGACCATTAAAACATTTTGGGACTATGACAACAATGGACAAATACCAAAATATAGTTTTGGGGTGAGTTTTCCTTTAACATATCTCTATCACATAGCCATTGATTGCCAAATGTTCCAAAATTGCCAACTGTTTGCAAAATTAGGTCTGTCATATTGAAAGCTGTTCCCTGAGATGTATGGTATTGCAGATAGTATACAGTGGGGGAAAAAAGTATTTAGTCAACCACCAATTGTGCCAGTTCTCCCACTTAAAAAGATGAGAGAGGCCTGTAATTTTCATCATAGGTACACGTCAACTATGACAGACAAAATGAATTTTTTTTCTCCAGAAAATCACATTGTAGGATTTTTTATGAATTTATTTGCAAATTATGGTGGAAAATAAGTAAGAGTACAGCTCTTTGGTCTTGGCCATAGTGGAGTTTGGAGTGTGACTGTTTGAGGTTGTGGACAGGTGTCTTTTATACTGATAACAAGTTCAAACAGGTGCCATTAATACAGGTAACGAGTGGAGGACAGAGGAGCCTCTTAAAGAAGAAGTTACAGGTCTGTGAGAGCAAGAAATCTTGCTTGTTTGTAGGTGACCAAATACTTATTTTCCACCATAATTTGCAAATAAATTCATAAAAAATCCTACAATGTGATTTTCTGGATTTTTTTCCCTCAATTTGTCTGTCATAGTTGACGTGTACCTATGATGAAAATTACAGGCCTCTCTCATCTTTTTAAGTGGGAGAACTTGCACAATTGGTGGCTGACTAAATACTTTTTTCCCCACTGTATGACTTTGATACATTGTTTGCACTATTGGTAATGTGCAACAATTGGAACACCATGAATAACAAATGTGTATTGAAATTGATTGTGTTGTTCTCTTGTCAAATGTTTACAGAGGAAGTGCTCTTGACTTACCCTGCCCACTGGTGGTCCAAAGATGGCGCTCGCTTGGCATACTTCACCATCAACAACTCTGCCACACCCCTAATGGAGATACCTTATTTCCTGGGTGGAGTCTATCCCTCCAATGTTTTCTTTCCTTACCCCAAAGTAAACACTGATTTTAAAATATATAATTAACCAATAATGTAATGTGTAAAAGCTCCAAGACTGTCATGTCATCTAACTAATGTAATACTAATGTAATAGTCTGAACCTGTGTGTCTGTGTGAATAGGCTGGCTCTACTATCCCCACAGTCAGCCTGTTTGTGGTGAATCTCTATGGTCCAGCTCACACTCTAGAGATGATCCCTCCAGACTCTCTCAGGGCCAGGTACTACCTCCAAAATATAACTTCATACTGTAGCTCAACTAAGGACTAATGTTGTTAACGTTGATATTTTATTTTACTGTCCAAGAACCTTCTCTTTCTATCTTTTTTTCTTCAAACGTCTCCCTAGAGACAGCTACATCTCCAATGGTGAAGTGGATCAGCAGCACTCGTCTGGTGGTGCGTTGGTTGAACCGGGCCCAGAACCAATCAGAGATCTGTGTGTGTGAGGCCACCACAGGGGCATGCTCAGAGGTGAGAGGTAAAAGGTTATTTCAAAGTAATCCAATAGGATCTCCTCGCTCTGCTGCCATGCATTACTTTTATAGCATTTTCATCTCCTTTACACTCTGGTGGATTTGGATTGATTTCCTTAAGCCACCATATCTGTTCCTTCCAGTTTAAATAAGGTCAATTATACTGCCTGTGATGAATTTCCAATGATCTGCTGCAGCATTTCTCTGCCATCTCTCTCCAACCAGTCCTTATGGATTCATTACAATATTAACTTTGGCTGCTTAATTATGTTGATATATTTTCTTTATTTTGTATCTCTGTTTTAATTCTACAGAAACACACAATGGTCATGGACTTAATGCAAAACCAACGACAGGTAGGCATCACTCATTTCCCCAAATCTGCTACTCATTGAAACTGGTATACCCACCTGTGATATTTCCTGGATTGTAATTGTTGACCACGCCTGTCTCATTTGTCCAACAGGAGGTGCCATTGTTTTCATCCGATGGCTCTTGGTTTTATTTGACACTGCCAGCGAAGCAGGGTGCCCGAGGGGAGTTCCGCCACATTGCCAGTCTCCCTGCCCAGGTCAGTGTGAGGGCAATAATGTTTTATACCCCTGCGTCATCCTCCAATGGTTTAATGCCAGACTGCTTGTTAAGTCTTCAACAGGGTGACATGCAACAGTATATGATTATACAGATCTTAATAGCAGAGACCTGAAGTCTTGTCTTGGCAGTGATTATTTTAGGTATCTGTGACTGTGTATCTGAATTGTATGTGTCTGAATAACTCTACATTTCTCTGACAATGTTATTCTCTGCATCTCCTCTCCACTGGCAGTCTGTCTGTTTCTGTATTCATCCCCCTCTCTTTCTCTCTCATTCAATGTGACACAGCCTGCCATCCCCACTGTCCCTCCTCGTTTTCTGACATCCGGTAATTGGGATGTCACTGTGCTGTGTGCCCTGGACGAGGACAACGGGAAAATGTATGTGAGAGCCTCTGTGTTTGATGCTATATAGAATAAAATGTATGCAAGAGCCTCTGTGTGTGATGCTAGAATCCCCCCACAGCTCTTTAAGATTTTATACAGGCATAGTTAAAGGCTGGGGCAAAGTATTCCAGCAGGAGAAATTATCATTAAAATGATCATGGGCTTATATTTATTTGCTTTGCATGATGAGAAGTGAGAAGTAGGCAGGGTTGGGGAGTAACTGATTGCATGTTGTCAGTTACAGTAATCCTATAAATAAATAAATGTAACTGTAATCAGTTACGTTACCAGCAAATATGTTGGTTAGGTAACTAGCTAGTAACTGTAATGGATTACATTTAGAAAGTAACCTACCCAACCCTGCAAGTAGGCTACTGTCGTAGAACGATGATTAGGACAGAAAAACACATACAGGTATTATTGCCCTTTTAAATAACTAGCCCATGATCCCTAACAGTTCATGGATCTAAATTAAAGAGAACATGTAGTATTCACTTAAAACAGATCTGGCTTTGACTTCGCTCAGGGCAAGTCAGCTGAAACGGAACAAGACAGAATTAGATGCTCTTAGACTGAGCAGTCCACTGTTTTATTCTGTCAGTACCAGGCTCGAGGCACAAGTCCTTCATGCTTAGACAAATTGATGTGTACTGTGTGTGTGTGTGTGTGTGTGTGCGCTAGCATCATCCTCATAGAGCATGATGGGAACCGGAGGTGTAGCCAGATGGTTGCACAATGTCCCAACCCAGCTAGCACATAACATTCTGAGAACCATTTGTTTCTTAGAGCTTGGTGAGAGCATGGTTGTCCTATGGTTATTTAGCATACAACCTTCCCACAACTTTCTGTGAATGGTGCATAATAGTTGCTTGACTGTAGAACATTTCCTGCACATTTAATGAACTTTATATTTTGGTATTTCATTTACTTTAACAGAATGTTTCCTAAAAGTTCAAACATGATTACATTTCATTTCAATTTTGGTAATGTTCATAGAACTTTAAGAAACAACGTTCTTCTGTGGAAATTTCAGTATTTCAGCATAACTTTTCCTACAGATTTCCTAATGGTTCTATTAAAGTAATGTTCTCAATTTGTTCCGGGAACGTTATACATTCTGGGAAGGTACATAAAAAAAATATATATATCTACACTACAGTTCAAAGGTTTGGGATCACTTAGAAATGTCCTTGTTTTTGAAAGAAAAGCTATTTTGTAGTCCATTAAAATAACATCACATTTATCAGAAATACAGTGTAGACATTGTTAATGTTGTAAATGGCTATTGTAGCTGGAAACGGCAGATTTTTTATGGAATATCTACATAGGCATACAGAGGCCCATTATCAGCAACCATCAGTCCTGTGTTCCAATGGCACGTTGTGTTTGCTAATCCAAGTTGATCATTTTAAAAGGCTAATTGATCATTAGAAAACCCTTTTGCAATTATTTTAGCACAGCTGAAAACTGTTGTGCTGATTAAAGAAGCAATAAAACTGGCCTTCTTGAGACTAGTTGAGTATCTGGAGCATCAGCAATTGTGGGTTCGAATACAGGCTCAAAATGGCCAGAAACAAATAACTTTCCTCTGAAACTCGTCAGTCTATTTTTGTTCTGAGAAATTAAGGCTATTCCATGCGAGAAATTGCAAAGAAACTGAAGATCTCGTACAACGCTGTGTACTACTCCCTTCACAGAACAGTGCAAACTGGCTCTAACCAGAATAGAAAGAGGAGTGGGAGGCCCCGGTGCACAACTGAGCAAGAGGACAAATACATTAGAGTGTCTAGTTTGAGAAAGAGATGCCTCACAGGTCCTCAACTGGCAGCTTCATTAAATGGTACCCGCAAAACACCAGTCTCAACGTCAACAGTGAAGAGGCAACTCCGGGATGCTGACCTTCTAGGCAAAAAAAAAAAAAAGCCAGATCTCAGACTGGCCAATAAAAAGAAAAGATTAAGATGGGCAAAAGAACACAGACACTGGACAGAGGAAGATTGGAAAAAAGTGTTATGGACAGACGAATCGAAGTTTGAGGTGTTCGGATCACAAAGAAGAACATTTGTGAGACACAGACCAAATTAAAAGATGCTGGAGGAGTGCTTGATGCCATCTGTTAAGCATGGTGGAGGCAATGTGATGGTCTGGGGTGCTTTGGTGGTGGTAAAGTGGGAGATTTGTACAGGGTAAAAGGGATCTTGAAGAGGAAGGCTATCACTCCATTTTGCAACGCCATGCCATACCCTGTGCACAGCGCTTGATTGGAGCCAATTTCGTCCTACAACAGGACAATGACCCAAAGCACAGCTCCAAACTATGCAAGAACTATTTAGGGAAGAAGCAGTCAGCTGGTATTCTGTCTATAATGGAGTGGCCAGCACAGTCACCAGATCTCAACCCAGGTAGCTTAGTGGGTAAGAGCGTTGTGCCAGTAACCGAAAGGTCGCTGGTTCTAATCCCCGAGCCCACTAGGTGAAAAATCTGTCGATGTGCCCTTGAGCAAGGCACTTAACCCTAATTGCTCCTGTAAGTCGCTCTGGATAAGAGCGTCTGCTAAATGACCAATTATTATTATTATTATTATTATTGAGCTGTTGTGGGAGCAGCTTGACCGTATGGTACGTAAGAAGTGCCCATCAAGCCAATCCAACTTGTGGGAGGTGCTTCAAGAAGCATGGGGTGAAATCACTTCAGATTACCTCAACAAAGGTTGTAATTGCTGCAAATGGAGGATTCATTGACGAAAGGAAAGTTTGAAGGGCACAAGTATTATTTCAATTAAAAAATCATTATTTCTAACCTTGTCAATGACTACATTTCATATGCATTTTGCTATATTTCCTATTCAAACTAATTTCATGTATGTTTTCATGGAAAACAAGGAAATGTCTAAGTGACCCCAAACTTTTGAACGGTAGTGTATATATTGTACACATTCACGTTCATAAGCTCTAAATTCCGTTCTCATAACATGAAGAAAAATGTCCATAAAAACCACAAGAAAACTTTAGTAACATTCAGAGAACGTTCTAAGAATGTAATTAAAAAACATAAACATTCCATTCTCAGCATCAACAAAATTCTCTCTATCCTCTATCTTGTTAAGTGTGTTCAGGTGTGTTGGCTACGCCCACTAATTGGCCACACCTGATCTTAATGAGTGCTTGTTTCCTTTGAAAAGGGGTCTGTTTGAATAGACTAAAATGAACAGCTTTGTATACGTTAAAAAAAATGGCACACTAGCTCCATTCTGGTGGTGCGGTGGACTAATTCCATGCATAGAGAACATAAGATCATAGGTTCAAATCTCACTGATGCTGTGTCACAATAAAAAATAAATGTGTTTGCATGATTAATGCCTAAGGAAATGAATTTCCATATGTGCTTGGAGTTCAAAAAGTTAATGCAAATAAGCTAGCAGTGTTATTAAAAGTCTTATTGAAATAGTTTTAAGGAAGTAATTCGAAAACCACCAAATAACCTATAATTTCCATTCTTATAGCATTAATAAAACCTCCCAGGAAGACTTTCAGGGAGCCAGAGTAAAACATTCTCAGAACCTCCCTGCAACCTAAAAATATATGTTCCCAGAACAGGCGAAAGGTTCACTTCTCTTCTCAGAACATTTTTAAAATGTTCAGTTTTACCGGTCAGGAAACTCATAGCTTCGTTCCCACAACCAATGTGAAACCAAAAACATACGTTCCCACAACTTCCAAGGAATCAAATGTGCTAGCCGGGAATTGCCCGTGTGGTGGCTGGCACGGCTGTTTGCCTCCAAGCAAGACACTCATACTGCATAGCATTCATATACTATACTTTCTGCTGTATAGACAATGGATTCAAAGTCAGACTCAAATCACTGGGCATGTTCTGTAATTCACCCTTATCGAGAGTGTCTGCGAATCAACTGATACTAGGAAGTTGTTGAGTGAAGTGTGTAAATCATAAATATCATAGAGTCCAGATGGACTAACATACAGTATCTCCACATTCAGCGGTCCTGGAATGTGGGAGTTGATTGACTGTCTCCTATTGACTGCATCACTATGTCCTCTCTGTTTGCAGCTACTTCCTCAGCACAGAAGAATCCAGACAGAGCAGACACCTGTACAGGTGAGGCCATCCCCTGTCAAAAACTACTTGATCCAGAATTTCCTCCTTCGAAGGCGTGCTGGCTTTGACTGATTAAGTGAAATTTGTTTATATCCCAAATCAATACATTTTAGTTATTAAAACATGCCCTTGTTTTACTGAATGTAATTTCTTATTTTTAAGACAAAATATATTAGTTTAGCAGCCAATGAAACAAAACTAGTTACTTGAAATTCAAGTCAAAGTAATGGTGGCTCAACAACTTTTGGGTTTCATGAGAAGGTAGATGGTGAGAGAAGTGAGCTTTGAGCTGAAGGGTTATATTGTGCAGCAGCTGAAGCCATTCCTCTCCAGTGCGCTTTAGGCAGACTGCCCACCTAACACATTTATCAGAGAGGGGACCAAGCCAACTCAGTGGATGGGATGGTGCTGTGGTAGAGAATGCATCACTAGGACGTAAAGGCTGCGTCCCAAAGTCCCAAATGGCTCCTTATTCCCTATATAGTGCACTACTTTTGACCAGGGCCCTGGTCAAAAGTAGTGTGCTATATAGGGAATAGGGTGCCATTTGGGACGCAGACGTAAAGACTGATCCACAACCTGTGATTAATGTACTCAGCCCCCCAGGTCATTCACCTTATATGTTTTATATAGTTTTTGTATTACTCTGCTTTGGGCCTCGCCAGATGATAGAGTAGAGGGAGAGAAAGGTGTCTGGTTTAAAGTGGGTTTTCTGGGGAAGGTGTATGCATTCTTTTTTGGTACTTCCCTTGGAGAGAGATAGTTATTGAGAGGTTTGAAATATAGTTTTTATTTAAAAAGTTGCCTTTATTTTCAACCTTGAAGAGTCGTATTCTTGTTTGAGAAGTCAGTCGTATTCTTGTTTGAGAAGTCAACTCAGTAATTCATTTTAGCATTGCTATCATTGTATTATTGTTTAATGAAGGTGTAATTTACAACCTTAATAAGGTATTGATTGGGACAGCTGAATAGTTTCAGATCCACTAGTTCTTTAAGGTGTGTTTGGTCACTGTTCTCTTCCTCTCTCTCAGTGCGGACCTCGAAGGGATCTTTCAACGGCAGTGTCTGACCTGCTACCTTCTAGATGGTTGCAGCTTTTTCAAAGCAGAGTTCAGCCCCAATCAGAAATATTTCACACTTTATTGCCTAGGTAGGTGCTCCACACACACATGCGTGCACACGCACACCCTCCTGCTTGAATTAAAACCGCATTTCAAGGATAATCAAATATGTACATTTTCTTTGTCTTTGATCCATGTTTCCCCAGGCCCCGGAGTCCCCAAGGTGACAGTTCACAGCACGAAGGACCCTTCCAGTGAGTTAGAGTCTGGTTCCTCTGACTAGCCTGCGCCACTTTTTCTACCATCAGACACTTTTGACAGTGGCCAGTAAAGGGCAGTATGTGCAAACAAACATAACCTATAGTTTAAAGCAGTTTCAGAAACTGGGTAGTAGGGAGTAGCTATGAATAGACTGTATAAATGTCAATATATTTTTGTATGATCTCCTTTAGGATACATAGTTCTGGAGGACAACACACCACTCTCTGAGGCCCTACATGGGAAGAGACTCCCAGAGACTGTCTTTAAGACCCTCACAGCAGACAACCATGGTAGGCATGTGATACCACTCTGGGCCCATACTCACAGAGTCTAAAATGATCATTCACATGAACTGACATAACAAAACAGACTGTTTTAGGTTCAAATGGTCACAGAACAGACTGGTTCCACTTATCTCAGGCCTCTAAATAACAAGCCAAATATAGCAGCATACCCATCAAGAAAATACTTTATTTAATTAGCTGATTAGGTATCCATGGGAGCGAGAGCCTGATTCATGCTCTCCCTTTGCGGTGAGGACAGTGTGTGCGTGTGCGGATGTGTGTGTGTGTGTGGGTGTGTGGGTGTGTGCACTGTAAACATACTCAATTAACTAACTCATTGTTACAATGACACACAGGACTCAGGGGTGTTCATTTACTGGTGCTTTAGTTTAGTGCCCATAGGTTTCAGGGGGAGAATACTGATGAGCTCTGCTACAATGTTCTGTAAAACTTCAGTTAAACGCTGAGTCTTGAATAGCAGCCTGTCCCTTTTGATTGCCAGGCATCACCACACATTTCAGCAAATAAACGCTGGGTCTAAATGAATTGTTTATGAGTACCATAAACATTTTACAATAGAAGATAAAGGAGAGCAACATCATTGCCATGGATGAAACAGCAGTGTGGCTTGGCATGGTCGGCTCATATGCCAACAAGATTTCACGGTCTCACTTCAGTATTCAATGTTTGGGTGAAGTGAAAATAGGTTAGGGTTAATGTTGTTAAAAAAGAAAAAAATTGGATGGTTATGAATAAAGTAATACGTGCTCACATTGCCCCTAGTGGACGGTATTGAAGGCGTCCTCCCGACAGGATAAGTGTTGAATACTGAAGTCTATCTGCTGTGATCTCACTGCAACTACAGGGGATACAAAGCACAACAAGGTGCAACAAGTGAAAGTATGGTGCTGAAGCATGAAATTGGGGGTGAATGATGGGCAGCCTTTGCAAGTCTGATCTGCGACTGCTATGGATTTGTTATAATGTTTATACTGGTCATACTGGTCACAATAAAGTGTGGTAGTCTTTTTATTGAGCAAAAGCTTTGTGCATTAAGGGAAACAGACGCCTGGACTCAAATAGAAGCCTGTCTCTAATAAGCACCGATTGTGTTCAGTGATTGAAGCATAAAAACGCCCGGGCTATTAATTGAAGTTTTACCAAATATCTCTGTATACACTACTTGTCCAAAACTATGTGGACACCTGCTCATTGAACATCTCATTCCAAAACTCATGGGCATTAATATTGAGTTGGTCCCCCCCTTGCTGCTATAACAGCCTCTACTCATCTGGGAAGGCTTTTACTAGAACATTTCTGCGGGGACTTGCTTCCATTCAGCCACAAGAGCATTAGTGAGCTTGGGCACTGATGTTGGGCGATTAGGCCTGGCTCGCGGTCGGCTTTCCAATTCATCCCAAAGGTGTTTGATGGGGTTGAGGTCAGGGCTCTGTGCAGGCCAGTCAAGTTCTTCCACACCGATCTCGACAAACCATTTCTGTATGGACCTTGCTTTGTGCACGGGGACAATGTCATGCTGAAACAGGAAAGGGCTTTCCCCAAACTGTTGCCACAAAGTTGGAAGCACAGAATCTTCTCGAATCTCATTGTATGCTGTAGTGTTAAGATTACCCTTCACTGAAGCTAAAGGGCCTAGCCCGAACCATGAAAAACAGCCCCAGACCATTATTCCTCCTCCACCCAACTTTACAGTTGACACTAAGCATTGGGGCAGGTAGCGTTCTCCTGGCATTTGCCAAACCCAGATTAGTCTGTGGGATGCCAGATGGTGAAGCATGACTCATCACTCCAGAGAATGCGTTTCTACTGCTCCAGAGTCCAATGGCGGTGAGCTTTACACCACTCCAGCCGACACTTGGCATTGCGCATGGTGATCTTAGGCTTGTGTGCAGCTGCTCGGCCATGGAAACCCATTTCATGAAGCTCCCGACAAACAGTTCTTGGGCTGACGTTGCTTCCAGAGGCAGTTTGGAACTCGGTAATGAGTGTTGCAACTGAGGACAGACAATTTTTATGTGCTGCGTGCTTCAGCACTCGGCAGTCCCATTCTGTGAGCTTGTGTTGCCTACCACTTCACCGCTGAGCAGTTGTTGCTCTGAGACGTTTCAATAACAGCACTTACTGTTGACCGGGGCAGCTCTAGCAGGACAGAAATTTGATGAACAGACATGTTTGGAAGGTGGTATCCTATAACGGTTCCACATTGAAAGTCACTGAGCTCTTCAGTAAGGCCATTCTACTGTCCAGTGTTTGTCTATTGAGATTGCATGGCTGTGTGCTCGATTTCATACACCTGTCAGCAACGGGTGTGGCTGAAATATCAGAATCCACTAATTTGAAGGGGTGTCCACATACTTTTGTATATATAGGGAATCTCAGCTGAGACTGTGTGTGGGCCCACCTTTGTTTATTTTCATTTAGATCTGCACCTGAAGCTGTCTATGCCCCAGAGGTATGAGGCCAAGCTGCTCCCTCTCCTCATCATTGTGTAAGTTAGAATGCATTATACACTAAGCTCATCAATGGTGTTATAACATGCTAATGACATTGTATTAAGCCTCATAACATGAGCCAATATCAAGGATTCACTTTTATAGTTTTACGGCCTATTACATAACATTTAACAGACATTGATTTCCCCATAGTTGACCAACAGGCTAAAGCACAAGTTCACTTGTTTGGCTTCCACATCCCATTTACAACCTCTAACCCCTGCCCTTTGCTCAGTCCCTCCAAATTGACATTTTTGTCCAAACCGGCTCACCCTGTTCCTCTTGTTGTGACGCAGGGACGGAGTTCCAGGCAGTCAGTCGGTGACAGAGGAGTTTGCTATGGGATGGCCTGAGGTGCTCGCTAGTACTCATGACGTGGCCTTAGCCTGGGTGGATGGAAGGAGTGGGGTCGGCTGGGGGCAGAAGATCAGTAGTGTGGATCCCCGCAAGCTCAGCTCCCTCAGAGTCAAAGATCAACTAGGAGTTGTGGAGTTAGTTTCCAACCTACAATGTTATGGGCCATGATTACATAGACTAAAAAAGTTTCCATAATGTACAGTCGTGGTCAAAAGTTTTGAGAATGACACAAATATTAATTTTCACAAAGTCTGCTGCCTCAGTTTTTATGATGGCAATTTGCGTATACTCCAGAATGTTATGAAGAGTGATCAGATGAATTGCAATTAATTCCAAAGTCCCTCTTTGCCATGAAAATGAACTTAATCCCAAAAAACATTTCCACTGCATTTCAGCCCTGCCACAAAAGGACCAGCTGACATCATGTCAGTGATTCTCTCGTTAACACAGGTGAGAGTGTTGACGAGGACAAGGCTGGAGATCACTCTGTCATGCTGATTGAGTTAGAATAACATACTGGAAGCTTTAAAAGGAGGGTGGTGCTTGAAATCATTGTTCTTCCTCTGTTAACCATGGTTACCTGCAAGGAAACACGTGCCGTCATCATTGCTTTGCACAAAAAGTGCTTCACAGGCAAGGATATTGCTGCTAGTAAGATTGCAGCTAAATCAACCATTTATCGGATCATCAAGAACTTCAAGAAGAGAGGTTCAAATGTTGTGAAGAAGGCTTCAGGGCGCCCAAGAAAGTCCAGCAAGCGCCAGGACCGTCTCCTAAAGTTGATTCAGCTGCGGGATCGGGGCACCACCAGTGCAGCACTTGCTCAGGAATGGCAGCAGGCAGGTGTGAGTGCATCTGCACGCACAGTGAGGTGAAGACTTTTGGAGGATGGCCTGGTGTCAAGAAGGGCAGCGAGGAAGCCACTTCTCTCCAGGAAAAACATCAGGGACAGATTGATATTCTGCAAAAGGTATAGGGATTGGACTGCTGAGGACTGAGGTAAAGTCATTTTCTCTGATGAATCCCCTTTCCGATTGTTTGGGGCATCCGGAAAAAAGCTTGTCCGGAGAAGACAAGGTGAGTGCTACCATCAGTCCTGTGTCATGCCAACAGTAAAGCATCCTGAGACCATTCATGTGTGGGGTTGCTTCTCAGCCAAGGGAGTGGGCTCACTCACAATTTTGCCTAAGAACACAGCCATGAATAAAGAATGGTACCAACACATCCTCCGAGAGCAACTTCTCCCACCATCCAAGAACAGTTTGGTGTTGAACAATGCCTTTTCCAGCATGATGGAGCACCTTGCCATAAGGCAAAGGTGATAACTAAGTGGCTCGGGGAACAAAACATCGAAATTGTGGGTCCATGGCCAGGAATCTCCCCAGACCTTAATCCCATTGAGAACTTGTGGTCAATCCTCAAGAGGTGGGTGGACAAACAAAAACCCACAAATTCTGACAAACTCCAAGCATTGGTTATGCAAGAATGGGCTGCCATCAGTCAGGATGTGGCCCATAAGTTAATTGACAGCATGCCAGGGTGGATTGCAGAGGTCTTGAAAAAGAAGGGTCAACACTGCAAATATTGACCCTTTGCATAAACTTAATGTAATTGTCAATAAAAGCCTTTGACACTTATGGAATGCTTGTAATTATACTTCAGTATACCATAGTAACATCTGACAAATAAATCTAAAAACACTGAAGCAGCAAACTTTGTGAAGACCAATACTTGTGTCATTCTCAAAACTTTTGACCACGACTGTATATATTAACTATGATGTATTTTGTTTGGCCCCCACAGGTGGTTGATGCAATTGCCTTACATTGATGATCGGCGGATTGCCCTGTATGGCAAGGTTACTTTGTTTACTAAGAAAACGTTTAACCAATATTATCTGGTCATCTGGACACATGAGTTCCATATACATCATGTTGCAAAAGCATAAATCATAAATATTTTTGTTTTATGTCGCTCATGTCTTTCTCTACAGGCATTTGGTGGTTATTTATCCCTCAAGATGCTAGCTGCGACTAACCGGCTGTTTAAATGTGCAGCCGCTGTGGCTCCCATAACAGACTTCAAACTTTACAGTAAGTGAAGACCATATCATTAATAGTGTCAAACTTACTAGGACACAACAGCCATTAAGTCTTATCACAATTGTTCTACCATTTATAGGTGCTGCCTTCTCAGAGAGGTATCTAGGTCCCCCAGCTAAGGAGGAGCACACATACTTGGTGAGGATCATCTTTACCCACAAACACCATATGTTCAAATCAAATCAGATTGCATTTGTCACATGCACCGAATACAACAGGTGTAGACCTTACCATGAAATGCTTACTTACAAGCCCTTAACCAACAATGCAGTTTTAAGAAAATAGAGTTAAGAAAATATTTACTAAATAAACTAAAGTAAAACGTATAAAATTTAAAATAATAACACAATAAAATAACAATAATGAGGCTATATACAGGGGGTACCGGTACCGAGTCAGTCACATGTTAGTCGAGTTAATTTGTACATGTAGGTAGGGGTAAAGTGACTATGCATAGATAATAAACAACGAGTAGCAGTAGTGTAAAAACAAAGGGGGGTGGCAGGAAGCTTGGCCCCAGTTATATACTGGGACGTACGCACTACCCTCTGTAGCACCTTACGGTCAGATGCAGAGCAGTTGCCATACCAGGCGTTGATGCAACCGGTCAGGATGCTCTCGATGGTGCAGCTGTAGAACTTTTCGAGGATCTGGGGGACCCATGCCAAATCTTTTCAGTCTCCTGAGGGGAAAAGGGCGTTGTCATGCCCTCTTCACGACTTTCTTGGTGTGTTTGGACCATGATAGTTTGTTGGTGATGTGGACACCAAGGAACTTGAAACTCTCAACCCGCTCCACTACAGCCCCATCGATGTGAATGGGGGCGTGTTCTTCCCTCCGTTATGATATCTATTATATGTTATAATGTCCTTCCTGTCTCTGTTGTGACCCCTCAGACGGCCTCTGTATTGGAAGATGTTCACAAGCTTAAAGATGAGAACTTCCTCTTACTACATGGGACTGCAGACGGTGAGACTTTGCTTTGCTTTTAACATCTACATTTGTCCATGTTTTTTCAGAAATATGAAATTCTACTGATGAATAACTGAATGCTTACTTGATCATTTGCGTTATTGTGTCTTGTGTGTTTGTTTGTGGCTTTGGGCATGCAGCACGGGTTCACTTCCAGCACAGTGCGGAGCTCCTGAGCCGTCTGGTGAAGGTGGAGGCCAACTACTCCCTGCAGCTGTACCCAGACGAGGGCCACACCCTGAGGGAGCAGCGCAGCATCCAGCACTTTCAACAGACCCTGGTGCACTACCTCCAGACCTGCCTGAGACACAACCCCCTCCTGGCCTCCATAGAGGAGCCAGATGAGGATGAGGAGGACGACTGAGAACTCCCACCTCTGTGGAGATACAGAGAAGTGAGGACTACCCTCCTATGCATTGCCCCAAGTCAGACTACTACTAGACACTAGTCTCTTCCCATAGCAAGATCACCAGAGTGGGAACGGACCAAGAATATCAGATCACAGCCTTTCCTACTGTACCACTTCAGAGTAACTTTGGGATCTATACCATTTATTTTGTTTGTGCTGTTTGAATTGAGTCTGCCCTGATTTTTTACACTGTGTGGATCTATTATCAAAGAAGTGACCGTGGCCAGGTCTTAATGTTGATTCTACGTAATGTTTACAAAATAGTCTAAACATGCATGTCGTAATGGCTGCATGAAGTCATAAAGTGGTTTACCATTCTTCAATGTTTTGTAATCAGGCAGATCCTAATTTGGTTCAATTTATTATAGTTAAAATCAGCCTGTTATGCTGTTATGTAATGTACATACAGAATGGGCCTACTGTCAGTCTGCTTTTTGCATGATTCTTTTCAACAGTTCCATGTGGTATTTGATCACTTTGGATGGATACAATCAGAATGAACAAACCCAACAAAATATAACTTGATAAAAGCACATTTCTTGGAAGTCTATTTCAGAATTTAGTTATGTTTTTCTTTATTTCATTTGATAGTCATGTATACTTTGTTGTTCATTGTAATGTGAACTGCAAATGTTTAACACCTCCCAATCAAAGCCATGGAACATCCATGGTGCACTGCATGTAGTCTGTTTGCAATTGAATGCCCAACTTGAAATGTTTCCTTTTTTTTGTTTGACTAAATCCTTACAATAAAGAATAAAGTCCTTGTTTGCAATATTATTTAGTGTGTTCCCTGGAAAAGCTCCCCATCACTGGCTGCTTTGGAGAACACAAGTGGAGCCTCAGCCAAAGTACCAGGTTTGAAATACTGAATGAATAACTAACTGTCTGTTGTGTCAAGCAGAATTTCTTGAAACTGTCTCATTGGTGTCAGGTGCTTTTACCCTACTCTCCCTAGACCCCAACAGCCGGAACCCATAGATTTGGCAAGAATATGGCTGTGTATTTTCACCATATTGCTGATATGTATCCAATTCTTTCAGATCTACACCTGGACGTTATATGGTCCTGTCCAGAAACATCCCCTGACCATACTTGAATGATAGTTTTACCACAGAGTTTCTCTACCATCTTTGGTTTTACTCTGACTCAATTAATTTCAATTGCGTGACAGACTGAAACGGAAACGTGTTCTTAAATATACCCCAGTTGTCCGTCTGCCTTAGCCAATCGTTTCGATTGATAGAGACACACGAGTCTCAACTGGCCAATCAGGTTAGATTTCGCTGCAACCACCATCCAATCAACGATACGTCTACTTGCGGGCCCCAATCCCTCTTCAACCTTCAGTAGTGCTTTTTCTGTAGGGGCACCTTCAACCAGAGACTTTCACAAATAGAATAAACTATATTTTCTCCACAGACACCATGTCCTTTCTGACTACCGGTATCAGCAGGCTAGTGCCAAGACTCCTTAATTCAAAGGTAAGCCGAAGCAAAGAACATCTCCCAAGTAGAGTGGATGTCAGTGTTAGCTGTAGCTAAATAGTTTGCTAGCAAGTAAACTTCTACTAACGTTAGATAGCTAAAAGTTACAGGCTTGCACGCTCGCCAGGAAAAATGTAGGTTGTTGTTTTCAAGCACATTCATGTACGCTAGTAGTGGCTACACATCGCCAAACAGTTTTGGAACTTGGCAACGATGGTCCTCTTTCTTGTAAACTATTTTTGTGTTGGCACTGGCGCGTTTCGTAAGTTTGTTAAGGTTAACTGCGAGCTAGTCATCTGACATAGGAGATGGCAGGCTAGTTAGTTACTGTTAGATAGCCAGAGGAGGGTGATGTTTGACTGTTAGGTATCCATCCTCTCACGTGGAATTAAGTTAAACTGGTTGCTTGAATAATCAAAATCGTTCCTATTTCTTATAGCTAGCTATTATTACTGTCAGCAGTAGCAAGTTAACATGCTCGTCCACATCTCCTTATTCCCCTCATTTGACCTTCAGTGCTAACATTTCCTTCATAGCTAAATGCCATAGCTACTAGCCAACACAACAGCAACTATCTAGGTTTGTTCATTTTCAGGTGTTGTGTTGTTGCCAAGTCTCTCCATCTTGCTAGCTATGTAGCAAGAATGGCCAAAATGGTATCCACGAGTTCATCCGATTCTGGGGAAGTAGATTAAGGGCCTCATGGCCAAAATCATGTAGTGTCCCTTTAATTTAGCGATCCAATTATGTAATAGGTCAATGCATATGTCATACTTAAGAACACACATTGATTTGCATTCTGTCTTGTGTCTATCTATTTCAAGCGTTTCATAGAGGTCAGTATTGATTCCAGGGTGCCACTGCTACCTTCCTGGTCAGGAGTCAGACTGTAACTAGATTGTAACCTACAGTACTGACTAATCAATTAGCCTCCTGCGCAGATCATTCTATTTCTATTGACCAGACAGCTGACACATCACAATAATCATTTTATTTGTGCCATCTTCTTTGAAGGACTGTGCACCTTCAACTTCTCAGACAGAGATGAAGGCTCAGGGGTTTGCTTCTCTGAACTTTGTACAAAGTGGTAATTCCTTGTCAGTTCTCTGAGCATTGCAGTTAGGAATCTGTGAAATGTCTTTGTTTTACCAGAACTACCAACCTTACACAATTATATCAGCTAGAATTTGATGTTCAGGGACTGTCATTTTTGAGGGAATTTGTAGAATATTTCAGTATGCCTCCCTGTAGGCCTATCCAAGGGGATATATCATCCATTAAAACAGACTACTTCAAATGTGACATGTTGAATTAGACGGATGCATAGTGATTTAGGACAGTGCTTGCCCATTCAGAAACTTGGTTGCATTTCTTCCTAGTTCCTTTATGTCAGCATTGTCTTGCAAGAAACCTTCTATACATATTTGCCCATTGTAGAAGAGTTCATGAAGTAACTTTTTGGACCTAAATGCCAAAACATTCGAGATAAAGGTGCTCAAAGTTTAGCTACCTATTTTGCATACTCCTCCATACCATGGACATCCTTGTATTCATCACTTGAAAAGATAAATGGTTGAGATTGGTATGATTCAAAAGCATACAAACAGGGTTGTCAAACGGTTTAGGGTTTTTTTGTGTAAAAAAAAAAAAAAGACGACAACCTCAGATGATGTAAAATAGGGTCTAAGCTACAATGTGAGAATATGAAGAAAAAAATCTGAGTTGACGCATTTTGAGAGAAATTATGTTAACCTCTTAAGGATCGGACCCTTTTTTTCAATTTTCCCCTAAAATGACATACCCAAATCTAACTGCCTGTAGCTCAGGACCTGAAGCAAGGATATGCATATTCTTGATACCATTTGAAAGGAAACACTTAGAAGTTTGTGGAAATGTGAAATTAATGTAGGAGAATATAACACATTAGATCTGGTGAAAGATAATACAAACAAAAAAACATTCGTTTTCTATTTATTTTTTTGTTCCATCATCTTTGAAGTGCAAGAGAAAGGCCGCAATATAATATTGCAGTTTAGGCGCAATTTAGATGTTGGCCACTAGATGGAAGCAGTGTGTGCAAAGTTTCAGATTGATCCAGTGAAACATTGCAATACTGGTCTATTTTGTACAAAGTCTGCCCAAATGTGCTGAATTGGTCAATTGATACATTTTCAAGTACATAACTATAGAGAACATACAAAAATGATATGGTAAAGTATGAAAAATGTATGCACTCACTAATTGTAAGTCGCTCTGGATAAGAGCGTCTGCTAAATGACTAAAATGTAATACAAAATGTAAGTTTACTCACTCCCAGGAATGTCATACATGATGGATCATTAACTTATACACTAACTTTCACATCTAGATGGCCGGGCGGGGTGTGTGTGGAGCCAGAGACAGCAGGGGTTCAAACTATAACCCAGTTCCTACATTTGAAAATAAAAATTGATTTTATCAAACAAAACTATGCTACATTTTATCTCTGGGACCCTTAGGATGACAAATCAGAGCAAGATTACTGAATGTAATTACATTATTTACCTTCAGAGGTGAATGTATGAAACCAGTTGCCATGATAAGTTTTTTGTTGTTGTGCACTCTCCTCAAACAATAGCATGGTATTTTTTCACTGTAATAGTCACTGTAAATTGGACAGTGCAGTTAGATTAACAAGAATTTAAGCTTTCTGTCCATATAAGACATGTCTATGTCCTGGAAAGTTTGCTGTTACTTACAACAGTCTTACTAATCACATTAGCACACGTTAGCTCAACCATCCCGTATACGGGTCACTGATCCATAGGGGGTTAAAGGTTAAAAAAAAAAAATCCGTAATTGTCATTAAAAAAAATTTAAATCAAGAAATTATTACATTGTTTGACAACCCTGTTTGTAAGCTTTTAAATGGGATCAAACTCAACTGTTTATCTTTCCAGCGATGAAGATATTGATGTCTCATGGTATGGTGGGGTGTGCAAAATGGGTCAATTTTGAGCACCTTTATCTCCTGAATGTTTTGGCATTCAGGTCCAAAGTCACTTTCTGACCACTTCTTCAATGGGCAAACATGTATGGAAGGTTTGTTTAAATCAAAAGGGATGCTGTCAAAAAGTGATTTAATTAAAATTGATTATACCCAGAATTAACTGGGTTTGCCTTTGCAGTCTGTCTGCACTACAGCAGTAGTGTCAGGTTTATTTGTTCTTGGTGGAATGAAAATGACATACATTATGGTTCATTGAAATTGTGAGAAATATTGCTATGTTTTTGCTCTAAGCCCTGTAGGCTCATTCTCATTCATTATTAGAAGCTGGTATCCTGTCTCATTATATCAGCTGCCCCCCATTTACCGCTGACAACATAATGGTCTCCCTCTGTCAACTCTGTCGTGGATGTTGTGAGTCTGTGGGGTTGGATACCTAGGCCAGGGATCATCAACTACATTCAGTGGCAGGCCGATTTATTATTGTTCTCGAGAGGATGGTCAGGGGGCCGGAACATAATTACATATATCTCTCTATTATACGTGGAAATACTTTGGAACAGATTTCCCTAATTAAAATAACTTGGAGCTGATTAGCAGGTGTTTTTACAGTCTTTTATGTCCAACAATAAAAATATTTAAAAAATTGGCTCTGAACTTGGAGGGGCCAAATAAAATCACTTGCGACCCAAATTCGGCCCATGGGCCGACAGTTGGAGAACCCTGATCATGGCTAACTGAGGAGCAGCAAGCAATCAGGAGTTCATGATACTGTCAGCTCAATGATTCAATTAGGCCTAGTTCTAGTAGTTGCAAGTATTACAGTTTAGAAATTGGAAAGCAGAGTGCAGTTGTGCTTTGAAGCTTCTCTAATTCCTCGTTTACACTCGGGGCTAAACAACGCTGGTTTTCGACCACATACACTGTTTTCTGATACTTGCATTTTCCTCTGCAGAATGCCACCTGCGTTCTTGTGGCGTCCAGACATGCCAGCTCCTCAACAGTAAGTACTCTGACTACCTCATCAAGGGAACTCATCAATTTGCTCTTTATTATCATCATTGTTAGTTAAACATAATGTTAATAGGAATTGACAAAAATAGATGGTTTCCCTCTCTGTTCTCTCTGCCATTATGGACCATGCCAGTGTTTTTCAAGCTATTGTTTTGGATCTAATGTTTGTTTGACTAACACAGAGGTTCACTAGGTTCTCTGTAGTTGTCTTTTATATAGGCTGTTTTTGAATTGATGTGATTTCGACTGAGCTTTTAGTGAGACATGGCTGTGTTTTTGCAGAATCTAAAGGATGTTCTATCAGACCTTATTCCAAAAGAACAAAGTAGGATCAAGAGCTTCAAACAGCAGTTTGGAAAAACCAAGATTGGATCGATCACTGTTGATATGGTAAGTAACTGACCCATATTCAGTAACTCAGAACCTGATGTTAGTAAAACCATACAAGAGAATCAGAAAGGCTTTTGATGTAGAAATAAACCACATATACAGTACCAGTCAAACGTTTGGACACACCTACTCATTCAAGGGTTTTTCTTTATTTGTATATATTTTTTTTTACATTGTAGAATAATAAAGACATCAAAACTATGAAATAACACACATGGAATCATGTAGTAACCAAAAAAGTGTTCAACAAATCAAAATATATTTGAGATTCTTCGAATAGCCACCCTTTGCCTTGATGACAGCTTTGCACACTCTTGGCATTCTCTCAACCAGCTTCACCTGGAATGCTTTTCCAACTGTCTTGAAGGAGTTCCCACATATGCTGAGCACTTGTTGGCTGCTTTTCCTTCACTCTGCGATCTGACTCCTCCCAAACCATCTCAATTGGGTTGAGGTCGGGGGATTGTGGAGGCCAGGTCATCTGATGCAGCACTCAATCACTCTCCTTCTTGGTAAATAGCCCTTACACAGCCTGGAGGTGTGTTGGGTCATTGTCCTTTTGAAAAACAAATGACAGTCCCACTAAGCCCAAACCAGATGGGATGGCGTATCGCTGCAGAATGCTGTGGTAGCCATGCTGGTTAAGTGTGCCTTGAATTCGAAATAAATCACAGACAGTGTCGCCAGCAAAGCACCCCACACCATAACACCACCTCCTCCATGCTTTACGGTGGGATCATCCGTTCACCTGCACCGCGTCTCACAAAGACACAGCGGTTTGAACCAAAAATCTCAAATTTGGACTCCAGACCAAAGGACAGATTGCCACCGGTCTAATGTCCATTGCTTGTGTTTCTTGGCCCAAGCAGGTCTCTTCTTATTATTGGTGTCCTTTAGTAGTGGCTTCTTTGCAACAATTCAACCATGAAGGCCTGATTCACACAGTCCCCTCTGAACAGTTGATGTTGAGATGTGTCTGTTACTTGCACTCTGTGAAGCATTTATTTGGGCTGCAATTTCTGAGGCTGGTAACTCTAATGAACTTATCCTCTGCAGCAGAGGTAACTCTGGGTCTTCCATTCCTGTGGCGGTCCTCATGAGAGCCAGTTTCATCATAGCACTTAATGGTTTTTGCAGCTGCACTTGAAGAAACTTTCAAAGTTCTTGAAATGTTCCGTATTGACTGACCTTCATGTCTTAAAGTAATGATGGACTGTCGTTTCTCTTTGCTTATTTGAGCTGTTCTTGCCATAATATGGACTTGGTCTTTTACTAAATAGGGCTGTCTTCTGTATACCCCCCCTATCTTGTCACAACACAACTGATTGGCTCAAACGCATTAAGAAGGAAATAAATTCCACAAATTAACTTTTAAGAAGGCACACCTATTAATTGAAATGCATTCCAGGTGACTACCTCATGAGGCTGGTTGAGAGAATGCCAAGAGTGTGCAAAGCTGTCATCAAGGCAAAAGGTGGCAATTTGAAGAACATCAAATATATTTTGATTTAACACTTTTTTTCCCATTGCTACGTGATTCCATATGTTTTATTTCATAGTTTTGATGTCTTCACTATTATTATATAATGTAAAGATTAAGAAAAACCCTTGAATGAGTAGGTGTGTCCAAACTTTTGACTGGTAGTGTAGATCAGAGAAACCATGGTAAAATATTTTTCTAAATTCCACCAAATTGGGTCTGATGTTGCCTTGAAGCCATCTCCCTTTTAGTATACTAGAGGTAATGTGATGTCACATGTCTAAGCCAGTTCCCTGCCAGCTGAGCACAGCCATAGCTGAGTCACAGCTCTTGCCTCACACCATTTATCACAGCAGGCTCACTCCAGGGTCACACACACACCTCAGCTTTGACTGTGTCATCCACACATGTTTATCATTCACATGATCTCTTCACCCTTATTATGGCTATGAATAATGCAGATGGATTAGGGTCATGGTTCATCTGATTCCTTACGCATTTGATTTTAGACACACATGCTATTTCTGGACTGATCAAAGAGCAAATGAGTCTAGCCTTAATTGAGCTTTCTGTTCAGAATGTAATTTGTGTTTGTGTGTTTCACAGGTCTATGGTGGGATGAGGGGCATGAAGGGTCTGGTGTACGAGACCTCAGTGCTGGATCCTGATGAGGTGTGTTTCCTGTCCTCACAACATACACAATCCATTAAACAGTAACACCCACAGAATGATTGCTGTGTCGAGGCTGAGCACCGTTGGCCCTTGTGTATAAGCCATACAGGCACTTATCTAAATTGCATCCACTTACATAAATTGAATTGTAAAATAAATCAGTGTCAATGGAAGTGTCACTGGTCCTCCAGTAACCTCAGCTGGTGGCAGTTAAGAATCCTAGAATGTTAAGATTTTCCAAATAATTCTGTTGATAAAGCTGCATTTACAGTAACTACTCCCCCTTTGTTGTGGTTTGTTGTGCCATCATTTTAGACAATGCTCATTTGCAATATATGATGACTATATTAAGCATTACTCCTTGTATGTCCTGTTACTTTCTTTAGGGCATCCGTTTCCGGGGCTACAGCATTCCGGAGTGTCAGCAGCTGTTGCCCAAGGCTCCAGGAGGTCAGGAGCCACTGCCTGAGGGCCTCTTTTGGCTGCTGGTCACAGGACAGGTCCCCACAGAGGAACAGGTGAGAAGGGGCTAGAACGGGAGGATTCAGTCTGCTCAAGTTAAAAAGGAGGTTAAGAAAAAAGGTTTATTACGCATCTTTGTATATTTGCCTTCTTGTAATGAAACTGAAAACTGTATTCAGAAAAACTACCAGAAGTAGTGTTTGCTGCAGCACTGTCTTGAAGCCACCTCAAGATGAGGTCTAATTGGACCCTCATATGGCTCAGCTAGAGGAATTTCCTATGTTATTACATACTACAAGCAAGTTATTTTATGGTTTAGGAGGAAGGCATTGCAACAATCGAGTTTTACTTTTTGTTCCTGATGACTCACATTGAAGTTCTACAAGTGTAGCAATGTGGTGGGGATTTATAGTGTTTGAGATTAAATAACATTTCTGTTCTGACTTGTGGCATTTTTATTGTCCCTATTTAAACTCACCAATCCTATTTGCATCTCATCTTTTCAGGTGAGCTGGTTGTCCAAAGAATGGGCTAAGAGGGCAGCACTCCCCTCCCACGTGGTCACCATGCTAGATAACTTCCCTACCAACCTGCACCCCATGTCCCAGTTCAGCGCTGCCATCACAGCTCTGAACAGCGAGAGCAGCTTTGCACGGGCCTACTCTGAGGGCGTTAACAAGGCCAAGTACTGGGAGGTGAGTCTCACACACAGACAGATTCTTCACAGACCTAGTATTTGAAATCTTTCAAGTACTTTGGCTGTGTTTGATTGAGCTTGCCTGGCAAAATGAAACAAACAGAATAGTTCCAAAGGTGTAAACCTTGCACATCTGGCTCTCCAGGCAGGCTAAAGCCAACGATCAAAGTATTTGAAAAATGTAAAATACCATTTGAACCCAGGTCTGTAGTCATTACACTACAATGCAATACAGTCAGGTGTGGGTAAATACATTAAAGCAGAGGGCGATGCTGGATGGATGAGTCATCCTCACTAAACCTTGACAGATTAAAGTGCTTTTCAAGTGTCTGTTCATTCTTTTTAATGGTGAATGTTAACATGCACACCAGGTCTCCCTTGAAAAAGAGCATATTAATATGTTCCTAGACTTCCTGGTTAGAATAAGATTAGGCTCAAATAAATAAATACCACCACACTGTTTTCTGGCGGGGTGCAGGGAATTACAGCCCCAGAATTCGACAGACCAAAGCGTGAACAGAAAATAAACTATACTTGCAGGGGTAATTGTGTGTGTGTGGGGTTTATCATGTAGTTCAGTTAGATCCTGTGGGAGACAGTCTACTGCCTGTTGATTAAACCACCTACCCTACTCTATTTCAGTTCATCTATGAGGACTCCATGGACTTGATTGCCAAGTTGCCGTGTGTTGCTGCTAAGATCTACCGTAACCTGTACCGTGAGGGCAGCAGCATTGGCGCCATCGACTCCAACCTGGACTGGTCCGCTAACTTTGCCAACATGCTGGGCTACAGTGACTCTGCTGAGTTCACTGAACTTATGAGGCTCTACCTTACCATCCACAGGTATTGTACTATGGGCCAGTTTCAGATTAAGCGGAAGAATTTCCATTTAAGTAGCTTTTTTTCAGGACTAGGTTTAAACTGTCTGGGAAACCAACCTTAAAGGATGTACATTTCAACCATTATTACCGTTTAGGTGTATTTGGGTCATTGACAGGGCATAACATTTTGGCATTGTCGGGTAAGATGTCTATTTCACGAGCCACGTTGGAGGGTGGTGTGGTCAGGGTTCCACAGTGCAAGCATTTCACTTGCATTTGTGAATAAAAAGAGTTAGAAGTCAAGTATGAGCACATTTAGGTGTTTCTGTCATTTTGTTTCATAGCTGGTAGCTGATCCTATAATATATATTCCCACCTCACGCAGCAACACTGCCTGGCTGGGAAGCTGTGCGCACTGAAGATGAATTTTTAGAAGAGCTGCTCACAGGCATAAAAGTTGGTCTAATTTACTAAAGTCTACTAAAGGGTGTGTTTCTTGGCTATTTACATTGTTTAGTTCACAAGCAAGGTTGTTTTCAATGTTTGAGTTTGCTTCAACTGCTAGCGAAGACACATCGGCTACTAGTCTCCTGAGTGGCGCAGTGGTCTAAGGCACTGCATCGCAGTGCTAACTGTGCCACTAGAGATCCTGGTTCGAATCCAGGCTCTGTCGCAGCCGGCCGCGACCGGGAGACTCATGGGCGGCGCACAATTGGCCCAGCGTCGTCCAGGGTAGGGGAGGGAATGGCCGGCAGGGATGTAGCTCAGTTGATAGAGCATGGCGTTTGCAACGCCAGGGTTGTGGGTTCGTTTCCCACGGGGGGCCAGTATAAAAAAATATATATTCACTAACTGTAAGTCGCTCTGGATAAGAGCGTCTGCTAAATGACTTAAATGTAAATGTAGTCAGATTGTCTATCTCACAGGCACACTGTCTCTGACGACTCGAGGGGGGGGAGAAGCTTTTTTTTTTTTTGTATAGATTTCGGTTAAAAGACTCGGGTCACTTCTTACTAGTAATACATTTTATTGTTTTAGAAACATTACAAAGCATGTTCACCATTTTTATTTATATATTTGTTGGTGTAATTATGGCAACAACAACAAAAAATTGGCTGGTAAAATTTTTTAGTGGCTGGTGGATTTTTAAATCTACCTGCCACAGTGCCTGGTGAACCAAAACGTTAGTTTCAGGCCCTGGTCATTGAAACGCGCTATACAAAACCCTTGTATTCATATTATTATTAACCATTATGTCATTGATTTATTTGACTTTTGGGGGGGCAGCCATTTTGTCTATTTTTGGCTGTAGCTCCTTCCCCTTCCCTTGCCATTAAATTCTGACATTGCAGGATAGCGAATTGTGAAACCCTCAAAAATGAATATTCTCTGCCCTCTAGTGTTCATAAACTGCACTTGATAGTAAACAAATTCTATGTTAGACACAATTGAAAATTGTGTCTTGGATAGATCTGTATTTGAATATAGATCTGTATAAATGTTAGTAATCATTTACTGTCAATTCCAATTTTGTGATGAATAACATAGTAACCAACTGTCTCTGGGGTTCCTGTTTTAGTGACCACGAGGGAGGTAATGTCAGTGCCCACGCCAGTCACCTGGTGGGCAGTGCTCTCTCTGACCCTTACCTCTCCTTCAGTGCTGCTCTGAACGGGCTGGCTGGACCTCTACATGGGCTGGCCAACCAGGTCTGTCAAGCCTGTCCTCTGCTCTGCACTGTGCCACTAGGATTGACATCCTCTTGACTCACTGACCTGCTCTCTCCCAGAGTCATTAGTGGATGGATAGATATACATGATCCTTATAAACATCATAAGCACAACAACAGTCACTGAGAAGTGTTATAATAGTATTTCTGTTTTAGCCTTGCTGAGGTTGATATTATAGTATGTTGCTGATGTGATGTGTTTCTCTGTATGCCCTGCAGGAGGTGCTGATGTGGCTGACGGCCCTGCAGAAGGAGATGGGAGGGGAGGTGTCTGATGAGAAGATGAGGGATTACATCTGGAACACACTCAAGTCTGGCAGGGTAAGAGATGGCTGAAAACATCTGGGACGCATCTTCACTACTACGACGCATCTTACCTTACCCACCAGTGACCGTGACAGCCTTAGGGGGCCATATGGCATCATTAGCGTGGTTTCCAGTTCCATAAAGTATTTACAAGAAGTAATCCCATGTTGTGCCTCTCGGTTTCAAACATCTCTTGCGTTAACAAGAACCAGTTAACTCAGAGAGAAGTGGAAACCTTGCTAATCACCCCTCACACCCTCTCTCTCTCACCCCCATAGGTGGTGCCAGGCTATGGGCATGCTGTCCTGAGGAAGACTGACCCCAGGTACCAATGCCAGCAGGAGTTTGCCTTCAAGCACCTGCCCAACGACCCCATGTTCAAACTGGTGCACCAGCTCTACAAGATCGTGCCCCCAGTACTGCTGGAGCAGGGCAAGGCCAAGAACCCCTGGCCCAACGTAGACGCCCACAGTGGAGTGCTGTTGCAGGTAAAGGATAAGAGGTGTAGTGTTCTACTTAACAATGTCCTATTGTACTGCACACATTGTCATGTAATACAGATCTGTTTTTTGAACCACCTTGAATTTGTAAGTGGGCTTTTTGACTGGTCAGCATTGTTAGCCAGATGTGTTTCAATCAAAAGCATCACAGCACCTGTGAGTTTAGCCTTTCAATCATCACTGACCTCTGCAATAAACAACATTTGACCTCTCCCTGACCTTCCTCCTGACCTCTCTCCTTCTCCATTACAGTACTATGGGATGACAGAGATGAACTACTACACTGTGCTGTTTGGCGTGTCCCGAGCCCTGGGGGTGCTGGCCCAACTTATCTGGAGCCGAGCCCTGGGCTTCCCTCTAGAGCGCCCCAAGTCCATGAGCACGGACGGACTCATGACCCTGGTGGGGGCCAATAAGTCCGGCTGAAGAAGATGAGGGGGAGGAAATAACGTGTGCAAGTGACCTGTTCCTAAATCATACTTCCGTGTTCATGTCCCTGGTCTTTTGAATGGGCTTCAAGATTTATATTGTCAAATTCATGAAAACGACCATTGTGCTACGTTTTTGCCCATTTGAAGACCATTCAAAAAGCCTAGAAAAGTTCAAAAACGAATAGGCTACTTGTCACGTCACTTGCATGGCGTATTCAAATAAAAGCTGACCTCACCCCCATCCCCATGGAAGAGATTCAAAGAGACAGTACACATTTTAAATTAATCCAAAAAGGGCTTTTAATATTTACATTATTTAGTGCAGGCACGTGCACAGATAGGAGTCAATATATACCCAGCACCTGCCCCTTGGCCCTCCCACTTGCCAAGTGCCCTTTTGGGTGGTGGTATAATTAGAATTTTTTTTATAAAGTTTTGTTGTTGTTCTGAACCCATTACCCGCAAGTCGTCGTGACGTTGTCAAGTTCACCCACCCCGTCCATTGGTTGCCCCTGATGGTCTGCCGTGTACAGAGCTCACGCGTGCCAGGTTGCGCTTTTTTCCCGGACTACCCTGTACTGAGATTGCGCACGCTGGTATCCAAACCCTGCATGGCTTGAGATGCGGTCACCGGTCGTGTGTGTGTGTGTGTAAATGTCAACAGTACTACCGCAGCAGAATAACATTTGATTAACACTTGATTATCATCAATATTCGGTCTGGTTGGCTGATACGTGCAGCAGAGAGAGTCAGTAAGACCGAGAGGAGCTGGTGCATCAACGACCCTTGCTCCGACCCAACTCCATCCAGTCCTCAGTCGGAAGCAACCCAGGCAGTCTAGACGCTAGCTAACCACCATATACAAAAATATCCACAAAAGCCACTAGCCAGCCAGCCGTATATCTTGAGTTAGAAGATTATGAATATTATATTATGAAGTTATTATTTAAGAGCACTGAAGATAAATCCCAATCAGTAAAAACAATCGAGCTAGTTAACTAGCAGATTTACATCAATCATCAACATCAATGATCAGCTGATAGCCTACCCTCTATTCCTGATGTCAATCATGTCTTTAGGAGGCACCGTAACTAGCTTCCTTACAATTTGTGATGAGTGAGTGTGTTGTTGCAAAAATTAATGTCTATGCTCACATTTGTTTTGTTTTTCACTACAGAGGCAGTTGGTATGTTATGAATTTTAAGATGTGAATTATGAGTCGTTTTTTTTCAGTACAGTAGGCCAATGCAGTCTGCTGGCATCTCATCAGCCTCCCCCATGTGCCTGTGAGGACTGGGCTGCACCAACTGATTGAAGATGGCATGGGGCTTAAAAAGTAGTATGCAATCCAAACTGCTATGCTCTGTTTTACCATTGTTTCACTCTGAGCAGTTTGGTTTCCAGGCTACGTAAAAATGTAATTATGTGGGGAATTACAGAGCAATCCCAAATGGTCATCAATTGAGATTTCACTTTTAGTAATTTCTTATATCTATTTAACTTGAGTGGTAGTTTGACATCAAGATGAAACCTTTTACAAAGTTAGCAAACTTAGTAAGGATGCAAGTAACTTTTAATTTGAGTCACATTTTGCTGCTGATGTTTGCTGAAGCTTCGATATTGTCTGGAAAGTCTTGCCTAATCTAAGCCAACAGGGAAATGTATTTTTTTGTTGTTGCCTGAAACCCTCACCACATTTCTCTATGCAATTTCTCCCTGACCATACTCTACCTACACTCCAGTAAAGGAAAAAGGTCCTTCCTTGTAAAAGTATCTAACTTCTATTGAAGATGTTCAATCTATCCAAGGAAGAATGCAAATCAGTAAAAAATACAGAATTAAACAGTACTGCCCCTTTACATCTATCTTTCTGTCTCACCAGATTCCCTGACTTCAATGGATTTAACCTTGAACATACCTCTATGATCAAAATAACCTGGTTTGTTTTGTCATTCAATATTGTTCTACATTCTTTCCTTTCATTTTCTGTCTATGCATCTTTTGTAATGTAGGATTGACTTGTGTAGGTAGGAGCATATGATCGAAGAGCTTTGGTTGTAGCCTGGAGCACCCAAAGGCCTGATAGTAATGGCAAAGACTTGTATATTTGAAGGATTGAGAGAAGGACAAGGTCTTCTGCTTTTAGTATGTGCTTGAGAGCAAGCTTGAACATAAGTATGCAGCCAAGAGGGGCTTTTTTATCTTTTGGGGTTCCTGTCTTATTTTGGTTTATAATGTATGTTGTTAATTATGCCCCAGAAGAGCGCTTCAGTGAGCTGCTACTCCAAAATGAGCACTTGCTAGTTTGGAATCCCTTCTTCTTAGCAATAGGAAAACCCCTATTTTGATTTTGTGTCCTTTTTATTAGAGGTTTTGGGTGTTGAATGAATAACCATGTAATGTATAGAGAGGATAATCCTATTGTGGATACAGCATTTGTGGTTTTATTTATGCGTTGTGTAAATAGTTATAAATATATATGTTTCGCTTGAATATATATGAGCTCTACACAACCATATTGCTCAGTCATATAGCTGTGTGACTTCCAACCTCACTCATCACCATATTTCAGTTTTACATGTTTTGAAAGTTACTCTTACAATGAAGTAGATGTACGTACTCTGGCTGTCTTGTAAATAAATCTATTGCCCATTTCTATGGGCTTCTTCTGCTGTTAAGGGGATGTTTGCTTTGACTGATTCAAGCTTGCTCACAGGCCATAGCAGCAGTTGGTCCGAGGCCCATAGCAGCTTTCCTTGTCTGCTTTAATATAGGGTTATCAACACTCCGTTTTGTGTAGCATCAGTGGGACCCTGCTCACTTGAACAACTAAATAATCATTAAATGTTTCAGACTTCCCTTCAATCCCCTCAGATTTTATAAGCCTTGCATTTGTCTCTCTTTTGGGTTTCATATTTGTCTGTGTTTTTATTCTTAGTTTGTCTTGTGGAACATCTGGTTGTTTCTGATCAAATCAGGTGTAGGATACTGTGAAACCAGGGAAGAGCCATTGAAGTTTGATGCATTTGGGAAACTATAGCGGGATGGGGCTGGATAGGTCAAATGGGAGAAAGGAGCTAAGGAGAACAAAAAATGGAAAACCAATAAATGTTTTCAATAACACTTGGTGTCATGTGTTTGTTTTTACTTGTGGTGTGTAAAGAGGTTGGAAACTGACAAGCTTTATTCAATAACAAATGGAAAATTCCAAAGTCACTGGTAATCTATTCCTGGCAGATCAGCCTCCTGTCTCATTTACATTTACGTCATTTAGCAGACGCTCTTATCCAGAGCGACTTACAAATAGGTGCATTCACCCTATAGCCAGTGGGATAACCACTTTACAATATCTTTCTTTTTTTTTTTAGAGGGGGGGGTGTAGAAGGATTACTTTATCCTATCCCAGGTATTCCTTAAAGAGGTGGGGTTTCAAATGTCCTGGATGACTACATTATAGGATTTTGATAGTCTGGGATTTCTAGGTGTTGAAATTAAGGTACTGTGCATGTATAAGTACACACAACCAGGTTCCCATAGGGGAAGTGTCAAATCTGCCCAGCAATCCCTGTCTCAGCTCTGCCTGTCTTGTTTCTGGCTCTGTGGAGAACTGCTGTCATGAGACCTGCCAGAGGATAATGTTACACACACTGAAACAACCAATTAGTCTCAACCACTGTTGCATAAGCCCCAACTGTAGTCACGGTTTTTGTGAATCCACCAGGCATGAGGCTCTGCAACAGGCCAAGCTTGTTTCTGTATACAGGGCTAGACAGCTGAATGATTAACAAGGAAGTGGGGCTTTGTTTAGTGAACTTTATTTAATGTCCAACAATCAATTGATATTGTTCTGGTTAGGTACTTATTTTGTGATTTGATTGTCATGGATATGGTGGTGTATGGGAGATTTGTGTAATCATAGTAATAATACGCAAATAGTCAAAGGACCCATCTCCTCTCTGCTGTTATTAATAACTGGCCCAGATACCAACACCCTGCTCTCGTTTCTTGTGCTTTGGTTGCCCTTTGAAAAGGCTGCATCCCACCCACCCCGTCACGTCACTTGCTGCATAGCGACAAACCCACCACCACTCACACTTTTCCCATTAGCACACTTCAGCTTTCGTCAGTGACACGCTACAGAAGGAGACGACTAAGCTCATCTAGTGGGACCAAGGCATTATCTTAGCAAGAGTCCCCACAGCTCTACTCCACCTGCCAAATTGTTCTACCTTGAGCAAATCCCGAAGGTGAGCTGTACAGCTTGCTACATTACACAACTTCTGAAAGCAGTGATTTATCTCAAAAAGTATATCAGCAGAACAATCACATTAAAACATTTTTACATCAACAACTCATTCACGAGTGATGGAAATATGTCTTTGGCTCTATAAATAAGACTACATTGCATGCACACATATTCCCAATATTCCATTCCATTGATAACTAATTTTGTAGTGAGTAGTGACCAGCTGCTCATGGTCAAAACCAGAATGTGACATTTTGCAGAATTTCGAATGGAAAAGAAAAGGAGCGATACCATGGCTACAGGTGGAAATGCATACACACTAAAGTATGATTAACAGGTCAAACAAATTTGATCTGCATGCAAAACTCAAACAACATAATATGCTCATACACTGTATGTGTTTTCAACACCCATCTGTGCATTATTGCTAACTTAGAACTAACTGAAAGAATAAGTAAAGGTAGGCCTAATTAGGAATACAGTAACATGATTCATTCTACCTCCTCCATCTTCATTTACAATACACAAAGCATGCACACAAATGTAATTGCCTTATATCAACACACTTAATTGTTTCATTTTCCATATCCAGTCTACTACAGCTCACTGATAAGAAAGGACTGGGTAAATGAATGCAATATGGCATCAACACCTAGCTTTATGGCTTTTTTTTTTTTTTTACTATATTTATTTTACTTGTCAGGTGCTATTTGATTCAAAAGCAGTACTACTACATGTGTTTGTTGATGCCAGAGACTGGATAAAGACAGGAAGTTGCTTTGAAGTACTGAGACATTGCTTATGAATCTGGGATTCTTGCTTTTATAACAAATGAATAGTCTTGAATCTAAAAGACGTACACTTGCTTCCTATGTTCACCTTTCATGACCCCTGAGAGTAAATGCCACCATCATAGCAGAGGGCAAATACATACCGGTACATTAAACACAATCTGTTTGACTTTGCTGAGCCCTTTCTGTTATTACACATTAACTAAAATGTAATTCAAATGTCTTTCCATTAAAACGAAGGCAAAACAAACAAATGCAATTCAAAATAAAATATCCTACACAAGTAGCCATATCTTTCATGCATAAATAATTGCAATACTTTGTCTTGTTTCATTTATGAACTCGCTAGGCAGCCTGTGTTGACACACTTTATAGAATTTTCACAGCTCCTGTTCTCCACATTTACATAAAGCTTAACACTGAAGACAATATAATGTGCTTAATGGGTGTAAGGCGTAAATGACCAATGATTGTTTTAATCCACGACAAATGAAGCACTTGAACAACATTCTCTCTGCACACACACCAAAGTGAAGGAAAGCAGTTTACTTGCTATTAAAAAAAAGTATATATATATATATATATATATATATATATATATATATATCAATAACTTAATAACAATTTTTTTTTAAAGCACTTCTTGGTATAAACAATACAGTATATTTAAAATATCTTTAAAGGGGCAATCTGCAGTTGCTGCATCCATTTTGGACTTATAAATTAATTATATGTATCATTTGATTCTTAACGAATAACTTATAAATGCCTCATGAGCTTAGTTCAACTGTAATACCCCATCAGAAACCAAAATAAGCTTGTTTTACTACCAATGTTTGTAAACAAAGCAAATGTAAACAAAAAAACAAAAACACTGTATAGCCTCAATATATATTTTAACATCAGCATGGTTAAAACTATAATTTTGATATCATGGATGGTCAGTCCTTGTATCCATAGCTCTGACCATGAATTTGAGAGTAGCTACATTTCTCTAGCCCCATCCCTCAGCTTTTTACCGAAACAGTGGTGGGGAGAATGCTTAAGTTGTTATTGTTTCAACTATGGATTGCCCCTTTAAGATACATTAATTTTGCATGATTGGACGACTAGAATGTAGCAGGTAAGTGGAGTGCACCTGCACCCACTCTACAGCAATCTAAAGTGTCTCCAGCAGTCACATACTAAGACAGACTCAAAATGGTCCATGTCATTCGTTCACTCAATATTGTGTCCTGCTCACTCATGATTACACAGGAATAAATTCAATCTATTCCGATTTGTGTAGTGGCTTTTTTGTTTTACAATTAGATTTAGAAGAAGGATTCTTCTTTTTAAATTGCGCACACACGTCAATTCAACAAGGGGCCTGTGCTGAAGAGTAACCCTTGTGAGGAGGTAGATGGCAGCTTTTTACAAGACAATGATACAGGCTAAGATATGGGACTTTCAAGTCAACTTGTTGTGTAGGGTGATAAGCCGGGCTGAAGCCCACACTGATTGGTCCTTACTCTATAATGTGAGGAGGATGCACTAGTGGCAGCTTAGCCTGGTCCCAGATCTGCTGTCACAGATACTCCAAGATCTCAGAAGTGCTGTCTGTCATGCCATTGTGACCATAGGAGTTGGCAAGACAGCACAAACAGACCTGGGACCAAGCCAATGGCATCTGGGCCTCGTGGTAACGGAGACTGGAGGCGGTTGATGGGGGCTGGTTGGTGTAGTGTCATGCTGCTCCAGCTAGGAGATACAGGGGACTGCCAGGGTTAAGGTGCAGGCTGGTTTGGGGCAAGGACACACAATGGCAGATGGACCTCACGTTTGGTGTACCTCATGGAACATTAACTCCCGTGGGACGCAAGTCTGTGGGCCGTAGAGCGTGCCGGCCCGAAGCTCAAAGGCAGACACATTCTTCTTTACCACCTCGTCAAAAAACACACTTGCTAACTGGGAGTGGAGCAAGGAGCGGAACTCAAACGAGATCTGTATGGCAGAAAGGAAGGAGAGGGTAGAATATCAGTCAGAGAAGACATACAAAACAGAGAAAGGAAAAAAAGGAGAAGTAAGAGGAAATACACTACATGACCAAAAGTATGTGGACACCTGCTAGTAAAATTCTCATTTCAAAATCATATATGGAGTAGGTCCCCCCTTTGCTGCCATAACAAGCTTTCCACTAGATGTTGGAACATTGCTGTGGGGACTTGCTTCCATTCAGCCACAAGAGCATCAGTGAGGTCGGGCACTGATGTTGGGCGATTAGGAATGGCTCGCAGTCGGCATTCCAATTCATCCCAAAGGTGTTCGATGGGGTTGAGGTCAGGGCTCTGTGCAGGCCAGTCAAGTTCTTCCACACCGATCTTGACAAACCATTTCTGTATGGACCTCGCTTTGTTCACAGGGGCATTGTCATGCTGAAACAGGAAAGGGCCTTCCCCCCTGTTGCCACAATCGTCTAGAATGTAATTGTATGCTGTAGCGTTAAGGTTTCCCTGGAACTAAGGGGCCTAGCCCGAACCATAAAGAACAGCCCCAGACCATTATTCCTCCTCCACCAAACTTTACAGTTGGCAATATGCATTCGGGCAGGTAGCGTTCTCCTGGCATCCGCCAAACCCAGATTCATCCATTGGACTGCCAGATGGTGAAGCATGATTAATCACTCCAGAGAACGTGTTTCCACTGCTCCAGAGTCCAACGGCGGTGAGCTTTACACCACTCCAGCCGACGCTTGGCATTGCGCATGGTGATTTTAGGCTTATGTGCGGCTGCTCGGCGACGGAAACCCATTTCATGAAGCTCCCGACGAACAGTTATTGTGCTGACGTTGCTTCCAGAGGCAGTTTGGAACTCGGTAGTGAGTGTTGCAACCGAGGACAGACGTTTTTACGCGCTGCATGTTTCAGCACTCGATGGTCCCGTTCTGTGAGCTTGTGTGACCTACCACTTCGTGCTGAGAGGTTGTTACTCCTAGATGTTTCCAATTCATAATAACAGCACTTACAGTTGACCGGGACAGCTCTAGCAGGGCAGAAATTTCACGAACTGACTTGTTGGAAAGGTGACATCCTATGACGGTGCCACGTTCAAAGTCACTGAGCTCTTCAGTAAGGCCATTCTACTGCCAATGTTTGTCTATGGAGATTGCATGGCTGTGTGCTCGATTTTATACACCTGTCAGCAACGGGTGTGGCTGAAATAGCCAAATCCACTAATTTGAAGGGGTGTACACATACTTTTGTATATATAGTGTAACTTAGTCAGTCTATTCACATGCAAAGGGTGTACGCACAAACAGAGAGCAAGATTACACGAGAGGTGGGCAGCATAAGATAAAGACAAGGGCTGTCATATTCACCGAAACGTCCACAGTGCAGGTGCGGGGATAACCAGGGATGCCAGGACTGAAGCGCCATATTGTCTCCAGGTGGTTGAAAAGTGTTCCATCTGTGCACACTGCCTATCACCAAACAAACAATGATCATCATAATTCATGAAACCACAATTAAGCGGGACTAAGTAGGGTTGCAAAAATCCGGGAACTTTCCAAAGAATCCCAGGTTTTCCAGAAATCCTGGTTGGAAGATTCCTGGAATCAGGAGGGAATAAGCAAGAAATCTGGAATACTCCAACCAAGATCTCTGGAAAACCTGGGAATTTAGGGAAAGTTACCAGAATTTTCAATCCTTAATTAAGCAGGAGGAACTTACTTTGACCATGTGTGGTCGCACCACGCTGATCATGGATGTGTATCGCTCTACGATGGGTGGGAACCCCACCTCCAGCTGAGCTTTGGAGTGGCCTGCCCTCTTCATGATGGTCTGGGACTTCTTACACCAGGGGACAAAGAGTTTGTAGTCATCCACGTTGGCTACCACATCATACATCTCCAGCATAGAGTACCTGAAGCAGCATCGTAGGAGGAGTTTGAAAACAACATTAAATAACTTAATAACCCCTTCCACTTCCATGTTGTGTTTCAAAACAGAAAAAGCCCTATTTTTTTTACTTTAATATGAAACCTTTCCATGACTTCTTTCTATCCCCGTGTAGCTCAGTTGGTAGAGCATGGCGCTTGCAACGCCAGGGTTGTGGGTTCGATTCCCACGGGGGCCAGTATGAAAAAAATATATATATATGTATGCACTCACTAACTGTAAGTCGCTCTGGATAAGAGCGTCTGCTAAATGACTAAAATGTAAAATGTATGCATTCAAGCTCTCGTTTACCCTGTACATACGGAAATATAGTCCTACAATATATTTTATTTCATGGTGTGGTACCATCTTACCCCAGTATCCTCCGCTCTGAGTACTCCTTTCTCTTATTGGTGAACCCCATGAAAGTTCTGCTGTGGGGAACTGATGTCATCATGTCCCAATCCTGCTGGTGGCAAAGCACTCTGGGAGTCCTGGTCATTACAATACCGCATGATGACAAGTGTCTGATAGGGAAGGGCGAGAAAGAGTGGAAATGTTAAAAATAGCACATCTCTAACAAACACCCTTTTCCAGGCAGGCTTCCTGCCATTAAAGTCAGGGAAGAAATAACATATTGCCAGAAGGGGTAAAGGTTGTCAGTAGTATCCTATCCGGCAATGTTCAGGACAAACTAATAGGCTATATTCTGAGTAAACACGTGAATTAAACTATATGTAATGCAATCCCACAGCCTTGCTGCTTCACTCAGTCAGGGGTGTATTTATTAGTTGGATTCCGTTGCAAAACTTTGTCTGTTGCAAAACGTTTTGCAACTGAAACTGTTTACTCCAAACTGAAAAGGTTTTGCAAGGAAAATTTGAGTTTCTATTGGACAAATTAAGGTAGGTCCCTCCCCGTTTGCTCCCGTTTGGTTCCTAGAGTAATAATAATAATAATAATATGCCATTTAGCAGACGCTTTTATCCAAAGCGACTTACAGTCATGCGTGCATACATTTTTTGTGTATGGGTGGTCCCGGGGATCGAACCCACTACCTTGGCGTTACAAGCGCCGTGCTCTACCAGCTGAGCTACAGAGGACCACGAGTAAACAGTAAACGGTTTCCATTGCAAAACGTTTTGCAACTGACCAAACGTTTTGCAACGGAACTCGGCTAATGAATACACCCCAGGGGTGCTCGGTTCATTAAGTCTTGCAAAGGAAACTGTTTACCGTTTAAGAACCAAATGGAAGCAAACCGAGCAAACGGAACTAAACGGGGAGAGACTTACCCAAATTTGTCCAATAGCAACTCTAATATTCGTTGCAAAACGTCTTCCGTTTGGAGTAAACAGTTTCTGTTTCAAAACGTTTTGCAACAGACAAACGTTTTGCAACAGAATCGGCGTAATGAATACACCCCAGGTGCTCACTACAAATAACTGTGACACTCATAAATAGAATTTGTCAGAAATAGAATTACAAAGAGCAAGGCAACTACTTACAAAGTGAAACCAAAATGAAGGATAACACAATATGCATAGCCTATGACGTGATTGGCACTGCATCTTTGTGCTTGAAGCGTCACTACAGACCCCCTGGTTCGATTCCAGGCTGTATCACAACCGGCCATGATTGGGAGTCCTGTAGGGCGGCGCACAATTGGCCCAGCTTCGTCCGGGTTTGGCCGGTGTAGGCTGTCATTGTAAATAAGAATTTGTTCTTAACTGACTTGCCTAGTTAAATAAAGGTAAAATAAAATAAAAGGGAATGTTTTAGTCCTAAATGCAAATTAGATGATTAACAGGAAGCACAACACGTATTGTTCTTCAGTGTGGACCTTCATTATTTCAACCAGTGCTTGGCTGGAACAAAAACCTGCCACATAGGGGATTCAAAGAGATGCAAAATGCGCATGCACTGCACTGATTGGTTCACGCTGTCACTCAAAGTTATACATTTATTCATCTCACCTGATGGTTTGTCTCATATGTTCTCTTGACCCCGCCGTGTGACAAGGTGAGCGACTTGAGCCTACAGCCATCTCCAGAAATTCACTGAATGTCCGCACACCCATCGGCATTCGCCGGGCAGTTGCTGAGGCTGCCATTATATTTTATGTGGGTTCTTTTATCACAACCTCAAGTAGAACAACGGATCACTGGATCTGTAGGTTACTGCTGAAAACACTGATCTTCGTCCACTTCGGATTGGCTATTTGAAGCAGTTCACTTATCCAAGTAGGCCTAGACGCAACCAAAAAAGCTGCGTTTAGCCTATATTATAAAAACGTTAATGAAGTCGTTTATTTATTCCAAGCTCGATGTCCTGGGTCACTAAGGGTGCATAAATTATGCTTTCGGGTTTTACCTATACCACGACAACCCCTTGAAATCTCGTCCTTCTCTGTACTCAGTAAAGTAAACAAATACCGGTCTGTCAGGCCATGGACAAACCTTACCAGAGAGGACGAGGCGAAACGAGAGGGTTTACTCTGCCCAAAATCTTTCCACGAAAATAAGATCACGGATGAGGAATTTTTGTATGAGTGTCGAATTTGGTCAAACAAATTCATAAAAAAGGCTAATTTGCTACTCGAGGCTTATTTGATCGAATATAAGTTTCGTAATGGTTAAAGTGTTACGAATGCACTGATATATAGATGCACGTGGCATTTTGCCCCCCAATTAAAAAAAAAAACTTTCAAAAAAAAAACTTTATATGGGATATGTGCGTGTTCACACGCGTATGTGCCCTCTCATTGGCTAGAATGGTCCCACCTGATCTCGCCTCATCACGCCTGCCTTCCATCTTTTGAGGACATTATCTTATCAATAGATGTTCTTTGACCATACTGATTTTGGACAAACTGATGTTAAACAGAGCAACTGCCCCACGGATGCATTGCTGCCACCAACTGGGTCGGAGGTAGCCTACAATATCAGCCGTCCTGCTCCCGAATAACATTTTTGGGAGTAAACCATGATTCCTTACATGTTAATCTAGTGCCATTTAAAAATTACGAGATTATTTTGAATTGCAATTAGTAGTATGTAATTGCCGTTCCCCTTGAAAAGAAAGAGGCCCTCGCACTGTCTGGGAGAGCAAAACCACTGAGATAAAATAAGAACGAGCAAAGCGGGAGGGGCGTGGAACTGCGCATGTGCAGAAAGCCGAAGCAACAAACAAACATAAAGCAGAGACGGACAGCAACACAGATCAAGAGTTATCTTACAGATGGCTAGCTACATGGGTCAACTTTGAAAAATGAAAATCAAAACTATCGTTTAATATACCTTGCAGTTCCACCCTAATGAAGGAGCTCCGTCCTGGCTGATTTTGGGAGATGGGAGTACTCAACATTACAGACCAGGTGAGCTAGCAAGTAGCTAGCGTGCTATCTAACGGTAGTTGAAAAGCCAGTCTGGCTATTTGGCTGGGTAGCTGATAGACTGTCGGTTAGCTAGCTAATCTAGTGTTTTGATAGCAATTTCCTGAAAGTTGACCAGTTCAATAACGTTTGATGCAAGGATCTGTCTGAAAAAAATGTGTCGTAGGATTGCTAGCTAGCTAACGTTAGCTAAACCTCGGCGCGGCCCAAGTGACGCTGATTGCTGTATGCAAACTGTTCACTTGACTTCCCTAACTAGCTACCATTCCTTGCTAACCACAGCGTGACATTCTCCTGTTCTTATCCCCAGCCTCCACTGGTCCAAGCGGTTTTCAATCGGAATGTCGATGAAATTCAACAACTATTGCACAACAAGAACGAGGATGTCAATGCACTGGTATGCTTGTGGTGGCAGACAGTGCTACAGCACTGGCTCGGGTTTATGGCTTTGATATTTAACTATCTCCAGTTTTTGCAAGTAGAGGGGTGCCGTGTGGATCCTTTACCCAGTTCATGTGATGAGTTTATTTTGTATTTCCCTGAAACCACACATATATCTGGAAAAAATTAAGAGACCACTGCAAAAATATAAGTTTATTTTGGTTTTACTTTTTATAGGTATGTGTTTGGGTGAAATTAACATTTTTGTTTTATTCTATAAACTACTGAAAACATTTCTCCCAAATTCCAAATAAAAATATTGTCATATAGAGCATTTATTTGCAGAAATTGACAACTGGTCAAAATAACAAAAAAGATGCAGTGTTGTCAGTCCTCGAATAATGCAAAGAAAATAAGTTCATGTTCATTTTTAAACAACACAATAGTAATGTTTTAACTTAGGAAGAGTCAATATTTGGTGGAATAACCCTGATTTTTCAATCACAGCATTCATGCTCTTGGCATGCTCTCCACCAGACTTTCACATTGATTGGTGACTTTATGCCACTCCTGGCGCAAAAATTCAAGCAGCTCAGCTTTGTTTGATGGCTTGTGATCTTCCTCTTGATCACATTCCAGAAGTTTTCAATGGGGTTCAGGTCTGGAGATTGGGCTGGCCATGACAGGGTCTTGATCTGGTGGTCCTCCATCCACACCTTGATTGACCTGGCTGTGTGGCATGGCGCATTGTCCTGCTGGAAAAACCAATCTTCAGAGTTGGGGAACAATGTCAGAGCAAAAGGAAGCAAGTTTTCTTCCAGGACAACCTTGTACGTGGCTTGATTCATGCATCTTTCACAAAGACAAATCTGCCCGATTCTAGCCTTGCTGAAGCACCCCCAGATCATCACCGATCCTCCACCAAATTTCACAGTGGGTGCGAGACACTGTGGCTTGTAGGCCTCTCCAGGTCTCCGTCTAACCATTAGACGACCAGGTGTTGGGCAAAGCTGAAAATTGGACTCATCAGAGAAGATGACCTTACTCCAGTCCTCTACGGTCCAATCCTTATGGTCTTTTGCAAACCTCAGCCTGGCTCTTCTTTGCTTCTCATTGATGAAGGGCTTTTTTCTCGCTTTGCATGACTTCAGCCCTGCCCGTTTCGAACCGTCCTCGCCGTGCACTTCACCCCAGCTGCTGTTTGCCATTCTTTTTGTAGGTCACTTGATGTCATCCTACAGTTGTTGAGTGACTTTCGAATGAGTTGGCGGTCATCGCGGTCAGTAGAGTCGTTTTCGCCCTCTGCCGGTCTGTAGCTTTGTCTCCAATGTCTGCTGCTTGACCTTGTTCTTATGAACCGCCGTCTTTGGAATTTTAAGGATGGAAGCAACCTGACGCTCACTGTATCCTTCTGCCAGTAAAGCCAGAATTGAACCCTTATTTTCCTCACTCAAAACTTTCCTTTTCAACTCTTTTGGCATGGTCAATAGTTTATTTTTTGATTAATATTACTTTTGAGGTACTATTAGCACTGTTTTTGCCATCCAGCTGGGCCTATTGCAAGAGGATAGTGATGACCACAGCAGTGGTTTTTATACTTTTCCTTGTTAAATAAGATTTGGTTCAGGTGATCACCTAATCAGTACCTAATTCAGTAGAATGAGGTGTGCCTGTGTTGGAATTCAACAGACACTGGAATGGAATGGCTGTCATACATGTAGAGAAAAAAAGAAACATTTGCAGTGGTCTCTTTAATTTTTTCCAGAGCTGTATATATAAAACAGTACAAAGTCAACAGAAGGCCTAAATGTAAATAATTTTCAGCAATATTTCACTAGTATGCTTATTGGTCGCTGCCAGGGCAAGAGGGAGAGATGGTTAGTTTGTGTCTTACTTCAATCCCACAGGACCAAGAGCGCCGTACGCCGCTACATGCTGCTGCTTGTTTGGGGGATGTTCATATAATGGACCTCTTCATCAATGCAGGTAATTGGGACCAAAATTGACCAACCACTGGTACTTATTTTCACTAAACAGAACCGCCCCCGCCTGACCTTCTAATGTGTGTGCAATGAAAAGGTGGTTTTGGTCTACTTGCAGTTGTAGTAAAACTGTAGTGTCTGTTCATTGGTATGACTGCAACTTGAAATAAATGACTCTACTGTACTTGTCATGGCCCTCTAATAATGCTCCTTGTCTTGTACACTCTCATAGGTGCAAATGTAAATGCTAAGGACAATGTGTGGTTAACTCCATTGCACAGGGCAGCTGCCTCCCGGAATGAAGTAAGCAATGTTGATCATCTCTGTCATGTTAAGATTTATATAGCACTGTATCCATGTTTGAAACAGTTTGGTACCATGTTTTGGTGTTGTCAAGAAGTGTTTTCTCAAGTCCTGTTTGATTCCTTCTCTCTCCAGAGGGCAGTGGGACTACTTCTGCGGCAGGGAGCTGAGGCCAATGCACGGGACAAGTTCTGGCAGACACCACTGCATGTTGCAGCTGCCAATAGAGCCACACGCTGTGCAGAGGCCCTGCTACCCCAACTGAGCAATCTGAACATGGCAGACCGCACTGGCAGGACCGCCTTGCACCATGCTGCTCAGAGCGGATACATGGAGGTGAGAAGAGAGGGCTTGAAATATTGTTTATACTTTGAACAGGGCCATTTTCACAAACCATTTCAGAGTAGGAGTGTTGATCTAGGATCAGGTCTCCCATCTTATTCATTATGATTTGGAAAAAAAAATAAAGGTGATCATATATCAGCATGCCTACTCTGAGACGATTTTGGGAATACGGACCCAGGTTAGCAGGTTTATAAATAATGAAAATTATTTATATGTATATAATATATTTTTGATTAACTTTGTCTGTCCTTAGATGGTGAAGTTGCTGCTGAATAAAGGGGCCAACTTGAGTGCCAATGATAAGAGAGAGAGACAGCCTATCCACTGGGCAGCGTACTTGGGTGAGCTGGTCTCTGCCCTGGGAAACTCTTCAAGGGACAATCTCCAGTTGCTACATTCATTATTGGATTGATGATATTTACCCATTGATTCTTGAAGAATGTAACTTATAAATGCCTCATGAGCTTAGTCATATAGCTGTCATATCCCATCAGAATCCAAAATAGAAACTAGTTTTTTATTTATTTAACCTTTATTTAACTAGGCAAGTCAGTTAAGAACAAATTCTTATTTACAATGACGGTCTACACCGGCCAAACCCGGACGATGCTGGGCCAATTTGTGCGCCGCCCTATGGGACTCCCAATCACGGCCGGTTGTGATACAGCCTGGAATCGAACCAGGGGGTCTGTAGTGACGCCTCAAGCACTGAGATGCAGTGCCTTAGACCGCTGCGCCACTCGGGAGCCCACTTTATAAACAAAGTAAATGTAAACAAACACTGTATAGCCTCAAAACATGGTTCAAACTATCATTTTTATATAATGGATGGTCATTCCTTGCATCCATAACGCTCTAAGTTTGAATGGTTACATTTCTCCAGCCCCATCCCTCAGCCTTTGACTGAAACAGTGGCGCGAAGAGTGCTTTGTTATTGTTTTAACTGCTGATTGCCCCAACTTTTTTTTTACATCAGAATTTCATAAACTTGCCGTGAATGGCAGGTGATGAGAATATGAAGTGTTTCTCCATAAGTCCTGTTTTAAGTTGGATGAACAGCAGACCTGGGCAGAACATGGTTGTATTTTGTTGTTTAGTTGAAAATACAAACTTTTCAAATACTCTAAGTAGTCAAATATATAGTTTATATAGAATTTCAACTAAAAGGCAACTCTTTTATTTGATATTCAAATACAGGTCTCAGAAAAACAAATAATAGTTGAATATATGCTAGTTATTTGCCTAAAGCCTAGAATGAAACACATGAGGGACATGGAATCACCTCAACATTAGAGTAGACCACTTTTACAACTTCAAAATGACTAACAAATATATTTTCAGAATGAGTGAGACACGGTAGTACAGTAACACTTGGCATCAAGTTCTTATACATTTATAGTAACTTTGACTATTACAATAGCGCCATTGTGTTACATAGGACTTTGGAAATTGCTTTATAATTGCATAATAGTTATTACAAAAGTGGTGTATAGAACAGTCACTATTCCTCTAGTGTGCAGTGGTTACAAAAACTCAGCTCATTGCTATGCAATTACCAAAGTATAATGTAACAACATGCTAATTAAATGTTGCTCCAAAAGTAATGACAGTTTTATTACACAGGCACAAGAAGTGTTACTGAGAATGATAACAGTAAAAAAAAAGATAGCTATTAAGTTTAGAAAGGAAACTAAATATCCCCAAACTTCCTTCTTGAATCGACTACAGCCAGGTAGGTGGACAATCATGTTAATTTGTATTCTGAGTGAACTATCCCTTGTGTGTTTGAAACAAGAACATTTGAAAGTAATTGAGATATTGAAAATAGTATTTGAACCCAGGTCTGAAACAATGGCAACACTGCCATGTTGATCTGAGCCTTGCTGTTGGAAAACCACATTAGTTTTAGTTTACTATAATAACCGTGATGTATTTTGTAGATCAAATATGACTGTCAGACAGATTGGAATAGTATAGGAGATTGTGTGTGCTCTATTAATTCATTCTATCTTTAACATGCAGTTCCAGATACAGCCCTGCCATCAGTTGAAGGCAGTCTATCCAATAGTTTCAGAGATCTGTATTCAAATAGTTTTGGAAAGTAGTCACTTTCTGAGACCTTTATTTAAATAGATTTAGGAAGTAGTCATTTTTTGGGATCTGTTATTCAAATAGTTGTAGTCACCTCCAAAGTAACTATTTGTTCCCCTGGGAAAAAGTTAATTTCCACAAACCATAGTTAAAACTACAGTTATCCCCGTTCTGATGAACAGTATGAATGTACTCTTCACTAGAGGGTGACATTAAAACAGGACTCCTGCAGGACCCACAGGACACACTCTTCTCACACAATGCCTCTCCCATATGTCTTATAGGGCATCTGGAGGTGGTGAAGCTGCTAGTGTCTCGGAGTGCAAACAAGGGCTGCAAGGACAAGCAGGGCTACACCCCTCTGCACGCTGCAGCTGCCAGCGGACACATTGACATCGTCAAGTACCTTCTGAGGCTCGGGGCAGAGGTGAGTGTGGAGTTCAAGTGGGTAAACGGACTCTCAAGATAGCCATAGCAAGTAATACTTGTTACGAACCATAGTCTGATGAACCATAGTCATGATCAGAAGAGCCAGAGGATTATCTCTGATTACAATGAAATTATGTTTCATCTTCTTATTTTTGGACCTTTTGTTGCTTAGCTAACTCCTCATGTCTTGTGTGTTGGTGCTCTTTTAGCTGGATGAGCCCAATGCCTTTGGGAACACTGCGCTGCATGTGGCCTGCTACACAGGCCAGGAGGCTGTGGCCAACGAGCTGGTGAACCACGGAGCTAACGTCAACCAGCCCAACAGGAGTGGCTACACCCCACTGCACCTGGCCGCTGTATCCACCAACGGGGCCCTCTGCTTGGAGCTGCTGGTCAACAACGGGGCTGACGTTAACCAGCAGGTTTGGGGCCCAATTCTATTAAAAAAGGGTCTCTGAGTACGATTGCTGATCTCAGATCCCTTCCCTCCTGTCCAGATAATCAAATTCATTATGCTCTAAAAGGCTTAACTCATCCTAGTTCCGTACTCCTTCTTTAAGACTAACTAATGCCATCCCTAGCAGCATTTCACCCTGAACGGTTGTTTTATTGTGTGGTGATTTTAAAGGATCATTTGTTGTCTGCAAGACTAGTAAGACATCATTTTTTTTTTCATCTCCAGAGTAAAGAAGGGAAGAGCCCCCTGCACATGGCAGCCATTCACGGACGCTTTACCCGCTCTCAGATCCTCATCCAAAACGGTAACCATGACAACCCCTCTGACTGACCTGTGAGGATGCTTTAAATGACTCTTGTCCCACTGGTTCTCTATTCATTCTTCTCTTCCTGTTGGTTTGTTTTTCCCAGGTGGAGAGATTGACAGTGTGGATAAATATGGCAATACCCCCCTCCATGTTGCTGCTAAATACGGTCATGAGCTGCTGATCAGCACTCTGATGACCAACGGTGCAGATACTGCCAGACAAGGGATTCATGGGATGTTCCCGCTGCACCTGGCTGTGCTCTATGGGTTTTCAGACTGTTGTCGCAAGCTACTCTCCTCTGGTTGGTACTTATATACATTATATCATTCATTCACACCTGTTGGATTTTATTTCACAAGGTCTATACACTGGAGGAGCTGTGACTGACAAGTGTCATGGGTTGGATGTTATTTCTAGTTGCCTCTTCTCCCCTCAGGTCAGCTGTACAGTATTGTTTCATCAATGAGTAAGGAGCACGTTCTATCAGCCGGGTTTGACATAAACATCCCAGACAACTTTGGAAGGACCTGTCTACACGCTGCTGCCTCTGGAGGGTAAGACACAGAATCGCACTCCAAAACTGGACCTATTCTGAACCATTGTATTGGTTAATACAATCTAATGAGTCAGTCATTCTCATCATGGTATTCCTCACTTCTCCTCTTCTGACAGAAATGTTGAATGTCTGAACATGCTCTTAAGCAGTGGTACCGACTTGAATCAGAGGGACAAGTCAGGAAGGTGAGTTTTTGCCACTGATTATTTGCTTTCTGTTTATACTCATGCTGGTGTGGGTATGCGATAATGTTCGGTGGAAAAGTCAGTGATTTAAGGTTGTTGGTTCACTGTAAAAGCTTTGGGACAACGGCTGATGTAAATAGTGCTTTATAAATGCATTTGATTAATGGACTGATAATGATTCTGTGGACCTTCTCTCTCTCTCTCTCGCTCAGGACTCCGTTGCATTATGCAGCTGCTAATGGGAGGTACCAGTGCACCGTGACCTTAGTGAGCGCTGGCGCTGAGGTCAACGAGCCTGACCGTACAGGCTGTACTCCGCTGCACTACTCTGCTGCCTCCCAGGCCTTCTGCAGGTAGGAACTCACGCTTGCACTCCATCGCAACATACACTGACACATGACAACACGCGTTCAGGAAACATGGCTATGTGTTGAATTTGTCATTAAATGTGTTAATTCTGCACTTCCAGAATGGACCGACATTTCCCTGGGACTCTTCAAAGGGAGGAGGATGGAGCGAAGGAGTCCTATTTGTGAGTTTGCAACCATTTTATTTTGTATAGCGTCTACAGTCCAGAATAATATATAAAAAAAAAAAAAATGCTAATTCAAGATCTGCTTAAAGGACTCCAAAGAGATTTTGTTTATTTCATGACAACTACTTGACTGTTGTTGCTTTTTTCTGTCTTTGTAAGTAGTTGCTTGGAGCATCTGTTGGACAACGGTGCCGACCCATCCCTGGTCAACTCTAAAGGTTACAGTGCTGTTCACTATGCTGCTTCCCACGGCAACAAGCAGAACCTTGAACTGGTGAGTCCTTCTGTTTGTGTTCAATACCCTACCAAGCTAAACAGGTGAATTGTTTTTCATCATGACCTTGCTGTGTGTGTGGACAGTAATGCATCATGACTGTTCTTTTAGCTCCTGGAAATGTCGTTTAACGCATTGGGAGACATTGAGAGCAGTATTCCAGTGAGTCCATTGCATTTAGCTGTAAGTGCGCCTTTCCTAAAATCCTCTCTGATACATCATAGCTTGAGACTGAGTATGTGTGGAGAAGATGCCATGTTCATATAGATTAGCCAAAAACATGACTGTTCCCTGTTGTATCCCATCTCCTCTCCCCCTTCAGGCTGATAATGGCCACTGGCAGGCGCTGCGTGTGCTGACGGAGACTGCTGCATACGTGGACGTGCAGGATGCTTCGGGCCGCTCTGTGCTTTACCTGGCCTCCCAGAGAGGTTACGCTCGCTGTGTAGAGGTCCTGCTGGCCCAGGGGGCCTCCTGCCTCCTCAACGAGAACAGACACATGTGGACCCCTCTACATGTCGCAGGTACGGATCACTCCATGCCTCTCTAACCCCCCCCTCCTCCTAGAATTGGATGTGGGATGCATTTTTGCAAAGCATGCTAATCAAATTAGTTTGTTTATTTGCCAGGTGTAATGAATACATTGGATATCTTACTTGCAAGCATGTGTTGCTGCGTATTGTTCGATATTGTCTGTTTTAGGTACTACAGTGCCTTGCAACAGTATTCATCCTCCTTGGTGTTTTTCCTATTTTGTTGCATTACAACCTGTAATTTAAATGGATTTTTATTTGGATTTTATGTAATGGACATACACAAAATAGTCAAAATTGGTGAAGTGAAATGAAAAAAATAACTTGTTTAAAAAAATTCTAAAAAATAAATAACGGAAAAGTGGTGCATGCATACAGTGGGGAGAACAAGTATTTGATACACTGCCGATTTTGCAGGTTTTCCTACTTACAAAGCATGTAGAGGTCTGTCATTTTTATCATAGGTACACTTAAACTGTGAGAGACGGAATCTAAAACAACAATCCAGAAAATCACATTGTATGATTTTTAAGTAATTCATTTGCATTTTATTGCATGACATAAGTATTTGATCACCTACCAACCAGTAAGAATTCCGGCTCTCACAGACCTGTTAGTTTTTCTTTAAGAAGCCCTCCTGTTCTCCACTCATTACCTGTATTAACTGCACCTGTTTGAACTCGTTACCTGTATAAAAGACACCTGTCCACACACTCAATCAAACAGACTCCAACCTCTCCACAATGGCCAAGACCAGAGAGCTGTGTAAGGACATCAGGGATAAAATTGTAGACCTGCACAAGGCTGGGATGGGCTACAGGACAATAGGCAAGCAGCTTGGTGAGAAGGCAACAACTGTTGGCGCAATTATTAGAAAATGGAAGAAGTTCAAGATGACAGTCAATCACCCTCGGTCTGGGGCTCCATGCAAGATCTCACCTTCAATGATCATGAGGAAGGTGAGGGATCAGCCCAGAACTACACGGCAGGACCTGGTCAATGACCTGAAGAGAGCTGGGACCACAGTCTCAAAGAAAACCATTAGTAACACACTACGCCGTCATGGATTAAAATCCTGCAGCGCACGCAAGGTCCCCCTGCTCAAGCCAGCGCATGTCCAGGCCCGTCTGAAGTTTGCCAATGACCATCTGGATGATCCAGAGGAGGAATGGGAGAAGGTCATGTGGTCTGATGAGACAAAAATAGAGCTTTTTGGTCTAAACTCCACTCGCCATGTTTGGAGGAAGAAGAAGGATGAGTACAACCCCAAGAACACCATCCCAACTGTGAAGCATGGAGGTGGAAACATCATTCTTTGGGGATGCTTTTCTGCAAAGGGGACAGGACGACTGCACCGTATTGAGGGGAGGATGGATGGGGCCATGTATCATGAGATCTTGGCCAACAACCTCCTTCCCTCAGTAAGAGCATTGAAGATGGGTCGTGGCTGGGTCTTCCAGCATGACAACGACCCGAAACACACAGCCAGGGCAACTAAGGAGTGGCTCCGTAAGAAGCATCTCAAGCTCCTGGAGTGGCCTAGCCAGTCTCCAGACCTGAACCCAATAGAAAATCTTTGGAGGGAGCTCAAAGTCCGTATTGCCCAGCGACAGCCCTGAAACCTGAAGGATCTGGAGAAGGTCTGTATGGAGGAGTGGGCCAAAATCCCTGCTGCAGTGTGTGAAAACCTGGTCAAGACCTACAGGAAACGTATGATCTCTGTAATTGCAAACAAAGGTTTCTGTACCAAATATTAAGTTCTGCTTTTCTGATCAAATACTTATGTCATGCAATAAAATGCAAATTAATTATTTAAAATCATACAATGTGATTTTCTGGATTTTTGTTTTAGATTCCGTCTCTCACAGTTGAAGTGTACCTATGATAAAAATGACAGACCTCTACATGCTTTGTAAGTAGGAAAACCTGCAAAATCGGCAGTGTATCAAATACTTGTTCTCCCCACTGTATACACACACAAAAGGCATGTGGGAGACTCCCCAAACATATGGAAGAAGGTTACTCTGGTCAGATGAGACTAAAATTGAGCTTTTTGGCCATCAAGGAAAACACCATGTCTGGCGCAAACCCAACACCTCTCATCACCCCGAGAACACCATCCCCACAGTGAAGCATGGTGGTGGAAGCATCATGCTGTGGGGATGTTTTTCATCGGCAGGGACTGGGAAACTGGTCAGAATTGAAGGAATGATGGATGGCGCTAAATACAGGGAAACCTGTTTCAGTCTTCCGGAGATTTGAGACTGGGACGGAGGTTCACCTTCCAGCAGGACAATGAACCTAAGCATACTGCTAAAGCAACACTTGAGTGGTTTAAGGGGAAACATTTAAATGTCTTGGAATGTCCTAGTCAAAGCCCAGACCTCAATCCAATTGAGAATCTGTGGTATGACTTAAAGATTGCTGTACACCAGCAGAACCCATCCAACTTGAAGGAGCTGGAGCAGTTTTGCCTTGAAGAATGGGCAAAAATCCCAGTGGCTAGATGTGCCAAGCTTATAGAGACATACCCCAAGAGACTTGCAGCTGTAATGTACGCTCAAGTTTTCTGTTTTTTTGTCTTATTCTTGTTTGTTTCACACAAAAAAATATTTTGCATCTTCAAAGTGGTAGGCATGTTGTGTAAATCAAATGATACAAACCCTCAAAAAATCCATTTTAATTCCAGGTTGTAAGGCAACAAAATAGGAAAAATGCCAAGGGGGTTGAGTGCTTTCGCAAGCCACTGTACGTAATAGGTTAAAACAAAAGCAGTCAAGATTGAATGTGTAATTAAATTATATTTGTCATTTCATATCAGCTGCCAACGGCCACACTGAATGTCTGCAAATGCTGGTGGACAGTGGGGAGGAGGCAGACCTTACCAACATCACAGACACACAGGAACAGTGAGTGGTCTGTTTCTCACTGCCTGCCGGGAAGCTTTGTTGACGTTCTCTTTGGTTGCGATGTCAATTATTATGTTATTTATTTTTAGTATAGATCCAGAGTCAAGAGTACTGTTTAGGCTGTTTACTGAAGATTTGCAGAATCACACGTTCTGCCTGCTAGGAAGCGTTATTGTTGACGTCGGCTTTTATTTTAATTTAAATGACTGTGTGGGGTCCTCCTCCTCAGGACTCCTCTGATGCTGGCCATCCTGGGTGGCCATACAGACTGTGTCCACCTGCTGTTGGAGAAGGGGGCCTGGCCTGACGCCAAAGACAAGAGGGGCAGCACTGCCCTGCACAGAGGGGTGAGTCAAACTCCTATAGGCTTTTCACACTACTGAGCGAAAAAGTACTGGGCTGGTTACTCATCCATTACACTTACTGAAACTGTGTCATATTGTACGGCCCTACACCTAGTCTGGCTGGTTCAGTTATGTGATAGAGAGGAACACTAACATTAGTTTAGTAAAGGAACACTACAGCATTAGTTTGAAAGAATTATTAAAGCACAGTAAAAGTTTAGGAAATCTAGCTGTGAAAAGAACAGCATCTTCCTCCCTGTGTGTCCCTGTCCTGTAGGCTGTGTTAGGCCGTGACGACTGTGTCACAGCCATGCTGGACCACAAGGCATCTGCACTGTGTCGGGACGGCCAGGGTCGTACCCCCCTGCACTACGCTGCCTCCCGCGGCCACACTGACATCCTCGCCAGTCTGCTGCGTGCCGCCATGCGCTCCAACCCTCTGGACTCCCTATTGGACCAGGAAGAGTACACGCCATCACACTGGGCTGCTTACCAAGGTCAGCATTCAGTAAGGGTGTACAGTGCCTTTCGAAAGTATTCATACCCGTTGACTTATTCCACATTTTGTTGTGTTACAGCCTGAATTCAAAATGGATTAAGTTGATTTTACACACAATAACCCATAATGACAAAGTGAAAACATGTTTTTTGAATTTCTAGCGAATGTATTGAAAAAGAAATACAGATGTATCTAATTTACGTAAGTATTCAAACCCCTAAGTCAATTCATGTAAGAATCACCTTTGGCAGCGATAATAACTGAGTTGTTTTGGGTAAGTGTCTTAACAGCTTTGCACACCTGGATTGTACAATATTCCTTCTTTTCACTCTGTCGTTTAGGTTAGTATTGTGGAGTAACTACAAGGTTGTTGATCCATCCTCAGTTTTCTCCTATCACAGCCATTAAACTCTAACAGTTTTTTAAAGTCACCATTGGCCTCATGGTGAAATCCCTAAGCGGTTTCCTTCCTCTCTGCCAATTTAGTTAGGAAGGACGCTTGTATCTTTGTAGTGACTGGGTGTATTGATACACCATCCAAAGTGTAATTAACTTCACCATGCTCAAAGGGGATTCAATATCTGCTTTTAAAAAACATTTACCCATCAACCAATAGGTGCCCTTTTTTGCGAGGCATTGGAAAACCTCCCTGGTCTTTGTGGTTGAATCTGTTTTGAAATTCACTACTCGACTGAGAGTCCATGTGACTTATTAAGCAAATTATTACTCTTGAACTTATTTAGGCTTGCCATAACGAAGGGGCTGAATACTTATTGACTCAAGACGTTTCAGCTTTTAATTTTTTTCTTATTTGTTAAAAACAATTCTAAAAACATAGTTCCACTTTGACATTATGGGGTATTTATTGTGTGTAGACCAGTGACACACAAGCTCATTTTAAATGCAGGCTGTAACACAACAAAATCTGAAGGCACTGCATATGAAATGTACGTATAAATAGAATGTGATGAGAAACCTATTTCCGTTTTGTAGTGTGACTGTTCGTTATCCAAATGAAATGGCTACCAGTATGCAACTTTGAAACACACTTTTCTTCTTTCTCCTATAAGGGCATGAAGACTGTTTGGAGGTTTTACTTGAACACAAAACTTGTAGTATCCAGGAGGGAAACTCCTTTACCCCATTGCACTGTGCTCTGTGAGTGTTCTCTAATCAATGTTTTAAACATGGTTATACAGGTAACTGCCAAAAGAAGGGAAAACTTGAGTAAATGAGGGATACAAAGTATATTGAAAACAGGTGCTTCCACACAGGTGTAGTTCCTGAGTTAATTAAGCAATTAACATCCCATCATGCTTAGGGTCATGTATAAAATGCTAGGCAGGCCATTCTTTTCAAGTATCGGTAACTGCATACGTGGAGTGTCTAAGTGGGCGTTGCAAAACAAGTGGGAGGATAAATACCAGTGGGTGTGTCAACCTTACAGCTAATTGGGCAGGTTGGTTGTCCCTCAAGACTGTTTTACGTGGCTGCTTCCTTGTTGCATTTTAGCTAGGCAGGTTAGGATCATTAACGTGGCAGGTTAGGATAACTAACATAGCAGGTTAGGAGAATTGACGTGGCAGGTTAGGAGAATGAGGATAAGGTTGGGAAAAGGGTTAGGCTTAGCTAAAATGCTACAAGGAAGCAGAAGGCAGCCACACAACTGTATTGAGTGACAACCAATCTTCCCAATTAGCTGTTAGGTTTCCATACACCCACTTGTGTTGATCCTCTCACTTTCAGACAGACTCTACGTATGTTACCCATGACTCATTATTTTGTCTACCATGGCTATGCCTCACTAGGGTGACAATGACCCCATCCACAGGGCATGAGTGGTCACTGAATGGTTTGATGAGCATGAAAATGACAAACCATATGCATGGCCGTCTGTCACCAGATCTCAACCCAATTGAATACTTATGGGAGATTCTGGAGCGGCGCCTGAGACAGCGTTTTCCACCACCATTAACAAAACACAAAATTATGGAATTTCTCGTGGAAGAATGGTGTTGCGTCCCTCCAATAGAGTTCCAGACACTTGTAGAATCTATGCCAAGGCGCATTGAAGCTGTTCTCGCGGCTCGTGGTGGCCCAACGCCCAATTAAGACACTTTATGTTGGTGTTTCCTTTATTTTGTCAGTTACCTGTACATTATTACGACAATGTCTGTAAAACAGTGTTTGGGAAAGGATCATTGATAATGGGTTTGATGTTTTATCACTAATGTGGTCATGTTTCCTATGAGTTGGTGGTTATCTTTGATTTATGTGACATTGCAGAATGAATGGCCATAGTGGAGCTGCAGAGATGCTGTTGGAATCTGCTGGCATACAGATGGTTAACACCAGGGATACTAAAGAAAGGTAGGTCTATTGAGAGCAAGGTGCCATTATCTTACTAAATGTTTACTTGGGTGTCTCCTGTGTCATTGGTATGCCTTTAAAGCTGGACCTCTGCACTTAATGTGTTTCATCCAGTTTTAACTTCTGTTTCATTGTAATGCAATACTGAGCTCACCAATGTTGGGCTGTCTCTCTGTGCCTGTAGGACCCCTCTTCACGCCGCAGCGTGTGCTGAGGATGTGGCGGGGCTGCAGCTTGTCCTACGCCACGGAGCTGAGATCAACGCCGTGGACCACACCGGACGCTCTGCTCTCATGGTCGCCGCCGACAACGGACAGAGTGGCACCGTGGGTAAGTCTACAGAGCACCTTTTCATTGATGTTTTGCAAAAGGATAAGAGTTCAGCATGTTCTCTCCCTTCATCTAAGTCCTATGAAGAACAATGAACTAACACTTGATTGGAGTGAATGCATTATCTGTTGGGATGAATCCTGTGTAATTTCCAGCTATCCTCCTGCACCGAGCCAAGGCTGACCTTACACTGCTGGACGACAATGGAAATACTGCCCTGCATCTGGCCTGCAGCAAGGTAAGGTAACTCCTCACAACATCATCAGCGCCTCTCTCATGTCCTGAGATGAAGGAACAAGTGCATGTATTGATGATGATGGTTAATGTAAGCATGTTTTTGTATCTGTATCACAGGCTCATGAGATGTGTGCCCTGCTGATTCTGGGGGAGATCCATAACCCTACCCTCATCAATGCAACCAACGCTGCACTGCAAATGCCGCTGCATCTAGCAGCACGCAACGGTCTGGCCACTGTGGTCCAGGCACTGCTGAGTCGAGGAGCCACAGTGCTGGCAGTGGATGAGGAGGGTAAGAGAGACACTATTCCACTTTATCCTTTCCCCAAACCTCATCTTCATTTTAACATCTTAAAGTCCTACACCGTGTAGCCTAATGCTATGGGCTTGGGCTCGAGAAATGATTTGTAATTGATTTCAGATTTTTTTGTTACTTACTTAATGTAAAACTTTTTATTTGCTTCAATCACTGAACACAACAGGTGCTTATTATAGACTGGCTTCTATTTGAGCCAGGCGTCTATTTCCTTAATGCATAGTTAATTCGAGCATTTTAATAAATTGTTTTATTTACTGTACTAATGTGTTATCATTTACACGCTGTCCCATTTTATATTGTCTTAGAATGCCTCTAAAAAATATAAAAAACACTTTTCGCATTTTCAGCAGTTCTTACTTTTTGGCTGATTTTTCTAGGGGTCTGTACTCCCGAAGTTGTTGACTGTTTGTGTTTGCCAGTTAGCTAGCTGTTCTCAGCTGTTAGCAGCCAATGGCTAGCAGTTTCTTACTGGCGATAGAAAAGCATGATTGCTATCATTTGTTTGAGTCATTACTGAATTATTTAATGTAACAAATCAAACATTAAACCTCGTAAACAATTTATTTAGACCCAACTTTTATTTAAAATAGGCGTTTATTTGCTGAAATGTGCCGTTGCCAGGCAATTAAAAGGGACAGGCGGCTATTTGACACAGCGTTTAATTGAAGTTTTACGGTTCTTACTTATTTAGGTATTTTAATCTTCCTTGAGCATAGGCCATAGACAACAGCTTTCCAGTGTATCCAGTCTGATTGTGCGTTTATGTTGTCGACAAGGCCACACTCCAGCCCTGGCCTGCGCCCCCAACAAGGATGTAGCTGACTGCCTGGCTCTGATCCTCTCCACCATGAAGCCTTTCCCTCCTCTGGACCCTTCCTCCTGCCCCTGCTCCTCTTCCTCCGTCTCTGTCTCCCCCGGTCTCAACCTACTGAAGCATTGCGGCATCACCGCTGCCTGCACGCCGCTGCCCAACGGAGGCCTCCACCATCACCACGGCTACGTCAAGGACCGCCATGCCGCTGTCGGCCTGGACGGGTGCCTTTCTGAGTGAAGTCATCCTATATCTACGGTCTGACACCACTACTACCACCACCACAGGGTGGCCTGTGTGTGTGTGTGTGTGTGAGAGCGTGCGTGTGTGATCTTCTCTTGAAGTGCAGTCAAACCTATAATGCAAATGGGGCCCACAGCATCTATCTATCCCAACTCTGTAGTAGTTAGTGCTTAACACTGAGACTGATTGTTCTTTCTGTAAGGTCACTGGAATACTGCTTTGTCCCAAAATGGTTGCTATTAACATCCACAAAATCCCTAAATCATCAATCCCTTTAAATAATGTCCCGCAAATAGGTACTCGTCATTACAGAAAAATGACTGTCAGCTAAAAGCACTGTTTATCCTCTTTTTATGTTGTCTTTTGTTGAGTCACTTTTTTCTCTTCATATCATTCAGTATTTAACATCCTATGATGTGCTGGCCTTGTAGAGAAATGCACAGACTTCCTAAAATGAGAACGATACAACGGGTTATAGTAGAGGACTTGATGAAGGAACCATACAGACAAAGTCCTGCCCAAAAGTGCAATGCTAAAATATGATTCTGACTTTTTTTTAAAGGATTATAATATGTACCTTCTGTAGTAACCTATATTTAAACTTTTGTCAATTTTTCAGGGGCATTTTCATAGAGAATTTCATAGTGCTGCTAAAGTTTGAAAGATTAATATGTAAGCATGTCTCCTTGCAAAGGAGAACAATGCTCAGGTTGGCATTTTAGCATAAATTTACTCTCAATGCTGAAGTATTATCTAGAACACCATTTTGTGTTTACTACGTGAGAATTTGGTTTAAAGCATATACATTACGACCAAAGTTGATCACTGCTATGGCTGAAAAAATTTTTATTTTAGAAATATTTACAGAGAAACATAGATGTTGAGATACCTCTAAGTCATTTTGCAGCTGCTGAATGGCTAGACAGGGAGAGTAGTAGCAATGAGGCCTTGGTTATTTATTCGAAGTCTTTGGGAGCGGGCTCGCCCCATTGCACTTCAGCAAAGCCTCTTGTTTTCTGAGCACATTCTCTTGAAATTCTAAGATTACTGCTCAGTGATAATCTTACAAGCCATTTCAATTGATTTCCCAGTTTTCTTTTCTTATGTCATTCCCAAAACTTTTTGGTACATTGAATTAGAATTGCCTTCAGAGAGGAATCGTATTTGTATTATTTCCCAAAATGTTGTCATTGGTCAATCTGAAATGTTACTTCAGCCATTTTAGAGCTGGAGCAATACCACTGTTACTCTCTATCAAAAAGCTTGTATCTTGTCTAGTACGATGGTCAGTTCTCGTATGAGATTGAAACGCTGGACTGACAGTGCTCTTCCGTTTCGTTTTTGTTGAATTTAAGCAATATTTAATTTCTGGCCTTTTGAACGTTATCAAAAAGACAATCATAGTCTCAAGGGCTTTTGTTTCCTTGGAAATCTTGTTTGATGTTCACTTCATTTGTTTGAATACTGATACTAGCAACATGGAAATTATCTATTCTAGACTAATGGCTGAAGTCTGCGTCCAAGGCATTTTTTGCTCGGTGCCTAGAAAAAAATGCAATTGATTGCCTCCATGGCATCCCATTAAATGCCTTCAGATCCATATGACATCATGGCAGTAAGGATTCAGGATGGCATGATATGACGAACCCTAGGGTCTCATCCACTTGGTAGCAGAGAAGCATTGGATCCTAGTCAGACCTGTTCATCTGGTGAGAATATGATTCCTTGGTTGGGCTTGATTGTTCATGTCTCCGGACAGAATTCATGACTAACAAGAGACTTGAAAGCCTAGTAGGTATGTAGGGTTACTTACTGTAGGAAGGAACTGAGAGGAAACTAATGGCCAATAGTAGTACTTGTGTTTTTAGTAAAGCCGAAAAGTGTGAAATTCCTTTTTTGGTATGTTGTATTGTTTTTATGTGTGTATCTTGTCTGGTGGTACTACATACATTGTAGATGATTGTATCAGACCACTGGAGCTCTTTGCCTGACTTAATTTAAATATTTTAACATGACCATTTCTATTACATCATCAGAGGATCAATACATTTCAGTGATTCACTGGGACTCATTTACATTTTCAATTAATACTTCACCACAACATTATCTCTTGATGAATGCTAAATGACATGCATTAGTTCTGGATGAGAAAGATGAGGACCTAATATCATAATGATACCAGAGTAGCAAGTCATGTTGTGCCCAATAGTCAGTGTTGTCTGGGGGAGAGGAGGAGCAAAGGTTAGTGTATAGTCTTTGGTGTCATAATGTGTAAAGGGGGAATAGTCTCGGGCTGTGTGGAACAAGGAACCAAATTACATGGATTGATAACAAACAGGAAAATCATATTGGCATTATTTTGTTGTATGCATACTACAATGCAGTTCCATTCAGCCCTGATCCAAGGCACTTATTGAGATAGTTAAGCACTTTAACACATTCAGCATATTTGTGTGCATAGTCTGAATACATGCATATGTATAGTTACATACATATGTGTTGTAGCTAAAGTGCAAAAGACAGGAAAAGATTGCAAGGATTGTATACGCTGCTTCATTGACTGAGATTTAACTTCAAAACTCTAAAGCTAAAAATATCTCATGGTCCAAAATGGTCAGTCCACACAACATGGTCCAAAATGGTCAGTCCACACAACATGGTCCAAAATGGTCAGTCCACACAACATGGTCCAAAATGGTCAGTCCACACAACATGGTCCAAAATGGTCAGTCCACACAACATGGTCCAAAATGGTCAGTCCACACAACATGGTCCAAAATCCAGTTATCACAATGGGGTTTGATCGATGCCAGTCCAGGGTCCACTACTAGTCCTTATGGTTAGTCCAGTGATTTAGCTAGGCTTACTTTCACCATGCTTGCATCCTCAGGCTCCTCACATAACTCCACACTGAGCAGATGTATGTTGTTCAATAGAGACACTGATTACCTCAATCATCCAACCGCAGGTGTGTCTGGCTAGCAGGTCAGGTTCATGTTCCCCTGCTCAGACACTGCATGCATCAACCAATGGTTGCGTGCCACGTCATCGACTGTGCCGTCGGGCACCAGATTGCTATAACATAGTGATGTGGTTAGCTGATAGGTATTTTACATATCTGGCATGCGTCAGCAACGTCTGAGCAGAGGAACACGACCCAGATCTGTTTTTCTTTCAATCTCCCTTACTTGTCCAGCATATATCCCATCTGGAACTATCCCTATCTTTGTTCCGTTGGTAGACAGAGAACTCATTGTGAAGGAGCTTGAGATCATAATTCTGACTTTAAAGAAACAAGTAAAATATGGACATATAGTTCCCTAGGGTTTAATATTAGGAAGCAATGAAAGGATTATTTGTAGCATTAGGGACTGAAAGACGTGTGCAACACAACTATTGCACTGCCTTCTACTGTGTTTAGGCCAATCCAACAAAGCATTTCATAGATGCCAATTGAAGATTTGCGTGAGTAGTCGTGACATGAGAATCTTAGGTCACAGTTAGGGCGTTATTTGCCAAAGTACATTTAAAAAATACAAATAAAAAAGAGAAAAAAAGCATGCGTTCGAGCAATGTACAGACTGAATATAAATCTGAGCCATGAATTGACTGAAATGAATCTAGGGTCAAATTGGAACAAGACCATTTGCTTTCTCCTGACTTTTGAACTATTACACTGCGTTTCTCTGGCATTCATGAAATGATACAAGTAGCAGCATGAAATAATTGTCTTCCTGTTATGGGTCTTTCTTGAATGTTTTTCAGCTATACCTAGGCCCCTATGTTTGTCATAACCATGTATTGACAATGGAGACAGAAGGTTGGAGGGTTTGAACATTCATCTCTATTAACACCATTGAGATTGCCTTACAATATATTCTGAACAGGACATTTAACTACGCTGTAATTGCTTTCATTTTTTACATTAATTGATAGCCTGTTTTTGAAAATGAAAGTGCACCTAGCTAGCTACATCCATTTAGTGCCATAGAAACCTTTATTTGCCTTTAAGCATAATAGACATACTGTACTTGGTCAGTAAAAAAAATAGTGTGTTTGGACTCATTTACTGTGGTAGCCATGGTTAGAATTATATATATTTTTTTCTCATGATTATTAAGCTTTGCTGGCACAGATACAGGTCATGATGTCAGTGGTGACTAATGGTTTGCACCACTTAGTACTGATCGTAGGGTGGAAAGTAGGAAGTGGAAAGCAATCATAGAACAGAGTTGGTGGTAGTCTGGAGAAAAGAAATGGATGGTAGATTTGTTTAAAATATTTATAATTGGACAGACTATTTGTGTGGGCAAAAAGGGATAATAATGAATGGTAATTTCGTTGTAAGAGGTGCCTGTGATTTGTAATTATTATAAGAAGCGTTTTTGATGTTGGCAGATGTATGCTTAACAGGGAATAGATTTACCTCGTCCTCGATGGATGCCCCCATTCTTACTTGAAGTATCTGTCATAGAAGGCAAATGTAAAACTTTCATTCACAGCAGAGCCTTACCTTTAAAGGCAAAGGAACAAGTATCTTGCAGTACCTACTAAGTTATAACACCTAACGTCTTGCTGGTTATGTTTCTCAGTGGGACTGCTAAAATCTGTTTTGCTATTATAGGGTGCGTCCCAAATGGCACCCTATGTCCTACATAGTGCACTACTGTTGACCAGAGTCCTATGGGGGGCTCTGGTCAAAAGTAGTGCACTATAAAGGGAACGGGGTGTCATTTCGGCCGCACACAGAGATCCTTGGGTATAGAAGCACATGCATCCATGTTGGTGGCACACTGCTCAAGGTTATATATATAATATATATATAATATATATATATATATATATATAATATATAATATAAAAGGTTGGCAACCTTTTATATAATATATAAAAGGTTGCCATGTGATTGTTTTTGGGATTTTGCCATATTTGCTACTGTGAGTGAAAAATTGGGATTTCACTTATTACCGGTCTTGTCAGCTCGACTGTAATCTCCA